AGGGGGAGAGTGGGAGAGTGGGAGAGGGGGATAATACACAAATTTAAATAGGAAAATCATCAAATCAAAGTAACAACCAAAACATTACAATGTCACTTTTGATTTGCTTCACAGGAAGTCGTTTTTTTATCATTCATTCGATCTTTTCTACTAAAATTTGCTGCAATGTTGTGATTTTTTCTCTTTCATTTACTTTATCTGCAATATGCTAATCTTATTCAAAATATTCACTTATTAATTTTGTCCTCTAAAGTCCTAAAAAATAAGATTTCTTATTTCCGAGGGGCTAAAATTCCGGTGAAATTAATTTTACGGATTATTCAGCACTCATCTTTTCGTACACATTTACCACTCTCTAATGTCTAAAATTCTGTTGTGTCTATAATTCTGGGTTACAGAGCGATGTGTCTCAAGTCGCAAGATTAGTTAATGTACCGTACACGCACAGTAATCAGATGGTAGGTACTCCATGAGTCGAAGCTGGACGCCAACAAATGTCTCTCGTGTAGGCATAACAATTTTCTCTTGATATTACGATACCTACTGAAAAAATTGCAAGGTAATAAATCTGTTTATTTTGTACCGACAGTAAAATGAACTTTATTCGTTTCCTTCAAATTGTAAACTCCGATCCCTCGAAGAGATGTTAATAATTGGACTAGTTCACTTACTTTCCGAGTAAACTGCATTAATGGTGGAGAAATCACCCATATCTGCCAGTAAAATAGTTGTTTTGACAACTGAAAAATAAAGAGCAAACAAAAAAAATTGAGAACCGGTTGTCTTATCAATGTAACTAACCATGAATGTGCCGTTTTCAGCACCTAGAGACTTCAGTCTTATTTGCGGCAAGCAGGCCCGCCACAAGGGGGGGGGGATACTGGGTCCCTGGTACTGAGGCCCGGGCCCCGGAGGGGGCCCGTGTTACCCGTGAAAAACCACTACGAATTCACATGCATTTATCATGCAACCATTGTTTCGTAAAAAAAGGTGAAAAATTTACCCTAAAAATTTCGCAAAAGACGAACGACTGCGCTAAAATAAGCGCATTCATGACTGCAAAAATGATAACGGAAATCGAAAAGGCCGGCGTGCATGGAGGTTATTTCAATTGTAATCTTCCGTCGCATTTCTAAGGCGCAATGATACAACAATTTGAACTCTCCGGAATGCGTGAGGTATCACGCCGCATTTGAAGGCGTTTTCAAATGAGCCAAGTTCCGAATACCCGGATTATCGTTTTGCATAGTTCATATTCTTTTGTTATATCCAGTGCCACTTGTTTATTTCTAATCCTCGTAAGAAAATCACTCATTTGTAAATACAATTCTAGCTGAAGCGCACTTCAGCTTAGAGTCCCTTTATACCCAAAGTTAAGACAACTCACTTTTGTTTGGGCTGAAAGTGGACTAAGAAAATCCACTTCTGATTGGCTCTCGCTCATGGAGGCCGAAACGAGTGCACCAAGATGGCGGTACCTCGAATGTGAACAAGAATAATGAAAATATTACGTAATTGTGGTTTATCAAGAGTAAATTGTTATTTCCATCGGTCAAAAATGAAATTGATTAAGAAATTATTCACAAACCAATCTCATTTTATTTTTAATTGATCAATTTGTTGATGTTGTTTTTGTGTGATAGACATCGCAGGATTCCTGATCCTTATCCCTCAATATCGTTCGTTTGTGTGCACTCGTTTCGGCTTCCATGGCCAGCCAAGGCCGGCTGCCAGTCAGCTGATAATCGAGTTGTCTTAACTCTGGGTATAAGGGACTCTACTTCAGCTATGCATTCACTACTGCAAAAATTTCAGAGGAAATCGACAAGCCCAGCGTGCATGGAGGCTATTTCAATTGTAATCTTCCGTCGCATTTCTAAGGCGCAATGATACAACTATTTGAACTCTCCGGAATGAGTGAGGTATCACGCCGTATTTTAAGGCGTTTTCAAAACAGCCAACTTCCGATACCCGGATTATCGTTTTGCATTAGTTCATATTATTTTGTATCAATTTCTGTTTATTTCTAATCCTCGTAGAAAAACCACCCATTTGCTAAATACAATTCTAGCTGGAGCGCACTTAAGCGCATTCATGACTGCAAAAATGTTAACGGAAATCGAAAAGGCCAGCGTGCATGGAGGTTATTTCAATTGTAATCTTCCGTCGCATTTCTAAGGCGCAATGATACAACAATTTGAACTCTCTGGAATGCGTGAGGTATCACGCCTCATTTGAAGGCGTTTTCAAATCAGCCGATACCCGGAATATCGTAGAATTCAGATTTCAGCTGAATACCCATATAGAGATAAGAGACAGAGAGGCTTAAATGAATTGCAACTTTTCAAAGTTTTATCCAACAACTTACATTTGTGTTCACTAATGAATGAAAGTTTTACACCCAAAATCTCGGAAAATTTTCCTTAAATCACAATGAAAATCCCCACAAAATTCAAAAACAAAGGAATCATTCTTGAGCAATGACATATCGACGGTAAAAGTCGGCAATCACATAACTCGTTTGCGGTGTCTGAAAATCTCCGCCTCTACGTCATTTTTTTAAAGGAGAGCAAATTGACATTATTTCTTGAAGTTTTTGCAGTATTTTCTTCGCATTGAGAAGAAAAATCATGACAGTTTTAAAGAATTGCCAGTTTTCCATTTAAAAAATAAAGTATGACAGGAAGTCTGCGACGTCGCAAACCGAGTTATGTGATTGCCGACTTGCACCGTCGATATGTTGTATAATAAACTTTGCAACGTTAAAATGCAATTATGCCCCTCTAGCCTTCATACTTCATTGATATATAAATAACATAACAGGAAACAATTATCGCACCATTTTTAAAGTCACCGCCAGCTTCCTTCAAGATTTCGGACATATTTTTGAAAATCTGTGTAGCTTGCTCTTTGGCTCCCCCTGCGACGAGTTTTCCTGACGAAGGGTTAAGTCCCAACACTCCGGAGATGTACAAAGTGTTCCCACTTAGGACTGCTTGGCTGAAAAATAAATTGTGAAAATCAGTTGAGGCTCTCCTCAGTTTCAAGTCGAACCGAAGTCGGTAAAATTCAGGGACGGATAAAAAAATTTAAAACTCTCATATAATTATGTACTTATGATCGGATTAGAAAAAAAAAACATTTCTCAATTTGCAATATTTCGCAGATAATCCCCGAGGAATGTGTTATTTTTGGAAAAGAAACCTACATTTTTCAAAACCTCATGACATGATCTATGCTTATACAATATAATCCAAAACATGAATAGTTCAGAGATAATTTGTGTGCAGTTACAAGTTACATGTCCCCTATTATAAGTTGGCAATCGGCAATAAACGCCTTCAAACGATTTGATAGACCACCCCGGTGCGGAATAGTAGACTTAACAGTAGTTGCTCTGTCAGTTCTTTAGTGCAATTTAATTAATACCTCCAACACCTGCAACTTTGCTTTCAATTCACGCTTACATGTAATCGAATTCAATTCCCTCAATGCTTTATCATTAGCTTATCTGGAACTTGTCTGTAATGTTTTTGATAACGTCTGCTTTGACATAATAATCTTTTTCTTTTAAGTGCTTGACTGTCAAAAAAGATGAGAGATGCTTCAACAGACAGCGCCCGGCAAACAAATCCAACTTCGCAAATTTTTATTATTAACGTTTGATTTGACTTGCCAACTATTTACATGGATTAATGGGCACTGTTACGACGGCTCACAAGGATTGGCGTTAGTGTATTTCTCTCAAAAATTATCTTCAAACTTTGGTAGTGCTTATGAATGGATGTTAACACTATTCTTTGCACTCGCTCTGTTTTTTCCATTTATTTTTCCTGATACATATATTTTTAGAAAGGATACCAGTAAAACAAATCGCATTTAGCATAGTAATTGGGTCACATTTTCCAAACAGGAACTACAATTTCTTGCTCGTCTCTAAAAACACCTTTCTGCACAGATCATGTGATGACACATACGTTGCTTCTAAAATGAGCCAGAAATAGGAACCAAAAAGACTAGCGGTCACAAATAGTAGTACACTCTACACCCATTGTCAGTAGCATAGTAGCACACTCCAAATGCGGGAGCAGCCAGCGTGAATTGCCACAAGTTTATTTCACTCTGAATGATTTGAAATATACGTTTTTTGTACCTCGTACTGAATGGGACATAATGAACGGGGGGTTAGGCGTGGTAGTAAAATAAATTGCCAAATTAACCGATGAGACACTACAGCAAGAGGGGGGGGGGGGAAGCTATGATGCTCCTTTACAGAGGCAGACCAATTTTCCTTAACGATATCTGAGTATTGAATCAACGTTCGCAAAATCCTAGTTAAATGCATAAGGCTTACTTGTAAGGTCCGACGGGTTTTGGGGCGGCAGCCGATTGGATAATTTTGCGCACAGCAGCCATGACTGAACAAAAAGTACGAGCTGATTCTAAAACGTGCACGACTCTGGCAAAACACCGGTACAACTGATCAACATTCAACGAGTCTCAACTGAGAATCCAACGAGCGTGTTGTTAACCTATGACTCGAGCATTTCTTTCGGCTTCGGCCACTTACATTATCAAATCGCTCATTATCAATGCCTGTCTACCGGCTCATCGATAACGAGAGCGTCGCGAAGTGCCGCAAGATGAGGAAGCGTTGATTTTTCGCCAAAAAATAACAACGCGGAAAAAATGAATATTGGAAGCAAAAGCAGGGAGGGATTAAACAAGAGAAAAATGAAGAAAGAGAGAGGCAGAGCAGTAAGGGAACTAAGAGAGAGAAAAGATAAAGATAGGGGGAATAACACAGGGAGATGAATGAAAATTAGTAACAGGACGATGAAAAATGCCAATATTCGTAGAAAATTTAAAACTTGTTGAAAGAGAGTTCTCGAACCTGCACCAACAATCTTAAACTTCCTCTTAGAAAAGTGAGCCCCCCCCCCCCCCCCCCNTCTACAAAAACTCGAGAAAGAGTTCATTCCCAAAGAGGTAGGAGGACTGAGGATCCTATCGGAGTGTCGTGAATATTGCCTATTCGCTAATTGAAGGGGCTTATTTTATTGAACTTGATTGCAATTCAATGGACATAAGTTGTAATTTGTTTTGCATCGCTGAGTGCATATTTCTAGCAAATGTAGCTTGTTTTATTGATCGTTTAAAATCGGCATGCATTGAACTAATAATGTATAAACAATGCAGTTTCGTGGTTAAAAATAAAAATAATAAAAAAAATGTTGCATTGAATCGCAAAATTATTTCAAAATTTTTGTTGCACTGGGGGTTTGTGTTATGTGGAAAAGTAACAAGGACTACAGAACCTCCACTCTCTGGTAGTTTATGAAAATAGGCCAAAAAAAACCATTGATAGGTATCTAAAAGCGGCTATTACTAAAAAAGGGAGCGCAGATTGTTTAATTTGCCCATTGATGCGGTTTAGTACTAGCAAATTCTAATTGATTTAGGCAGATAACTGAAATTACTAAAGGAATCTCGATCAAATGATGAAATTACGGATAAATGGTGAAGGCGGGACCAAGAGAAAATAATCGGAAAATTTAGCTTAGATACTTTTAAAAATTTCTCGCCCCTTATTGTCATATCCCTTCAGAAGTAGTTTTTGCAACTTCAGGTGTGTCAGTGGCACGCGTCTATATATGCAAAAGAAGTCTATGTGGAATGGAAACCATGTATGTGTAGGTTTTTTTGCATGAATGAATCCAATTGTCGCTATCTCAATTGCTCGGCAATCAGAACAAACTTGATTTAGTATCAAGGTTCACTCTCAATTATTAAATTAAAGACTATTAGATTACCGTCTCCTCGCACCAATCGTTTCATTTTCATCACTCAAAGCTGACGTGGCGTAAATAATCCAAAGCATGAAGTAATTATTATTTTTGCAATGCCCGTTATCTTGAATCATTAAGAGTTGTAGCATTGCTGAAATGGACAAAATACAATGTTTTGAAATCGAGGTAACTAGGCCTCTGCTGTTTTTTGCGCTCTCAGCAGACCAAGTTAATTGAACCTCGTCTGGGAAACAAGTAGTATTCTGAGAGCACAGTGGATGTACCTGGGCCTAAGAAAAAATGAATAAAACGACATCAACCTGACTCATGCAGGGGCCCGTTCATTTAAATACGTAACTCTAAAGAGGGAGGAGGTCTAGGAGAGATTCACGCCACTTCGTATTTACATGTCAAAAAATAGGGATCCTCACCATAAAAGAGCTACTAGGAGGAGAGGGATAAAAAAAAATCTGCGATTTAGCGTCACGTATTTTGAACGGCTTATTAACGAATACCATGTAACTTTTTTTTTAAGAATGCATCGGCAAGAAGAAAAGGCCTCTTTACTTGATATCAGTCTGTGTCAACAACCATTACATTGCCCAAACATTGTTTGCCCTTGTTGCCTTGTTTTTAATTTTTCTCCCAAATCTGAGCGAAAACTCATTGACAGCAGTTAGCGGAGCATTGCAAGTCCACGACTCGCGCCATCACGCCTTCAATTTTGCAGATGCAACACGAACATCCATCAAGCACGAATAGTTGTATCTCTGCGCCGTCATCGACGCGCGTTCTTTCCCTGCTCTATTTCCATGTATCGGGTTAGTTCCGTTTGTCTTATTTGTAGTTAGTGGTGCTTCGAGGGCTACGTGAGCAACACAGCCGAAGATAGGAAGACGTATTCAGGCCTTGTTTTTTAAAACTATTCTCCCAAATCGGAGCGACACCTCTTTGGCAGCATACAACGAAGGATTGCGAGGTCACTCCTCGCGCAATCACGCCTTCAATTTTTTAAATGCAACACGGACATCCGTCAAGCAAGAACAGTTCTGTCTCTGCGTTATCATCGACGTGCATTCAGGTGTCTCTCGTTATTTAAATTTGAAAAAAATTAGGGTCAAGTTTGTCAAAAATATGCAATGATGTGTCCAAACCAATAGTCATTTTTGAAGAAAAAAAGGTCAAAGCATATTCAGAGGTCTCTCAAACGCCCTAAGAAGCGCACGTCGAAAAGATGGTACTTAGGGAAGATTTGTGTCGCGTAAGGGAATTTTTATCTTGACGAGTATCCCTAGAAATTCCAAGCCGGGTCAAATTGACCCGACTGTCTTCTCTGGAAGAGTTACCTATGTATGGCTGATGTAGGGGGGGATAAGAGAGCGCCAGTGTGTTACAAAAAACATGAAAATGTATTCTTTTAAAAAAAACTAGGTAATTCTTACCTTCATAAACATAGAAATAGCATAGATAATACTTCAAAAACTATCCAAATTTGGGTATATAAATACGCACCTATTTGACTCAGCGTATAAAAAAAGTCTTGAGCATCTAAGGGCTAATGATGCGATTTATAGAGGATACTTATCTACCCTGCTCGTAAGATCATTTTATATGCAACTGATTGATGACCGTTTGGTTATAGAGTGAGAGAGATAATTTGTTTGAGATGAGGTTTAAGCCACCGTATGAACATTCAAACGTTGCAAAAGTTCCAGCGATAAAATATTTATTTTTGAGGAAAATTCTGAATATTTTTCTCTTTAAATTATCCAAAGTTTTCAAACTTATATGTGAGTAAAATTTTCTCACAATTCGGAAGGAAAATATTTACTAACTACGAGTACATACCATGAAAATTCATTTTTCATAAAAGGAAGTTTGGCGATATCTGAAATATTACACGGCGTTCTTCCCAAAGGCCAGATTCTTCCAGTTTTCAACATTGGCTTCAGGATTTTACTTCTTACTTCCGATTTTCACTTCTTTTTTTTCCGGTTTTCTCCTTCAACTTGTAGTTTTCCATTCCTACTTCCGAATGACCTTTAGTTTCCAGTTTTCACTTTCCATTTCCGGTTTTCACTTCGCATTTCCGGTTTTCACTCCCTATTGCCGGTTCTACTTTCCACTTCCAGGTTTTAACTTCTCTTCTTATTAACGATTTTTACCATCCTACTTAGGATTTTTCCTCCCATTTCCGGTTTTCACTTTCTATCACCGGGTTTGGCCTGTAGCTTCCGGTTTTAACTTGCTTCTTCAAGTTTTTACATTCCACTTCCGATTTTCTCTTCCTTTATTATGTTTAATTGAACGTTTGACTGTAATAATGGTTTAAAATGGGGGGCAGGGCCGGGTTTGCTACTTGCCGCCCCTGGGCCGCCTGTAATTTGCTGGCCCCTTCTCATTTGTTTTGAAACATCAATAAAAACCATCAAGTGAACGTGCCGGAGGGTGAGGGGTTCATAAGACGCGTTTACTCGTGTTGGACATATTTTTTGCGAAAGCCCTGTCAACACTACTAGCAAAAGTTCACGGAACTTGGCGCAAAAGTTAAGTTCCGTAAACTTATCTCTGTGTGGACAAGGCCTTCCATTTATATGAAATGAACGAAAAAATTATGAAAGAACAAACATAAATGTGGTTTAATAACTGTAACTTCCGCCGCCGCGCCGCGCTGACCGCATAAGTACTGTGTTTGACGTAATGCGTGAGGTATTCATCCAGTCTTGTAGGCGCTTTGTGTTTCATGCCGCCCGCTGCTGACCGCAGCGACCGCACTGTTTGACGCAATGTGTGAAGTATTCATGCAGTCTTGTAGGCGCCAATATGTGTTACCTACATGCCGACCGCCGCGCGCCGAGGGTTTCTCCTTTTCCTTTACATTTGTATTGTCAACTGGAAGGAAGTTGGGAAGTTTTTTCACTCTTTGAAAAATCGTGTTTTTGGTCTGTTGTTTCAAATACTTTTTTGATAAAGCATATGTCGATGCATAAGTTTACGCGTCTTTATTAAGAAAAGATACTCCCTAGCATGCCTGCAGAAGCGGAATAGGGATCTATGTGGGAGAGGAGGGGGAAGATGAATAATTTCAAAATTGAGGTAGCACTGCTTTTATGAGTGTCTTTGCCTCCTAAGTACATCCCCAAAATTTAAAAAATTCAAAAATGCCCAAGGAATAAATTTCATGAAACTTTCCGTCTCTATTTTTTCAAGGCAAAGCACTATCGAGTATTTTATAAAATGCACCTCTTGGCAACACAGTTGAACCGATAATTGAGGTTATGTCATTGTTTTGGATACACAGGTTTCTAATCAAATAATCAAGTGAAGACAGGGACGAGTTCTAGTGAAGAGGATTCAAGTACCCGCCTTATCAGTTGAGGTAAATTTTCATCTAAATTTGCTTTTACTTTTATATTCTAGTCAATTTTTCCTCTAAAATTTCATCATAAACTGAGGTAAGTAATCGTTCGGATTTTAATCATCTTCCTCTTCAAAGCACACATTAATTTCACTTGGGCACAAATTTATCTACCTGACCTAAGTTTTCAGATGTGGATAGCAATATTTTCAGTGCATAAGTGCTTCATTTCAACTCAATGTTCTTACACTCAAAATCTAAGTGATTTTCTTGACGTCAAAATTCTGATCTCCTAATCGATACGGCCACCTGATTTCACGTGTTAAAGATTTCAATGAGCTCAGTTTCTAGTTTGCATTTGAGGTCGATTCTGCTGTACACCCAGTTTAAATCATACACAGTGCTCTTCTCTCTAGGAGCAGTGATCGTGAATTGTCAGTCATTGATCAACTAGACAAACCCAGGCTCAATTTTCAGAGTGTTTCAGACAGTTGGGGGAAGGCAGGTAGGAACACTGGGGAAAATTCTAGTGGGCCAATTAATATGTTGGGTACTTAATTTTGGACTGATTTATCTTGTTCACACTTCAAAGAAACAACCAAATGTGGCTGGTTTAAGCACTGATGGGCTGATATTCTCAAGGTTATGTTTTTGGTTCCTCTCCTCTCCTTGGCCCCAAGCAGAATATTTCAATGGTTTAAAAGCGGCACCACCTATCTCCATTGCGGTGTTTCAAAATCTCAGCTCCTGGATTATATTTTCAAAGATGAATAAGCCAACTTTTTAGCTTGAAATTTATATCAAACATTCTACTAATGGAGAAGAAAAATCAAGACAGTTCTTAAGAAATTATATTGACCAGTTTTCCTAGGAAAAAAAAAGTATGACTAGAAGTCTACAAGATTGCAAATGGAGGTATGTGATCGTGCACTTTAACCATCGATTTACAAAAAAAATAGTCCGATTAAGTCAGCTCTAGAAATCAAGGATATTATGTTTCTGTAAAGAAATCAAGTCAAAGTTCCAAGGCACTGAGGTTGATTAGATTATTCATGCAGCCCATCATACCAACTAATTCTAAACCTCGATGATAGTGATGTTGTAGAGGCAAGCATCCTCAGTCTGCCTAAGCAAACTCACTTTCAGTTTGGATCATTCCAAAAAGTGTCCATAGAGAGTTCATGCACATCTTTGTATCATGTATGTGACAACAGAGAATGAAATATTGTTAATCATTAACCTATGAGTACTTTGTTTCTTCCTTCCAGAATACCATTGCAAACATGCCTTTGAAAGATTATGAAGCTCTAGTTGGGAGCACTGCTGGAATTGTTACAGTAGCATCTTTTTTTGCACCCGCGTAAGTTCTACTTTTACTTTCTCTCTCTCTCCACATGTTCAGAAAAAATATGTTTATGATAATCACTTAGGAACAATGAAACAATTCTTTATCAATTTTTGATATTTTCTCTTAGTTTCAGCCCCTTGGCTCAAATTTCACGACAAAAAAACTCGAGGATTTGGTGAGATAAGCTGTGGTGGATTATCCAACGAAAAAGAATCAAAGGAAAATTACTTGGTTGGCTTGAAGCTGCCAGCAGGCTACCATAACTCACTCACATAGATGGACACAAGTCTACCTCGGAAAAAAGTGGATTTCAACTAAATCACTCACATTGTCAATAGAAAGGGCGGAGATGTGATAAAGGCTGATGAACCAGCTTATTAATTGGTAGTTCAGACTCCCTATTACAAGGAACTGCTTGAGAGAGCTAGCAAAAATTATCCATTTGTGGCAGGAAGAGAGATTTGAAGTAAGCGGGCAGAACAGGACAGTTTCCACATAAGGAACTGCCAAAAGATTATGATTTTGTTTATTGTGCAGCAAATGCGTATATAATCTGTGACAATATGGCATAAATACATGACTTGACATTACTGTGAATGGTGAACACGTTTGCAAAACAGGCTTTATATCCCATATCATGGTTCAAAGACTCAACTTAAGAATATAACTGAATATTCCCTGTTTTTTGGTCCACAGGTTTATTTGCAAAACTGTGATAAAGAAAGGAAGCACAGAAAATGTTGATCCGATGCCTTTTATTGGTGGTATGAGCATGTAAGTATCAAGATTCACTCCTATTTACTTCCTCTATTTTTTTTAAAAAACCAGTTTTCAAATAGCTCTCATGGCTAATCCCGTGCTTGATCCCCCAATCTCTTTGCACCCAGCCCCAGGTGACCATTACTTGAGACCATCAAACTCAAGTCACCTGGCTGGGAATCGCACCTGGAACCTCCAGGTCATTTGACGAGTGCTACAACCACTACATCACGGGAGGCCAGCACTTTGGAACCCTTTTTTTTCATGAAAATGAATTGTTCTTCATATTGATGACTTCTATCTTAATTCAGAAGTCCCTTTCTTCTATTTTTAAAATGATATTATGGTGACAATATACTTAATTAATATTCAGATGCTGTTTTCAAATTTGGATCATTTAATGCAATGTAGAAGAGCATCTTATTGCTGTCTCCGAAAATGACTAGCTCTCTATGATCAAAGATAAACATGGGTCGTTTGTTTCTACTCCTGAAAAATAGAGTTTTCTAAAATACGTACTCGGTTAGTTTCACCTTCAATATGTTTTTTTGTTATGATTTTAATTACTCAGCCACTGTTCAAATTACTGGAGAATCACTTTTATTTTGATATGATTTGAACAAAAGGCCCATTGATGATTTCTCCGTTACACCAACACCATTTCAGGGTAAATGTAATCCTTGTCTCTTGAAGCCCCAGGGTAAAATTCGATAATTGCCCAATTCAAATATTTTACTCCTTCAGTTTTCTATGTACATAAATACAGAGGACCCCTTGCTGATGACCATGGACGAGTAATTTTAGTGTTTGGCTGTTTCATGAAGTTTATTTGCTTTTCATCCTCAGACTCTGAGTTTGTCATAATTTATTTCACCACCAATTTTTCTTGAATTCTCTGTTTATCAGGGTAAAAATCAAGATTTTTACACCTGATGTTTTTCCTGAACTCTGGATCTCTTTCTTTTCTGTATTTGTGCTGATCTTGGAATTTTTATTTTTAGGTCCATACTCATGCTGCAGCATGGACTGATTCTCAAAGATCCAGCAATGATCCCCGTCAATGTTTTTGGATTTATTTTGAATCTGATATACTTCTCTATCTACTATCATTATTCGACTGAGAGGGTAAATTATTGTAGATTTATTTATTTTTCCTCTCCCTCTCTTACAAAATATTTTAGACCTCCAATTAAAAAGTGCATTAAGTCATGGAAGATGCTCCCGTTTTTAAATTCAATACTGCAATATATTTTGGGCAACTTATGGAAGTGAATAAATAATGACCCAAGGAAAAAAGGGATCTTAAGAGTCACGTTATTGAAAATTTCTTCTCTGAACTTTATTTTTTAGGGAAAACTAAGCAACATTGTCTCTTGCAAGAATTTTAAGAAGAATGGTCAAGAGAGATTAAAAAAAAATGGAAGACATTAGTACCTTGGACAAGAGAGTAATGAAGCAATATTGACTCTCTGTGCCTGTGTGAATATGTAAATGGGTGCAGGAATCCATGCACGGCAAAAGGAAATCTGATCTCAAGTGCCCCTCTTTACTTTGCCCCGGTTTTGTTCTGAGCTGGCTTGAAATACTTGAAAAAATAATATTAATAGTGATGAGGTGGATATTTTTCTCAGTATATCTACCTGAGGAACCTCCCTCCAGAGGCTGCTGACCGCGCAGCGGCGGTCAACGGCTGGCTTGGTAGTCGTTTAATTATGCCAGCAAAAAATTATGATAATGCATCACCACTATTTTTTCATTTATCTTTTTGCAGGGGCAGTTATGGTTGACACTTGGAAAAGCTGCCACTTTTGTTGCTGTTTTAATCGGTTACGCTCAATGGGAATACGAGCATAAAGTTGAATTTAGGTTTGGTCTTATCACCACCTCCATTATGTTTGCGTTAATATCTGCTCCTCTTTTATCGTTGGTAAGTAATTTTAGCCACTCTAATTTCGTTTTTAAGTAGACTTTAATTGAACGAGGTCTTGAAGAATGTATCCAGTACAACTGCACTATATTTTGCAATAAGGAACCACTATTTAAGACTAATTCTAGAAACAGCGTGAGTTTGTGCCATTATTTTCCCCATGAAGAAATGTTCACTTTTTCTTGCCAAACTTATGTAGTCAAAGAAGGGATATGTCACACATATTGCTGTTTATCATATAGTTTCACTTTTTGCCTCGCTCCAGTTACCAGAGTCGCTCCATTTTATCTGTTAAGAAGAAATAAACATCTATCCTTCTTTCTAATAATTCTATGAATTAATCACGAAATTCAGATTGACAGCCTACTTACATTTTTGACACCATTTTATACATCCTTATATTTTTATCCCCAACTTTTCTAAATGGGTAAAAGTACAGTGGAAAAAGATTTTTTTAAGTATCTTGTTATTTGTGTGGTCAAAGTCAACGTATATATGATAGTGTTTTGCAAGTTAATAATGACACAGCTTAGATATCATTGTTTGTATACTTTTTTAACTACTCTCCTCATAACACAGGTTTTTTTGTTAAGTTAAGCTAATTTTTTTTCGTTTACTTTTGTAGGGTGAAATAATTCGCACCAAAAACTCAGCTTCACTACCATTCCCACTCATTGTTTCTTCACTATTTGTCACATCATTGTGGCTTCTTTATGGAATAATCATCGAAAACATATTTGTGCAGGTAGGTAATTCAATTTATATGTTCATGTTTCATTCACTTTTCAGCCAGTCAAGGAATCAGGCCCGGATCAGCTCAATGCATGAAAGAGAATGCCGTCCTATTGACACACATTCATTGTTTAGAGTCCACGCCAAACACATTTACACATTTTTAGAGTACGACAGTAGATCAATTGTCTTCAATTTAGCATTAAAAGTAAATGCAAGGATCAAGAATGTGGATCTTATGTCATTGTTTAAAAGTGCGTAAATTTATTTCACGTGGACTCCAAGATGCAATCATGATAAAAATAGGATTAAAATAAAATGCAACCGAAACACTTCAGAACAGTTTTAAGCCAAAAAACTTCATTTTAGACCATGGATGAATAAAAATACAGGACTGTATTTAAAATGCATTTCAACTTTGATTCATATTTTTAGGAATTTGCTCAGATTTTTCATCTTTTTTTTCAGTTGCAAAAGTCAGTGAAAACAGAGACATTGGTCCGCGGAAGCAAAATTCTCAATAATATTATTTTTTTGAAGTATATTCAGTAATATCTGTCTCTTGCTCAGGGTATCGAATGACTCAAAGACAGTATTGTTCCTAAGTTAACGATCCACTCCTTTTTCATCACAATTTCACAAAGAATATGATTTGTACAACAAAATTATTGAAAGTAATTCCCAATTAAGATATTGATGTCCTTAAAAGATAAATTCAAACTTCCCGCTCTTAAAAATAACCACAATCTACTTGAGTTAAACTACACACTCAATGTTACTCAAACTTTTACATAACAGTTTCTGCGGTAAGAAAATATGGCTCAGCTTTTGCACGTCATCATCCACTTTCAACAACACAGGGTGTGGAAGGAACATTTTTTTATTGAGAAGCTTGCCAAAACCATATTAGTTTGCGGTTTGATTAATGTAGATTCTGATTTTTCTAATGGGCGGAAAATTCAATTTTTTGTGTCCAGTACTGAATAAGAACCTTAATATTTTGGTTAGGAGTTACTTTCAGTACTTTCCGTTGTGCAAAGTGAGTTCTATGTGAAATGAGGAGGAAATATATATTAGAATACTTAAATTCGTACCTTGTCCTGCAATTCATTGAATCAATAATTTCGCTAAAATTTAATCTAGAATCATTTGAAATCAGTTCCAGAACGCTGTTGCCTTCCTCCTGTGTCTTGGTCAGCTCATCCTTTGCATTATCTACCCCGCCAGAGATGACAGTAAGGATAAAGCTAAAAAGGCTGAATAATCAGCAGTCAAGACGTTCTCTTGTTGCTAAATGATTGTGCGCCCAAGTCCCTGATGTTACCACTCATTTGTTGGTGCTTTTGAAGCAGTTGTGATTCCAAGAATTCTCCTTGTTAAGAAATGGTTATATTTTTTTAATGTTGTATGTGTTATGTCTGCTATTAGACTTATTTTTTTATCGATTATTAGAAATTTTACCTCATACAAGTGTTTGAATCTAATTTTTTTTCTCATGTAAGATCAGTTTAAATTTGTCTGGTCTGGTCAGTTTGAAGATAGAACTTTGAATGGAGATAGAACTTGCATCAGATAAGTCAGCAGTTGTTTACTTTCCGTACTTTATTGAAAGAAACATGGCAATGTCTCAAGGCTCATAAAGCGTTCTTCCTTAGCACAACATAATAGTGATCAAGGCTTGACCGGGTGCGAAGACAACACCGTGCCATCACTGGGTGCAGATATCAAAAGTCAATACCCTCCTCTGATGGCTGTCAGAAGTAAACAACTTCCAATGTATCTGAAGCTAGTTCACCTCCAATGAAGTTTTGAAAGACGCCGAAAAAATAGTAGAAATGTTGCAGAGGTTTCTTAGGGATTCAGAGTTGTCTCATCCTCCACCCATAAAGATTTCTGGCTGCGCTGCGCATAGTTGAAACTTTAGGGAACCCTCTAAATGCATCAATAATAAATCTTTGAACAATACAAGAATTCTTTTGAACCTAGCACGATAACCTTGCTGAGGAGCTCAGATTCAGTAGCTAGATAGGTAGTAACCACTTGTAATAGTTCGGATTTTAAAGAGTCCAGTCGAGCAGGAAAAATATTTTGTACTCGAACACCTTGCAGATTTTCAACTTTTAACCCCTTTACCTCAATTTCTTTGCCTAGAAGAAGTGTTTTGTTGTCATTTGTTGCCTGAGCAATAGCTAAATAATCGCTGAAGCAAGTTAACTTAGGTTTAAACTCTTACCTCAGTAGAAATTTATCTAAAATAATAAAGTATACTTTGCTTCAAAAGATGTGTTTTAAGATTGCCAGTGTGCATTAGTCTGTGGTCCTCTTTAGTTTGCCTGTAAAATTAAATTTGATGTATACTTTGTGCCATCGCCAATCATATTTTTCTTGCAAAGTCCTTTCTACTTAAGTCTTGCCTCATTTGAGAGTAGTTATACCCCTCTATTTTTATAATTCGTATTTTTTTCTGTGGGTGTGTAGAAAATATATTTTAGATCAGAGTGCAAGAATGTGCATGAAATTTATAAGGAGAAGAGAAAACGATTTTTGGTCAGTGACATGGGTGGAACTAGGAGGGAGCGGGGGCCGGAATCTCCCTCCCCCCTCTAGAAATCTACCAGGTCCAATCCAGGAAATAGGGGGATAAAAATCTGCCACGTCCAATCCAGAAAATAGGGGGATATTTCTAAGTAAGTGCTTGACATATCTTTCACCTTTGATTCTGTACTTCAAACAACTTTTCAGTGAGAACCGCTCCAAATTTCCTTTGAGTGGACTTGATGTTTCAAAATTTTCTCGGAAAGAGCCCCCCTTTTGGAGCTGAGGAAGCCCCCCTGAACCCTCTCTGAAACTGGGGAGCCCCTCCAGACCCCTTAGTTTTTCTGTGCCCTCTAGATCCCCGCCCCTTAATGAGGTGCCCCTCTGGCCCTCCTGACCACAAGAAGTTCCTAGTTCTGCACATGGTTAATTTTATTATTGATCATTGTATCATTCCAGAATTAACTTCTCTCTTTTTTCATTGTATTTTCCATATGAGCAAACGTATTTAAATCTACCTCATGCTGCAATAACAGTTGGTTTGTTAAGAAGTTGGTTTTTATAAATATCTTCAGATGAAAATGAGTCCCAAATATAGACAAATAAATGTTTTATGTTCTGTATTTATTTGTCAACACCCGAGTAAAAATTGAAACATTATCAGACAGTTTTGAATGTTGCAACATAGAAGAAAGTTGAATGTAAAATGTTGTCTGCATTTTTCCATTTTAATTAGTTTGATGGAAGGCGATCAGCTGCTTAGGCTAATTACGCTGGACCTAGTAATGTATTTTGAGTAAAAATATAAATATATTACATATATGTATTCCCCAGCCAAAAGTTTTCATGAAAAAGTAACTTTTTCATTACTCTAAAAATGACTTACAATCTACTTAAAAATTCGTCATCTTAATGTTTTTACTCTTTCAATAATACTAACCGATATTGATTGGTTTCCTTGGTCTTGCTGCCGTGCCGAGGGAAAACCCAGTGTAAGCTTTTGTGAATTGTCAAATTTCCTTAAAATTGTAATGATTTTTAAGAAAATTAGGTATTCATATTTTTCTTTGAAATTTTTGTGGCAACCCAGAATAATTTGCAGTTAGAATTCTCCAAGGAATTCAAACAATAAAATTAAGAAGCTTTTGTTTAGGAAATTCGAATTGTACCAGAAAAAATTTGGTAATACCTGAAGATTCACAAGGCATTTTTCCACAGCAGGTTAGCATAGACTTGCCTAATGGTCTACCTTTAAAAGTTTGACAATATTTAGAGGTACCTAATTTATATAGATTTTAAGTATTATAAAATCATGTAGTTAAAAAATTCTAAGTTAAGTTGAAAATGTTATTTTCAAATTCCCATTTTACTGTGATCATTTAACATACTACTACCTACGTGAGAGACATGTTAAGATTTCTTTGACCATTCATTTAAATGGACAAACAGACTGCATCATGAAATAAGGAGTTACTAATATCGACTCAATGTAGAAATTATATTTATGCCAATATTTTCTCTATGTAGTTAGGTGCTTTTATGGATGAGCTAGAAATACCTCCTTTATTACAAAATGAAGTCCAATTTTTCAAGGATAAAAAATGTCTTTAAGAGCTCAAGTTACATGCTAATGCAGGAATACTGGGCAAAAAAGTGTACGAGTAATGTTTGATTTTATTTTAAGATACTTGTTGTTATATGAGCATAATCAATCGCTATTTTCTTAAAAATTTGTTTTGCTTTACTTCATGATCCCAATTTGGTATAACTGAGATTTTTGATGTGTTATGAGACCCAGATGAGTTAACTCAATTTATTTTCCCTCTATGCCATATGAACGTTTTTTATTATTATTATCGCCTCTTATTATTTTAAAAAACAAAATAAACAAAATTTATTTTCAGTTCACATGTTTCTTTTTTATGTTTGACTACCCACTTTTTTGCACGTGTTGAAGTCAGTATGGGTCTCTCTTGAATTGGACACATTTAAAGCAGTCTATTTTCACGGCGAACTTTTCAAATATACATACCTGAAAGTCTAGGACTACTAAAATATGTTTGATAGAGATGCGTACAATGAGCAGAGAGGAGAAAGAGGACACATGCAGGCAGTGACAGAGAGGAGCACTGGCGAAAACTACCGAAAGCCACAGGCAGTTGGAGTTTTTGCCTTTCCTGCAAATAGACTTGAACATAACGTTATTCCCACTTGGAATCAAATCACGCGAAACTAGTCCATCTATACAAATGAGAAAACCTTCTATCTGCTCCAAGCTGAGTTATGTTTTTTCACCACTGTGTCTTTTGTTTATGGTTGCTTTTGGGCAGCCCTAAACTAGCTCCCTAACTCCAGTATTAAAATCCAATCTATACCTCGAGAATGTCTTTTTGAAATCTCCTAATGTAAATGGACTCCTCTTGCATGAATGCATTCAACGTATGAATGACCCATTATTGTAATAATTTAAAAAATTTCTCTGATGTACATAAGATATAACATCCTAGTGTCGTCAATTGGCCTCATTTAAATCAAAATAAACTATATTCATTCTGACATGAGCTCTAAGATCCATTAAAATACATGCATGACAGGGTTCCCGTCACAATGGATATAGTTCCTTTTGATTTAAATGCGTCTAATTTTGATAAGGGCTTTGAAAATTCAGCGGGCGAAAAAGACCATAACCCAAGTGCCTCTTGACTAGTTCCTCCTGTAAATTGCCGGTAAATAAATTAATATTTTGAAAATTATACAACACCAATCTAATAATGATGAAAACACATATTATCTCAATTACCAATTTTATTATCAAGAATAATTAAAAAAAATCACGCAAAGAACACAGGGAGGCTGTATAAGGCATAATAATTAGTGATTCGAATTTAAAGAAAAAACACTGTTGAGAACTAACCGGTAAAATTCTTGATCATCATCTATGAGGGAACTGAGTACTGAGCAAACTAAGACATTTATAGATTCGTAGAGAAATTATTTTAATTCTTTGACTTTGAGGAACGTATTTATACATGCACTGATGCTAAATGCTAGGTACCCAACAAACACTTGAAAAAGAGAGGGTTAAAAAGTAAACATTTCTATGGGAAAACAGTGAGTTTTATCATGCTTAGAAGAAAGAAATAGTGTTAATGAGCAGATATTCTGATTCTGAAAGGAATGAAGCCTGTGTGACATTCCGTCACTATTAAGCCTTCAAGTACGCTCTGAATGACACTCTCCCTTTGAGTATGGTCTTGTATGTTTAAAGGTAAATGCTTCATCTTCCAAAGCTCAACTGAATTCTGTGAAACAAAAATACATAAAGACTTTGACGACTCAGTACCCTCAGACTTTTTGCGCTCATCTAAATAAATTTACAAATGTAAGGAGCAATTTTACCAGGTTTCTACTTCAATGCTGGGTCAGAATTGCTTGTTTCCAACAAATTCAGAGGTTCAGTTCTCAATCCCTTGCTGAGGATGATCAGTTCATTACAAAACATTAGGACTGTACAATTAGTGAATTTTGAAAACGAAGCGAATAGCTAATAATTTTGGTTAACAACGCACCCCGTTCAGGTTGTTTCAGAAAGAATTACAGCAAATAGGTTATGGCAACCTCACCATTAGGCACAGGTGAATGCGCGTAAATGTAGCTATATAAGCCTTACAACGTTTCCGTACTTATAATTCCACTGTTCCTAACAACCTGAATATTCATAAATGTTGGTTATTGCGCTAAGTCAGTCGGGTGGGTAATTCGCCCCGAATTTCTGTTGGTTATTCGATATTTCAAACCATCCGCACAGCCCTACAAAACATGAAAATGTACTTATAATAGAAGGAGAAAAGAACTATTTATATAACGCAAGAAAATTAAAACTAAAGATATATCAGTCCATACATCACAGTGAGAAAAACCCTTGTTCACACCACTTCATGATTCAAAATAGTGAGATACATACTAAAGAAGTTCTTAGGTAAAACTGCAGGTGAGCCACTACTGATTAGTCCTTCAAGAAAATCGTGAAAAAAAAAACTCAAAAATGACTTTTTCTCCCTACAGAGTTAATGCATATTTACCTATTTTTACATTAAAGACGGTTTCTTAAAAATTGCAGATGACTTTTGTCCAGGGGAAAAAAAAGGGGGAAAAAACTGCTACGGTGCAATAAGTTGGCCGCAACATTGGTGATGCGAAAATTCATCCTTTCAAGGTTAACAGACATGATGCATTTAAACTAACTGCATCTAGCAAAATAAAACAAGATCTGCAGGTTTCAGGATTTTGAATCTCATGACAGCAGGAGGAACAAGATTAAATTTGACTAAAACAGCCTAAAAATTTAAGTGAAAAATACATGATCCATCTTGGAAATAAATACCTAGGCAATAGAGAAAACTAGAATCACTTCAGTTGCTTATTCAATAAAACGATAATTTCTTTTTGTCAATAAACATTAGTTGACACAGTAAATTTAAAGCGTAATAGAAACAAAAAACAAAAATGACTTTTGAAATAATCACCCAAGGAAAATTCTTAGACACAATGAGAGACACTAAAACAATGTAGTGTCTATTGTAACCATCTTGCAGTATCTGCAAGTCTCTGAAAATCTTACGGCGATGATAAACTTTTATACTTGAGCTGTGTAAAACTTAAAAAAAATAGAGACAATGATTAGAGAAATAAATAGCTTAAGATGATAGAAACAATAATATGATTTAAACATTACAATGATACCTCAATTTATTCTATCTTGAGACTGAGAATCCTATAATTTAGTGGACTTATTTGCTGACCTTCTGAAAATCCTGTAAATTAAGGTTTTACTGTTTGTTTGTTTGTTTGTTTGTTTTTTTTTTGTTATTTAAATTATGTACTATCAGAGCCGGATTTCTGAATTTTGAGTTCCTGGGCAAAGTCCAGGGTGCATACGGTATACTCCTCTGAATCATCACCTTCCTTGGTGAAAGTCTAGGGTAAATTCTTCTCCAGCAAGGAGTCTGGAGGAAAATAGTCTACTTGCAGAAAGATTGGGGGAGGGAAATTGATGGTTGTATCCCCCAGTGCCTAAGTACTTGACATGCATACCTACATACTTACTACTTACTCCCCTTAGGGGTTTGGGTGACTGTCTGGCAAACCTTGTAAAAAATTTAACCTAAATAAAACTCAGCTTTAAGCTAGTGGCACTTAATGCGATTATTAGATTTTGGAGAAGAAGGATCTTTATTGCTAGAGATGAGAGGGAAGTGCAAAATTAAAATGAAACAAAAAATTCACAAAATCGGCATGGAAACTTAAATAAAGACTGTATTAAAATACTGCAAAGATGTTGCAAAAAAGAGCAAAAAATGTATCTTTGACAGTTAGCGTCTGCTTTAGAATAAATAAGATTTAGTAGTGAAGTTTGACCGATCGAATATATGATGGAGAAAAAAGAAAAAACCCTTTGTGGTGTGCCTTATATGTCTGAATGATGAATCCAGCTCTGACTGTGTCAAAATCAGACCATATTTTGTAATTTCCCTTACCATCATAATAGTCAAGGCAAAATTGATTTGTGTTTTTGGAAAATAATGTGCATTTTAAATCAAAAGAGTCTGAGATTTGATTATATTCGAGTAGGTCTAGATTTTTATGCTGACAATATTACTGAGCAATTTTGTAGAGAGAATTCTTGTCCATAAAATGTCATTATCATTTTTTTGTACTATTACATGACTAGTTTTCAATTTTTGATAAAAAGATACAGTGTCTATACTTCATGATACCACAGAAAAGGTAATTTGAAAGAGTGTATGAAAGGCTGCTAAGCTTGGAGACAACATGTCTTGGTTTGCTTTGTTGCAGATTTCCCACCATAATTCACTTTTTTCTAATACAGTTAGTTAATTTACTCAACATTATTTCTTGCAATTTTTGGTAAATTTTCTTCTCTTTGAAGAACATTTTTCATACATTACTAGCAATAAACCAGTGAGGTTGGCTTCTTTTCCCTCAAAAGTTAAAATAAGAGGAGAAATTAAAAATATTCCGGCCAAGTTAGGTTGTTCCAGACTTTAGCCAGCAGTTCAACGGTAGGTTGTGCTGGTTAGCAAGTCAAGATGTGCTTCAAGTTATGTTTCCTCTGAAACAATAAGTTATTGAAAAATTTGACTCATCTTTACATTTCAATATTCTAAAGAGCTCCTAAAAACACTGTGAGTACTTAATACATACCTACAAACATGAAATTGGGCTAAGTTTTTTTTTGACGATGAATTGTTGTTGCAAAATAAGTGGAGTAATTTGGTTGGCAAGTAGCACATCATCCTGCTCTTCTTAAGGTAGAGACCAGCAATCTACCTCAGAAACATATTTCTACATTCAATTCACTTTTTTCCTGGAGAGTAGAGAGTACAGCTTAGAGAACTTTGAAATTAGACCAAAGGCTATCCAAACCAGTGACGACCCATGCAGTCTCTGTTCCACTCAATCTGACACACCCAACACCACTGAAAGGCACAACGAGTGCACAGCATGTGCATACAACCTCCTATCAAAAAAGAAAAAAAGGAGTACAAATTAGGAAATGAAATTTCAACAAATGACTCAAAAATTGCAGGGGGCTCTCACTCGGAGGGTTTGCTGACAGTTAACTTTTCCAAAAAGAAACAAATCGTTATGACACATTCTTGAAAGTTGGCTGAGTTCATTACTTTATCAGGTGTTTTTGACTTGTGTGTTCTACTTACTGATTTTTTTGGAAAAATCAGGACCAAAGACTAAAAAGTAAGTAGAACACAGATTCTTGAAAATTTAATAGTCAATCTAATGAGATAGCGAGACATCCCCAGTTTCTAAAATAATAAGTATCCCTTTTGCATAAAGAAATATGTCAAGAAATCTGCAATATCAAACACCACTAAAGAAATTATTCAGAAAATTATGAAATTTGTAGGGACAAAAATATTTTTTGAATGGATACATAGCTCAAAAGGTTAGTTGAGTGCCTCACAGAATCGTGATTGAATGGTTAAAACTATGGGACAACGCAAAAGAAAAGAGATCAATATAAATGCTATGGATCCAAAGTTAATGGAGATATATTTTCTCAAGAAACGTTGTTGTCGGTGTCATCCAATGTCGTAGTCATAAATGCCATGGTTTGCTTCCTTTCACTTTAGAATAATTTGTCAGTGATGCATGGAGGTTGCTTTACCTGCATCACTGACAAAACCAAGGTAGAGCTAACCATGGTATGCAATATCATAGTGGAAATCTACAATCACAATGTTCCTCCATGAATGATATATTTCCACTAAATTTGCACGTAGTAATTTGATGTTTTGAAAGGAAAATTGAAGCTTATGGACAATAAATTTTTACTCATCAGAAAAGACTTCTGATAAAATTAAATTACAAAGAAAACAACTGTACAACTTGTAAACTTGGAGAAATTTAATTTCAATCAAACGTTGAAGATACACTTTATTGTTTCCTGCTATTCTTCAAAATGCAACCATTTAAAAAACTGAATGAGATAACCCTTGCTGACCTATTAGTGCACATAAATTACTATTGAAATAAGAACTTTGCTTTCAAAAAACTTCTGCAGCAGAACTTACCATCGCGCTCTGTTGCAGTTCTGCATTTTGGACACGGTTTTGTAGTAACTTTGATTGCAACCTTACTTGCTTCATCCCATCTTGCCTGTACACATACAAGAACATTGTTGTAAAAATGACAGCTATTTGTGAAAAATGTTGAATTTGTTTGAGTTCAAGAAAAGACAGGAGAATTGAAAAAGTACGGCAGTCATTGTGCAAAGATACATATTGATGGTCAGAGTGTGAAACCTCGTATCTCTGTTTGTGACTTGCAGGCTTTGTCGTACTTTATTTTTTCTTCAGAAAACTAATGAACATATTTTTTTGAAAAAGTCCTTTATTTTACTTCGCTATGGGCAGAATATTCTTTATAAATTCCGAGCTATAAACAAACAGCTAAAAAACAAATCAGGAGCCAAAATTTTGAAACAATGTAATGGTGATACATGGTTTTGCACTTTGGCCATCCATATTCAGCACCCTAGCTAGTGATTTTTTTTCAGCTGCTAAGTCTTTCCAGTCATTCTGTCACTGAAGCTAAAAAAAAAGCGAGAAAATTCAAGGGCAAAGACTAAACATTAAACATAATGCTCATGAGAAAAACAATCTTATCCATTGCTTAGTCAAAATCATCTAACGGTTCCAATTTTTTCTGCAGCCTTACAATTTGTTTGACTACTGCCAGCTTAAAATTTCTTTGTATATTATTGAAAAAGAGGAGAGGATGACTGACAAACCTGAGAAACACATTCGGGATTAACAGCATACGATGAGGTGCCTGTTTTTTCTATCTCTTCCACAGTCTCACACTCTCCGATGTGATAACCTTGTAAGCAATTGCGGCAGAACACATACTGAAAATAGAAAAAAATTAGACAGGCAAAGTAAGATTGAAGAAAAACAGCACATATTCACGAATAGAAAAAAATTGATATTGCTGTGGTAAATATTTAATTATTTCACTTGGATTTTTTACTTTCATAAAAAAAAAAAGGTTTTGTTGATTAAAGTTATAAAAATATCAGCCTAACGATTAAATCTGACATATCTAACTGACCATCTGCCATACATGATCTAACTCCTAAATTGATCTAAATTCATTAACTATGTGCAGAGTTGCCACAGAATTTAGGAAATGAAATTCCCTGGCACCACTTTGATTTCCCTGACAAATTCTGTCTAAATTTCTTGGCATTCGAGGGTATGCAGAACGACTATTTACAAAATTTAAAAATGGTGTTCATAAGCATTTGTTGTTCAAAACTTCATACAAATTCTAAATAGCACAAAAAGGTAATTTAAGAATAGGTATTTTTTTTGACACTTTGGTCATTTTCACCGACATTTCCCTGTATTTTTAAATCACTGACATTGGAAAAAAGGAGCAAAATAGATGCAATTTTAAGAAGAGCTAGTCCATCTGATAGCTTTCTATTTCTAAAAAGAGAGAGACAGAAGAACTGTTGCTGCAGATTGCAAAACAAAAGGTATACACTCACACCACAGCCTCCTGCACAGGTGATTCTGGTACAATCAGGTTCGACTAAAATCCCAGCACCGCAACCTGGCTGCGGACAAAGTACACCACCATTCTTTAAGACGTACTCCTCCATTCCAAACCTTTGATACATTGCATACTGATAAGCAGAGAGAAAAATAAAAAAAAATGAAAAAATAATATGAAAACAGACTGGCACAGAAAGCCTTCTACACCTAGACCTAATTTAGTCAAAACTGAAAGCATGGACTTTAAAAAGAGAGGTACTTTTGTCCTCTATTTAAATTTCATTTACCAAAGCTCTGCTGGGAATTTGACGAGAAATTTGAGAGCGGAGACTTTGCCGCTTAACTTGAATTTTCCCACTTATTTTGTGCTACCAGGCTAAGCAATGAAGACAAAAAGCTGCTTAAGTTGAGTTTTTTCAGTCGGTAAACAACACTTTGCGTAAAAGCACATTGATTCACAAGAACTTTTCAGCGAGTACTGCCAAGACATATGTAGGTTTTTACATAGTTGTACACAGGTTTGTTTGGAGCGGATCATTCAAACTTTGGGTCACAGGTGATTTTATGCCCTGTTGGGGGTAGTTGTACTTACGTGAGAAGTAACTTCCTCAATGCTGAAGTTTTTAAATTCTTCAAGATGAGAAGAAAGCTGGAAACCCTCTAAAAATTTTGATGTAACTGCAATATTAGTCCGATTGAAATTATCTGAGCTACATTAATCTGCACAAGACATGTTCTGATAATAATTTCTGGGAGCCTTGAGAAAGAAAGGCTCCCGGTGCGTTTGTCAGGACTTCAGTTTAATTATTATGGCAAAACAAGAAAAACAAAGGTTTTTCATTTTTTTTTTGGAAGACTTAGTTCCACTGAAAAAAGCTGATTCCTTCCAACAAATGACTGATTTCTTACTGATTTCTTCTCTTTGGCAAAGATAAAGTATTTACTTACAAGACAATGTCCAGCTACCAAACTATCAAAATAAGGAAAAGTATATTTTTTTTACTGATCATACATCTTCTTTGATTAAATCTGTTAATACACTACTACATGGTAACACTTTGGGCGCAGCTGTCAGGGCTGTTGTAGTGGCAACCCAGAAAACATTCTTTGTTCTCTTGTCACAACAGCTTGTTTCACGTCATCGCGCCGCGACCATATAATATGGTGTCAAGTATAAGGTCAATTTTAAGTTTTGATCCATGAGTTTTTAATGTTTTCTAGTAATAAATTACCTATAAAGTTTCAGTTTAATTTCCACTTTCATCATATGGACTACATTTTGCAATTTGGAGCTATAAAATCCGGCTCATCTGAAAAAACACTTATGTGCATAGGGAAAATAATGGTACATACACCGTTTTTAAACCGGACCAGAGCTTATAGCTCCTAATTGCAAAATGTAGTCCATATGATTATCATTTCATGAATTATAGTTTTGTGGTTGCGTTTTGACCATATAGAAGGCTTTCATAGAACAAGAGAAATGCTGAGTTGGTATTGCCATTGCTTGGTGACTGTTAAATAAAAAAATATATTAAAATAAACGATAAAGAGTGATAATGAGAAAGAACTACAAGTTCCTTACATGCTCATCATTTAACAAGTGAAAATGATGAATTTCTTTGATAAGTGAATCCTCACAGCCAGCAGGGCAGGGTAATGTATAGCCATGAGTCTCATCCATAGTGAATTGTCGCTCCCTTAAACGGGAAACACAATACAAGTTGAAGCATTCTAGGCATGTAACATGTCCAACAGAACAGCTAAACACAAGAACTGGGTCACTGAAAAACAAAATTAGAAAAATTACTGTGTGTCGATCATTTTGAGAGGTGAATGTTAAAAATATTTACCAAGCACAATCAGAGAATGCTTACATAATGAAGAAGCATCCACAACAGAGGAACCTTGGTGCCTTCAAATTTCTTTGGGTTTTTTATTTATATTTTTTGAGCATTCCAATTAAGGAGCTTACGCTTTCTTTTGATAATTTGATGCTTGAAAAAATCATTACGTAAAAAAGAACAGTACAAAAAGAGAACACATAATTGCATTATCTACTGGTGGTAAAAATGTTTCAGGAGAACTTGTTTCAATTTGAGACGAAAAATCAGTACCTATTTGAGTTTTCAACAGAAAATACTAGGGGTAAGTTACAATCAATTTATTTAGTTCAGTTTTGTAAAAGTATCTGGATGGAGGCACTTTGAAACAATTATATTGAATGCAGAAGACGGTAAGAAAACTTTTGGCATTTCCTTGTAGCTACAATTATTGAACTGCTAACTTTGAACCACCATGACTTGCAATCAGTTCAACATTCTTTCTCCAAAATTTCCATGGAACATTCTAAAATACAATTGGAAAAAAATTACTGGATTTTGAGTATTTGGATCTGAAATTCGCTTGTCAGTACGCAGCCACAAGTTATGCATTTATATGGTAGTTTATCGATCAAGCTTCCATTGATAAGTTGCATAACAAAGTGTTTGAGTAAAGTTTAAAAAAGAAATGGTCCTAAGGATGTTAGTATGAAATGGTGGCAACATCTTTTAAAGTATGAAGAAAAAAAAAATTGAGCCAATGGCCCACTGAACAAGGTTTCAACTTGAAAAAAAAAAAAACACATGTTTTCTTTTCAACAAATTATACATAGAAAACAATTCACACATGAGGTTCAAAAATGTAATCTTGAACGAGATATTGACTAACAAGTATTTTAAACACAGATCAAATGGAAGTTGAATTATTCAAATGATTTCATTTGCATTATTTTAATTTAACAAGTGTTTCCTGTAAACACTCAAAATAAAATGTTTTGGAATTGATTTGCAGACTTACCACTCTTCTGTCGCACCAGTGATAACTTTTACTGTTTCAGCTTTAGTTTGTTTAATTTTAGTTTTCATTTTAATCATACCTGATGATGACTATTAAAAAACCAAAATGGCCATGGTGACATAAGCTTTTAGTGACAACCAGTTAAAACTCATCAGGCAAAAAAGAAAGCACATGGTAACTTCCAGATTTTCCTTCACGCGATTCGTTTTCCTCGTGAAATTTTGAAGAGAAAACATGTTGTATACTGCTTTTAATCGGACCTTGTCTAAAGGCCCATTATGCAGTTTTGGAGGAGTGAATATAAAATCTAACCTGACATCTCCACAAGCCAGGCAAGGAACATGTTGTGAGTTGGGGCGAATGAGGTACAGGGGTACAGCTTGATCCATTTCACCTTGACTAGTATGCTCGGCACATTTGAAATAAAACTCCACCCAACTGATTGGTCCACTCTGGCAAAAAAATAGTACATGAATTACCAATTGATAGCACGATGTTGGTTAAAAATAATGAATCATAACCTTAAGGATCAGTAGAATAGAATTCTGATGAGAGGTGTAATACTATCTGGAGGCATACTGATAGCACTATTAGAATTGCCTGACTTAAGCCATGATTTTATTTAAATATATTATTTTTTCTAGCGGGATATTAATTAATTTCAAGTCTCTGCAGAGATGAGTGGTTTAAGTGAATTTTTCAGCATGAGTGTTTAAACACTTCTGAAGAATCTTTGCACATTAGGCTATCATTAGACGATTATTCATTAAATTTACATTGATGTTAAATATTTTTGAAGTTTTTCTGTCAGTATTAAAGGGAGACATTTCAAACATATCCTAATTGGTCTTACATGACATAATAGTCTGTATCTGCTGTTTTTGGGGTAAACAAAGAGGTATAGTTTCAAATTAAAAATATATTAGTTTTAAGTATTATGAGAACATTTTTTTTGTCAAGTTTAGCCATCAATTATAAAGAAATAATCTCTGATTGAATTGTTGTGCACTCAAATAACAACTAAAAGATGACGGACAAAATTCAGCAGACTTTCAAAGACATCTGTTTTAACACCAAATCAATTACTAGATTTGGAAACCTCTGTTTGCAGCGTAATAGACTTCCAGTCATTCTTTTTTTTTTTTTTTTTTTTTTTTTTTCTTTCTTTGGAGGAAAAAACGGATTAACACAATTTCTTGAAAATGTTCATAAATTTTTTTTCTGTGCATGAAGAATAATCTGTAAAAATGTTGAGCAATAAAAGTGTCTCATTTTCCTTGGTAAAAATTTGATACTTAGAAGCAGGTATTTTAAAACACTGAGATCAAGATTCATAGCTTCCAAGTTCAAGTGACCATCAATATCACTGAAAAGTTGCGGCTCAGCAGTAAGGTGTAATTATCTGTTGATTCTTGGTTAAATCTTGTTAAAATTTTTACGCTTACTGCTGAGGCTTTTCTGTGGGACTGAAAATGAAGGGATGAAATCAAAATCTGATAAGAACTTACTGAACATGTCTCTTCCTCACAATGACCCGAGATTCTTTCGGACTCCAGGACATCAGCCCAGCTCTGAGGGTCACGATCGACAGTTATGGCACCACTCTTACAGTTGGCACATCTAACCCGCAATTTGCCTGTCCGCATGCCCTTGCATGGAGAAGCACAATAGACATAAAAATGGGCTTTCTCCGGGATGATTTTTTCATCATCATCAAGAGTGGTCTCTTCTTCTTCTGCTCTTTCGCTGATTTCACTTAGACTAAAATCGAGCAGGGTTTCACATAGTGGTTTGGATTCTGAAACAAGTTTCTTCCGTGATTTAACAGCATGAAGGATACTTTGCTGGCCCAAATCGCACTCCTAAAGAAAGAGAGAAAAACATTTCTGGGTAGTTAGTCAAATTAAAAAATGAGTTTTGCTTTAACTTACTGGAACCTGAATTTCTTTTAAAAATATCTTGCACCTAAGTCATCTATCATACCCTTTACATGAGAATTAATGGGAGTCTAGTAGATAGATTCACACGGTGATTGCCAAGTTTTTCAAGAGTTAAAATTTTAATTATCAGCCGGCAGGAATAAATGCCTAAATTAGCTTTCCAAAATGAGATAACAACAATTTTTCAAGTGTTTCTCCACCACGTTTTTCAAACCATGATAAGTAATGGTGTAACTCAAAAGAATCTTTCATAGCAAGGTCCATTATGTTCGGACAGACAAAGTTCAAAATGCTTGTTGCTTTAAATACTGTGGTCAAGTAGTTATGGAAGCAATAAGATAGCTTAAAGATTCTGTCAAGAGCATCCTCGTCTTCATTCCTTTATCTTCGATGGTTACACCACATTAATTACCATGAGCAGAAATGATTGCCATGATATTCAGTCTCACCTCCAGAAGGACAGAGTCTGGCAACTCTTTGCCTGCAAAAATTATCTTCACTTCCTCTGGTTCCAGTCCAAGGCGAGGCGCAACAACTTCTTTGACATTCTTGATATCCCACTTCGGGTCCAAATCCACCGAAACAGTATTCCCGGTATTAGACTTAACATAAATACTAAGTGAGTTGGTTATTGAATTCCGACTGAACCAAATGAGGTGAAAGACACTCTGAAAGAAATCAAAAAGGATGCTGAGAAGGCTCATGGTACAGTCAATGAACGATTTAATACTATGTCAAAAAATAATTGATTGACGGTATGGTTTACTCAGGTCGAAACATGTTATTTGTTATAACATGCTGATAGAACACTCGACATGTTAGGAACATTTTAAACACACCAGCTCTAAATCTGGAGAGAAATTTGGGCAAAAACTAAAATCCATTCGCAGTAGCAAGGGCATGCGAGGGAAAGTTTGTAAACAAAACTTCATAACCTCCAAAATTCGAATTATGACGTCACAGTCCAATTTGACCAACATTATTTACAAGTTTCACTAATCTACAGTCCTCAAAATTTTTTTCTTTCCAGATTTTCAAATAAGCTAGAAAATTTATAGATCGTTACTGTAATATTTTTCTCACCAATGAAGCTAATTTAAACGGACAATTTGCGACTAATTGAACTGTACTTACAACTTACGACTATTAATAAGTTTTTCAGCGTTTTGGTGACTTAGGCATATCGTGTTGGCTAAGTGAATGCTTGCTGATAAGCACTGATAAGGACCTAACCTAACCTCATTTTACAAAATCAAGAAACTGAGCCAAAGACAAAACCAACAAGAACGCAAAAAAACGTAACTGTGTAGTCTCGTTAGTTGAATAATTTGAAATATCTACTTTTCTCCAATGCCTCAATAACAATAGTTCCGAAACGTAGTGATTTGTCTTGCTAAGTGTGCCGGAAACTTTTAATATTTGAGATCCTTCATAGTGTTGTCATGTGAAATCTAGTTCGCTCATATCTCAAGTCATGGCTAATGGCTTTTCGACAGTGAGCGATACTCTTTGGACCACCAGAACGTCATTTTTTTCGAGTTTAGGAAAATTAAATCAAGTTTTGTTAAAAAAGTAGTATCGCTCCTTTTCAATTTCTGGAAATTTAATCTCTTCAAAATGAATATCCTACCGAAGAAAAGGTAAGACGTGCCATGATGGGTATTCGCATTCTGGAAACTATAAATCCTTATCATCAAGAAGATACCCAGTTGCTGCTTACAAGATAAGAAAGGGTTCAACTAGTTGCTCTGCATTTGTGTGACCCTTGCAGAATGACCGAGAGCATCACATTCTCTTATGAAATTGCTCTCCAAATTGCATCTCCACCTTATCTGCTCTCAGGACAGTACAAGAGGCTGATTCTAGTCTCTTCCTTTCCATGGCCAGCTTATTAGACAATGATTGTAGAAGGGTAAAACCAAAGGATTTCTCAGTCAATATTAAATATAACCGTTTGGCATCTCGATCAGTAAAATGTTAAATCCGAGAAATATCTCTGTTTAAGAGAAATGCTCTCTCGAAAAGTGTTCTTTAATTCCACATGCAATTACCTCTATTTAACTATTTTTTAGTTTTCCCTTCTACTCAAACAACATCTAATAGTGAGCTTCAGCACTTTGATTCATGTTAAAAACATGCTGAAGTTTTCATTAGGTTGCAAGTTTTCAACCTAACTTGTGAAGGTCCAAAGCCCACAGCCGCCCTCCTCTGTACATGCAAGAAATATTTTGAGCTACAGTTTTTTCTCTCTGATGATTTATCAATGGCATGAAGACAATGTGTGAATCGATCCTGTATGAATTGAATTGACATATGCAATAACGTCCGTTGTCCAATACAGGGTTTTATAATTGCGGTGGGTTTCTTTGGTCCCACGACACTGATGAATAGGATCATTCTCTTTTGTAAACGTTTAATTACACTTAGGGGATTATTTATAAAATTGTTCCACATCTCTAACATCTTATACCTTCTTGTGTCGTTAAGTTACAACAAAATTGTCCACTCAAATTCTGAAACACTGTCTTGAACATCGGACGTTTTCGCATACGTCGATTCAATTGTGAGTGATAATATTGTTTCCACCCATGCTGACCAAACGAGTAAGCAAGAGCACTCATCAATCTCCCAGCAAAATGGTGGAGTTACTGTCAATTTTTAATCGTTCTGAGGAGCTGCAAGGGTGCAAAAATGCCTGATCTTGTAATTGGCACAGAGTATTTGAATCAAATTTCGGCTCTCATGGCAATTTTCACTAAATTGGACTTTATTTCTTCCATCATTCTAACGAAGTGGAGCTCATTGCATTTTTATTATTCAATGAGGTACTTTCTATGAAGCAAATTGATAAGCATACTTTGAGGTGTTTGATGTCAGATCGCAAAAAGCTGTCGGACTGGTTGGGCTGTTTGAACATTTTGCATTACTGATGAACTGTATATTTATGATTTTAGATGGCACGTCCGCACCAAAGACAATATCGCAAGAGTCCGAAGAGATGAAGCTCAAGCAGCAGAAGAGGAAAGGGAGAAGTTAAGACGGATCCAACTTGCTGTAAGTTTACAAGAACCCATCAGAAAATATTTTTAGTGTATAGAAAGAACTAGCGCCATAGCCACCAACTGCTCCAACTGCTCATGCCATAGAAAGATTACTCCAAAAACTACCACAAAGTGTGGCCTCAAACCTCCCTTGGTATTTGAAGCAGTGGCAAAATTTAAGTGAAAAAACTAAGGCAGAGCAAAATTCTGAAGTAATGAAAAGGTCACCAAATTCCACAGAGAATCGCCAAAAAAAAAACTGTTCTGAAACCAGCTTAAGAAATCTCTCTAGACGAATCTTTTAGACGAAGGGACTTTAGTTTTTTAGCCCTCCTTTTTTTAAGTTAAATTACCAAAGTTGTTTTCAGTGGTGTAAAAAATAATCAATTGAAGAACAGGTATGTTTATAAATATGTTCAAACAGACAAAAAAATTTACCAATTAAAATTTGAGAAGAAAGACTCATCGAAAATAATGGTTACTTATTTTGCTTTTCAGGAAAAAGAGGCTAGAATTGAATTTTTGAAGAAGAAAGCCAGAGCACAGTATCATCATGAAGAAACCAAACTTGAGGAAGAGAAGGAAGTGAAAGTCACTGATGGAACAAGTGAGCCAGAACATGTGAATTTTTTCAAAGATATTGAAGAAGGGTTGGTAAAATTCACAGGGAAAAATGCTGAACATGATAAAGAAATTAAGGAAGAAAAAGAAAAGTATGAAAAACAGATTGGTTATCTGACATATCTTGGTCAAGATACAAACGAAGCAACGGGAAAAGTATCATGGTACAATAAAGCACCAGACTCTCATGAACAGTTATCGATAGAAGATGCCAATAATGAGTGTAGTTTAAAGGCTAAGTTATTCTTAGATCCATTAAAATCAATCAAAATTTATACCTCTCTAATGTCAAAAAGCCTGCCCAAAGCCAATTCTGTAATCCCTCCAAGCACAAGCAGTAATTTTTCTAATACTATCAGAGCCCCATCGCTTATACCTAGTGCTAAATCTATAAGCTCAAACTGTGTGGCAGTGAAAAGAAATGAGAGCTCTAGAAGAGAAACAGGTAAAGCCAAACTGAAGAAAAGGAAAAAATCAAAGCGCCGAGATAGTGATCGTGTAGATAACAAAAGTAGTAGTCATAGAAGTAGATCTCAATCTGAAAAAAGGCCTCAGCGAATGGACGATTCGTCTAGTGAACATAGTAGTGTATCTTTGACACATAGCTCTCGTAAAAAAAAGAAGAAGCATAAACAGAATTCTCATAACAGACATAAAAGTAAGAAAATTTGCAGCGCATCAGGATCAAAACGTAGTAAATCTGATTCAAATGGTCTATCAAAACGCAGGAAAAGTAAAAAAGTCTACAAAAATAAAAGATCTCAGAAATCTGATTCAAGTTCAAATTCCGATTCTGACTCATCTGCGTCTCATAGTTCCTCTTCTTCCTCTGATAGTTCTAGCACTTCCTGTTCACTAAGTGATTCCTCGACAAGTAGGGAAGGTAAAAAAATTAAAATTCATCCATCAAGTCAAGCAAGCGTGGATGAACTGCGTGCTCAAAGGCTTAAGAGGGAGGCTGAGGAAAAGATGAAGGCTCAAAAATTGTTGGCAAGATTAAGAGGTGAGGTGTTGCCAGAAGATAAACCAAGCCAACCAGTGCTTCAGCAAAAGTATAACTCTCAATTTAATCCTCACTTAGCTAAGCAAAATTATGCAGATGAAATTAAACGTTCCCGTCCAAAACGGTAATCAAGTATTCTATCTCTGACATAAACCAGCTACAAACTACATCTTCCTACCTAAAAATTAATTCCCTGCGAGATTTGGAGCTTTCAAGTGTCACAGATCCCAGATAAACTCAGTTGTCCCTTAAGAAGTTTGGAAGATCAGATTTTTTTTTTTTTTTTTTTGCTTGAAAAATTTAGCATAGCCTCTTCAATTTTCAAGCATTTTTTCTTACATGGTTTATGCCCAATTTTTAAGTCTGTTTATATTCTTAATTTTTGGGTTGGAATAGGGGAACTGATTGTGCATTTCAATCAGGTAAACAAGTTGTTTTGTTTCAATGTGCATTGAAACCCAGCCGTTAAAAAGCACCCAGAAAATTAGGTGTTGCTAAGATTCTTTGTTAGTATATTTTTTAATGTTTAAAAACTATGTTATTAATTTTTATGTTTCGGTAACACTTTATAATCCTGAGTTATTTTTCTTCTACCATGCTTAGTTTTTGGAGCCAAATACATACATAACATTGTATAAGAAGTCTGCGTTTTTATATGTTTTTACAATTTGAATTTTACAGTATGGAAAGTAATTTGGTCAAAGCCTTCTCTAGTAGAAGGGCAATATCATTTTCTGAATGATTTATGCATCTTTACAAAACTTCATTGGAACCATCGGTGAAGATAATCATGAATTGAAGAAACAGAATCAACCTGTCTGTTGGAAGTATAATACAATTTTCCACCACAAACATGTGTTAGAACAATGCCTTCTTGCTGTAAAAAATTTGTCTCTTACTTAATTTTTATTCCACATAACAGTATAGTGGCACTTATGACATAAAGAAAACGCCTACACTGAAACAGTTTCAGTTTTCTTCAGGAGAGCAAACAAGGTGATAAAAAATCACTATATATAGTAATAAGTATCACTGAAATGAAACATGTTTGTCTCTTTCTATCCAGTTAAACAATATTTCCACAAAATTATACTTAGCCTCTTTTTAATGTTTTACAAAAGCAATATCAACAATGACACTCCCAAATCACGTATCATGATTTGTGACATTGCAGACTTCCTGTCATACTTCATTTTTTAAATGGAAAACTACTCAACAGCAATTTCTGAAAACTGACAGGATTTTCCTTTTATATTTTTTTTTTTTTTTTTTTTTTTTTTTTTTTTTTTTTACTACTTCAAATAGCCCACAAGGGCTAATCCCATGCTTCAAGTCCCATCCCCCCTCCGTCCCTACTGAACAACCAGTCCCAGGCAACCATTGTTTGAGACCATCAAACTCGGGTCGCCTGGCCGGGAATCGAACCCGGGACCTCCCGATCATAGAGCATGTGCAAGGAAAATTATGTGAAAACTTCATGGAATGATGCTGATTTTTTCTATTTTTAAAAATTAAATATGAGCGGAGGTTCTAAAACACTGCATACAAGGTACCTACGTGGTTTGGGAGTTCACTGTCGACACAGTGTCTATAGGCACTACTATTAATAATTTAAGTGCAATTTTTGAAAGAATTGAGATATTAATGATTTCAAGTAAAACTAGTCCTAATTCATATTCTGTGAAGAACTTGTTCCCAAATTCCAATCTAAAGCATCAAAAAGGCAGTTTAAACTTTCTCTTCGCCACAAGAATCTACGTGATTTTGAGACTTCCAACACATATTTCTCAAAATAGCAAAAAGTGCATTAATGCGCCTTGTCCTCCAAGCCTAGCCTCTCAATACTTCCCTAACTTTCGGGGAGAAGTTCCCGATGAAATTCGGGATTTCTTTCTCACGTTCTCTAGAAAAAACTAGATTTCTCTCCCGAGTTCGATAGACAAATTTTTGCAACTGAATTTTAATTCACTTTTAGGACCAAATCCTCGAACTAGGCATTTTTTTTACAACCCAATCCATTGGTCCATTGAGCTCATCAAACTGTATCAGAACAAAATTCAAAATTTTTCGACCCATCTCCAGAAGTAGTTTAAGCAGAGGATGAGAATAAACAGTTCCACTGAAAACCTCTTTTCCGATGTATTTTCCAGAATTTTGGTGAATCAGAGGATGGAAAGGTGAACTAATAGTCCGAGAGCCAGACGACTTTGAGTGACAAACTCGGGATACATGTTTTGACCCCCTAAATCGATAGCCTTGCATGCACTGAAACGGAAAATTTTTGTCTGCCGCCCTCTAGCCTGTGCCATCACCCTCATCTAGGCCCTCAAAGTGGTCCAAAAAACACCATCTGGTGACAAACTCCTGACGCTCGGCAGACAAGTCTATTATTAAAGATCATACCCAGGGTGACTAGAAAAACTTTGTCTGCCGCCTTCTAGCCTGTGCCATCACCCTCATCTAGGCCCTCAAAGTGGTCCAAAAAACACCATCTGGTGACAAACTCCTGACGCTCGGCAGACAAGTCTATTATTAAAGATCATACCCAGGGTGACTAGAAAAACTTTGTCTGCCGCCTTCTAGCCTGTGCCATCACCCTCATCTAGGCCCTCAAAGTGGTCCAAAAAACACCATCTGGTGACAAACTCCTGACGCTCGGCAGACAAGTCTATTATTAAAGATCATACCCAGGGTGACTAGAAAAACTTTGTCTGCCGCCTTCTAGCCTGTGCCATCACCCTCATCTAGGCCCTCAAAGTGGTCCAAAAAACACCATCTGGTGACAAACTCCTGACGCTCGGCAGACAAGTCTATTATTAAAGATCATACCCAGGGTGACTAGAAAAACTTTGTCTGCCGCCTTCTAGCCTGTGCCATCACCCTCATCTAGGCCCTCAAAGTGGTCCAAAAAACACCATCTGGTGACAAACTCCTGACGCTCGGCAGACAAGTCTATTATTAAAGATCATACCCAGGGTGACTAGAAAAACTTTGTCTGCCGCCTTCTAGCCTGTGCCATCACCCTCATCTAGGCCCTCAAAGTGGTCCAAAAAACACCATCTGGTGACAAACTCCTGACGCTCGGCAGACAAGTCTATTATTAAAGATCATACCCAGGGTGACTAGAAAAACTTTGTCTGCCGCCTTCTAGCCTGTGCCATCACCCTCATCTAGGCCCTCAAAGTGGTCCAAAAAACACCATCTGGTGACAAACTCCTGACGCTCGGCAGACAAGTCTATTATTAAAGATCATACCCAGGGTGACTAGAAAAACTTTGTCTGCCGCCTTCTAGCCTGTGCCATCACCCTCATCTAGGCCCTCAAAGTGGTCCAAAAAACACCATCTGGTGACAAACTCCTGACGCCTAGTGCGGTTGCAGATGTACTCCTGTGAGCAGCTTGTGTAATAAAGTTTGAATGATACATCATTCTCTTCGTTTTTTCGTGTAGAATCCGATTTTCGATGTTGTCAAGTCCAAAAATGATGCTGGTGCCCCCAATTCAAGATGGCGCCCAAAATGGCCGCCCCGGGGGTCAAAATTCCAAAATTTGAGAATATTGTCGAGTTTGGTATCCATTTATATGTAATTTTGGTCGTAGAATTCATATCTGGTGTCAAAAAATAATTTCAACCCCTTAGGGTCCGTCAAATCCAAGATGGCGGCCAAAATTTCAACTTTAATGATAATTACCCAAGATGCACCTTTCACTGTCGAATGACGTGTCTTCATTTATGTTAATTAGGTCAGAAAACCTACAAGGGAGGTCTACAATGCCACTGCACCCTATGGAGGGCCAGGGTTCACCCCCTCCTACCCCCAATATGGCCGCCGCGGAGGGCATAAATAGTGACATTCTCTCAGAACGTCATAGTAGGTGTCCATTCCTATGTAATTTGAGGCGTAAATTCCAAATTTCAAGTCATAAATCGCAAATGTGAGACTTGCAATGGCTTATACCCTATATGGGGCCAGGGGAACCCCCTCAACCCCCTCTTCTTTCTAATATGGCTGCCATGGGGGGCATAAATAGTGAAATTCTCTCAGGACGTCATGTGAGGTGTCGATTCATAACATTGGGACCATATACGTTTTCAGATCCCAGAAATCGTCCAGAATTAAGAAAACACATAACTTCCAAGGGAAATTATGAACTTGATTTATCGACTTTTTTCACCCTGAAATGTCCGCTATTCCAATATTCGCCCACATAGGAACAGTGAAATTCTCTCAAAGCGGCATAGTAGGTGTCGATTTGTTTTTAATCTGAGGCGTGGATTTCGAATCACAAGTCAAAACATGTAAATATCCCATAGTGACGAAAATACTTATATATGGCAACCGCTTTGGCCTACATTTTGGACTAAAAATGCTGCTTGGGTTCATTTTTGTCGAAAGAGCTGGAAATGAATTGGTGATTTTAATGGTAATTGACAAATTTCACGCGTATTCTTTTTCTATGTACGCAAAGGACTCAGATGGGCGTCTGTTTTTTTCATTTTTAAAAATTCCCACAAAAATATAATTTTTTTGCCGACGAAGTATGTATCTGCATTCAGAGTTCCTATGTTATTGTTTATGAACGCACTCAGTTTAATTGCAATTAAAACAACTGGATAATTGAGTGCTTTTTGTAGCGCAGGGTTTCGTCTCCTAGTAGAAGCGACACCTACAGTTTCCTGCGTTATCTGCAACAAAACGCACGCTCCTGCTAGAAGAAAATCGATTACAAAAAGAACCATCTATTATCCAGTTATCTAATAATGAAAGAACCAGAAACCAATATGAATCCTCTGTGTACATTTGAAAAAGAACACCGGTGAAATATGTCAATCACCATTAAATTATCCGATTCATTTCCAGCTCTTTCGACATAACTGAACCCAACCCAAGATGCATTCTTTATTCCAAGATGAAGGCCAGAGCGATTGCCATGCTTAAGTGTTTTTGTCACTTTGAGATATTGACGATTTCTGACTTAAAATTCGGAATCTACGCCTCAACTTACATGAGAATCGACACCTCACATGCCGCTTTGAGAGAATTTCACTGCAACTATGTCCCCCCGGCGGCCGTTTTGAAGAGGGTACGGGGCTGCTCCTGGCCCCGCGTAGGGTGAAATGGCCTCAACTTACATTAGAATCGACACCTCACATGCCGCTTTGAGAGAATTTCACTGCAACTATGCCCCCCCCGGCGACCGTTTTGAAGAGGGTAGGGGGCTGCTCCTGGCCCCGCGTAGGGTGAAATGGCATTCCAGACCTCTAATTTGCGATTTTCAACTTGGAATTCGGAATATAAGCCTCTACTTACATAAGAATCGACACCTCACATGACGTCCTGAGAGAATTTCACTATTTATGCCCCCCATGGCAGCCATATTAGAAAGAAGAGGGGGTTGAGGGGGTTCCCCTGGCCCCATATAGGGTATAAGCCATTGCAAGTCTCACATTTGCGATTTATGACTTGAAATTTGGAATTTACGCCTCAAATTACATAGGAATGGACACCTACTATGACGTTCTGAGAGAATGTCACTATTTATGCCCTCCGCGGCGGCCATATTGGGGGTAGGAGGGGGTGAACCCTGGCCCTCCATAGGGTGCAGTGGCATTGTAGACCTCCCTTGTAGGTTTTCTGACCTAATTAACATAAATGAAGACACGTCATTCGACAGTGAAAGGTGCATCTTGGGTAATTATCATTAAAGTTGAAATTTTGGCCGCCATCTTGGATTTGACGGACCCTAAGGGGTTGAAATTATTTTTTGACACCAGATATGAATTCTACGACCAAAATTACATATAAATGGATACCAAACTCGACAATATTCTCAAATTTTGGAATTTTGACCCCCGGGGCGGCCATTTTGGGCGCCATCTTGAATTGGGGGCACCAGCATCATTTTTGGACTTGACAACATCGAAAATCGGATTCTACACGAAAAAACGAAGAGAATGATGTATCATTCAAACTTTATTACACAAGCTGCTCACAGGAGTACATCTGCAACCGCACTGAGCGTCAGGAGTTTGTCACCAGATGGTGTTTTTTGGACCACTTTGAGGGCCTAGATGAGGGTGATGGCACAGGCTAGAAGGCGGCAGACAAAGTTTTTCTAGTCACCCTGGGTATGATCTTTAATAATAGACTTGTCTGCCGAGCGTCAGGAGTTTGTCACCAGATGGTGTTTTTTGGACCACTTTGAGGGCCTAGATGAGGGTGATGGCACAGGCTAGAAGGCGGCAGACAAAGTTTTTCTAGTCACCCTGGGTATGATCTTTAATAATAGACTTGTCTGCTGAGCGTCAGGAGTTTGTCACCAGATGGTGTTTTTTGGACCACTTTGAGGGCCTAGATGAGGGTGATGGCACAGGCTAGAAGGCGGCAGACAAAGTTTTTCTAGTCACCCTGGGTATGATCTTTAATAATAGACTTGTCTGCCGAGCGTCAGGAGTTTGTCACCAGATGGTGTTTTTTGGACCACTTTGAGGGCCTAGATGAGGGTGATGGCACAGGCTAGAAGGCGGCAGACAAAGTTTTTCTAGTCACCCTGGGTATGATCTTTAATAATAGACTTGTCTGCCGAGCGTCAGGAGTTTGTCACCAGATGGTGTTTTTTGGACCACTTTGAGGGCCTAGATGAGGGTGATGGCACAGGCTAGAAGGCGGCAGACAAAGTTTTTCTAGTCACCCTGGGTATGATCTTTAATAATAGACTTGTCTGCCGAGCGTCAGGAGTTTGTCACCAGATGGTGTTTTTTGGACCACTTTGAGGGCCTAGATGAGGGTGATGGCACAGGCTAGAAGGCGGCAGACAAAGTTTTTCTAGTCACCCTGGGTATGATCTTTAATAATAGACTTGTCTGCCGAGCGTCAGGAGTTTGTCACCAGATGGTGTTTTTTGGACCACTTTGAGGGCCTAGATGAGGGTGATGGCACAGGCTAGAAGGCGGCAGACAAAGTTTTTCTAGTCACCCTGGGTATGATCTTTAATAATAGACTTGTCTGCCGAGCGTCAGGAGTTTGTCACCAGATGGTGTTTTTTGGACCACTTTGAGGGCCTAGATGAGGGTGATGGCACAGGCTAGAAGGCGGCAGACAAAGTTTTTCTAGTCACCCTGGGTATGATCTTTAATAATAGACTTGTCTGCTGAGCGTCAGGAGTTTGTCACCAGATGGTGTTTTTTGGACCACTTTGAGGGCCTAGATGAGGGTGATGGCACAGGCTAGAAGGCGGCAGACAAAGTTTTTCTAGTCACCCTGGGTATGATCTTTAATAATAGACTTGTCTGCCGAGCGTCAGGAGTTTGTCACCAGATGGTGTTTTTTGGACCACTTTGAGGGCCTAGATGAGGGTGATGGCACAGGCTAGAAGGCGGCAGACAAAGTTTTTCTAGTCACCCTGGGTATGATCTTTAATAATAGACTTGTCTGCTGAGCGTCAGGAGTTTGTCACCAGATGGTGTTTTTTGGACCACTTTGAGGGCCTAGATGAGGGTGATGGCACAGGCTAGAAGGCGGCAGACAAAGTTTTTCTAGTCACCCTGGGTATGATCTTTAATAATAGACTTGTCTGCCGAGCGTCAGGAGTTTGTCACCAGATGGTGTTTTTTGGACCACTTTGAGGGCCTAGATGAGGGTGATGGCACAGGCTAGAAGGCGGCAGACAAAGTTTTTCTAGTCACCCTGGGTATGATCTTTAATAATAGACTTGTCTGCCGAGCGTCAGGAGTTTGTCACCAGATGGTGTTTTTTGGACCACTTTGAGGGCCTAGATGAGGGTGATGGCACAGGCTAGAAGGCGGCAGACAAAGTTTTTCTAGTCACCCTGGGTATGATCTTTAATAATAGACTTGTCTGCCGAGCGTCAGGAGTTTGTCACCAGATGGTGTTTTTTGGACCACTTTGAGGGCCTAGATGAGGGTGATGGCACAGGCTAGAAGGCGGCAGACAAAGTTTTTCTAGTCACCCTGGGTATGATCTTTAATAATAGACTTGTCTGCCGAGCGTCAGGAGTTTGTCACCAGATGGTGTTTTTTGGACCACTTTGAGGGCCTAGATGAGGGTGATGGCACAGGCTAGAAGGCGGCAGACAAAGTTTTTCTAGTCACCCTGGGTATGATCTTTAATAATAGACTTGTCTGCCGAGCGTCAGGAGTTTGTCACCAGATGGTGTTTTTTGGACCACTTTGAGGGCCTAGATGAGGGTGATGGCACAGGCTAGAAGGCGGCAGACAAAGTTTTTCTAGTCACCCTGGGTATGATCTTTAATAATAGACTTGTCTGCTGAGCGTCAGGAGTTTGTCACCAGATGGTGTTTTTTGGACCACTTTGAGGGCCTAGATGAGGGTGATGGCACAGGCTAGAAGGCGGCAGACAAAGTTTTTCTAGTCACCCTGGGTATGATCTTTAATAATAGACTTGTCTGCCGAGCGTCAGGAGTTTGTCACCAGATGGTGTTTTTTGGACCACTTTGAGGGCCTAGATGAGGGTGATGGCACAGGCTAGAAGGCGGCAGACAAAGTTTTTCTAGTCACCCTGGGTATGATCTTTAATAATAGACTTGTCTGCTGAGCGTCAGGAGTTTGTCACCAGATGGTGTTTTTTGGACCACTTTGAGGGCCTAGATGAGGGTGATGGCACAGGCTAGAAGGCGGCAGACAAAGTTTTTCTAGTCACCCTGGGTATGATCTTTAATAATAGACTTGTCTGCTGAGCGTCAGGAGTTTGTCACCAGATGGTGTTTTTTGGACCACTTTGAGGGCCTAGATGAGGGTGATGGCACAGGCTAGAAGGCGGCAGACAAAGTTTTTCTAGTCACCCTGGGTATGATCTTTAATAATAGACTTGTCTGCCGAGCGTCAGGAGTTTGTCACCAGATGGTGTTTTTTGGACCACTTTGAGGGCCTAGATGAGGGTGATGGCACAGGCTAGAGGGCGGCAGACAAAAATTTTCCGTTTCAGTGCATGCAAGGCTATCGATTTAGGGGGTCAAAACATGTATCCCGAGTTTGTCACTCAAAGTCGTCTGGCTCTCGGACTATAATAGAAATGCTGATTATGTAACCATGCTCAACGTTTACTGGCCGTTGCTCTAAACTAGCGGCGCTTTTAGTGGGAAATCTGCGCGAGCAGTGGATATTAGATTTTCCCTTACTTTTGGAATTTTGGATGCGAGCTGGGTGACCTCTCCTCCTGCTGAAGAACGTAGCTAGATAACTTGAACCCTCGCGAAGTATTTCATTTAGATTCAATTTTTCCCGCCTTCCGGTCAACGAGAGCTCCACCAATCGCGTACTAACTGCACTCAACGCTGACTGGTCATTGCACAATCTGCGAAAAATTAGCGGGAACCATCAGCCAATCAAAAACGATTCGCTCCTTTACCTGGAAAGCAGAAGTTACTACGCGAGTCACACCATGGTCACACCTCTTGATTTCTCTTTGCTTTGTGTTCTTACTGTTATTTGAGGTTAAGTTGCGTGTGGTTGAATCTGATAATCTGATAATAAGTATCTTTTCACTGTTTCACATTAATTTTCGTTCATCTTGTGTGAGCTTATCATCCGTTGTGCACTCAAAGAAGGCTATTCTCCGTGTTTTATATATTTTTTTAACTAATTTTGTACCATGCTCATCAATCCTTTTTTTCGAGCCCATGTGAGCAATTTGTCTACTGAGAGGCCTTTATCTTCGTAAAAGCTCTGGATCAACCCATTAGCCCATCCTTTCACGTGTACGTATCACTACTCCTTTTTTCACCAAAATACTAGCCAAGATTTTATATTTTGATTCTGAGATTCTCTGCCCTGAGATTCATCCGAAAGAGGACCTCCTATTACAGAAAAACTCACCTATTTAGAGTCGAATCCTTGGCTCCTCCAGCAATCAGGGACTATCATTCACTTGTTCAAGTTTTGAGATCCAACTACGTATAGGCAGTGGGAAGGTCAAGTGTAATGCACTGGTAATAGAAGAAGCCAAGCGTACGTCATATTGGCAGCGGTCAAGTGATGGCCGAGACATGAAGTGAACCTAATCAAGGTATGCAGTATCTGACCGTTTGGATTGGTCTGGGTGGGTCAGAACAATAATGCATCGTCACAGTCAACAAAATAACAATAAGAAATACTGAATAAGAAACTTAAGAAATATTATATTTAATCAATTTCCATTGCATTTTAATATTTCCATGTCTAACGCTATCAAGTATCTTCCACTTACTATCTCTCTACACTTCTTTTAATCAAAAATCAGGAATTATTATTTTTCTAAAATGCTAAGCATTGAGCTTATCAATTAATCAACCTTTAAAATTGTTGGGTTCATAGGTTGCTCCTGACTTTTTTCAAAAGTCTTGACATCTTTTCCATGCAAATTCTAAACTTTCTGCTTCACGCTTTAAAATTTAATCTCAGCAGAGTAGGTAAGCACTTACCTCAGGAACTCAACTTCCATGAAATATTGTACTTAACAACTTTCCAGTATCAGGAGTAGGTGTGTTCATTAATATAAATTTTTCATTTAATTTTACAGTAAACATGGGTGATAATGATATGAAACAAATTGATCCATCAAAAGACAAATTACCAAAATCAGCAAGATATTATATGCAACTGCTTGAACAGCAAAACGTCGAGCGCGCACGTCGGATTGCCTTGACACGTTACAAAAACCGAATTTTAGGGGCTGTCCTCGCTTCAACTGTACTTTCAATTTACGGATACACAATGTTTGCCACGAAACAAGAAACCTTCCTTGACGATTTTGAAGAGCCACTCTTGGTGATCGACGAACCTAAAAAGTGATAATTATCTCTTTCATATTTTATTGGTGTCGAACGCTTTTTTTTAAAGACTATAATTGGTGTTAAAGATCTTTCTTATTGATTTTAGTACTTCTTTCGTTTTGATTTAATTAATCGGCAACATGGTTGGAAGTGCACAAATCTCAAGAGCTACCAGTTATGTTCGCCTACCCCCTTTGCCCTCCATCAAAGACCTCATCAGACTATATAAGCTGCGAGCTTTACGGCAGCTTTCTCAGAATTTCCTATTGGATGAACGCATAACCAACAAGCTTGTGAACCAAGCTGGGAGCATTAAAGGTGCAGAAGTGTGTGAAGTGGGACCAGGACCAGGATGCATCACCAGGTCAATTATCAGGAAAGGTGCAGAGAAAGTTATTCTCATTGAAAAGGATCTAAGATTCATGCCAACACTGAAGGTAAACTCATGTCAGTTATTATCGGATTTCTTTTCCAGTAATGTCAAATATCCTCAATTTTCCTCTGACTGTAAAAATTCTGAGTAGTGCCTTAGCTGTGAGGAATATTCCTGAAATACACTGATTTATATAGTGTTTTCTATATCACATTCTCGTCAGTTTCGGCCGACAGACAGAAATGACATCCTCCAATCCAGATTTTTGTTTGATTTTTTTTTCTTTCAAAGTAAGTATCGTCTCATATGTGTTATTCCAAACTGGGTGTCTACAGGTATTGAGAACCAGCAATTGTCATGGAATTACATCAGGTCAGGGAATTTCATGAAAAAGACTGGAAATTTGAAATATCTTGAAGTATGAAATCTCACAAAACATCAGCATGAACCACACGATCAAAATGAGTCCCAGTTCGGTATAGTAGCCAAAAGTCGTCAAACCAAAGTGTTTTTTTTTCTCTAACTTTTGTCATAAATATTCTTATTACTGTCTGAAAGGAAATGAAATCATTTTCATTTATTATTCATGTTTCAGCTGTTAGCAGAAGCTGCTCCTTGTGAAATAAAAATCCTCCATGGAGATGTGATGTCTTTCAACATGGAAAATATATTTTCAGAAGAAAACCGCCGCAATTGGCTGGAAGAGCCGCCAAATATCCACATTATTGGAAATTTACCGTTCAATGTATCCACTCCACTCATCATCAGGTGGCTCAAAGACATATCTTATAGGTAAAATTTCCATATTGCATCCTGCATATTTTCAATCTAAAAGCCTGGCTTCAATGTTTATTTTTACTTTCTCGCTCCCCTAGGTTTTATTTCTTAAGCAATCAGTCCATAACTAGTCATATCATAAAGTTTAAGATTTAATATTTCCTAATGAAGGCAAAAGAATCTAAATGCCATGTGGTGAGTTTGACGGGAAGTTTGATGGGAAGTAATGCACCTTTTTAACTTTTTGTGAATGGTTAGAGATTTTCTTCGGTAAGCAATATAGGAATGGATTTCTGGCAAAGATCGGCTGGAATCTCGGAGAGAGAACATATCAGGAATGAACCCGTCTGGGATATAATGGGCGATAAGGGGACAATGGGCCTGTTGCAAACTTTTGCTAGAGCAAAAATAAGAGTTGTTTCTTATAGATAATGCCTCAAAAATCACGATGAGCGCATTGGCAAAGTCTGAAATGCACTCATAACTTCACAATCTGCGTAAGAAATTTGCGGTTTTTTGAGCTTCCCGCTTCAAAAACGATACCACGGCATAGGTGAACATTTTGTTAGAGGAGTCGTTCCATCGTCGGCAATACTCATCATGGCCGACGACAATCCGCCAAAACACCTGTGATGGGACGAGATAACACCTGAACAGGATTAGACTAGATAACAATCGGCGTGTTTACGTTCATATTTTCCTCACCCGCCTTGATTGACCTTGAACTCTCCTCAAAATACGCGCGGAACTGCGCAAGCGTCGGCCATGATGAATATTGCCGACGATGGAGCGACTCTTCTAACAAAATGTTCACCTGTGCCGTAGTATCGTTTTTGAAGCGGGAAGCTCAAAAAAACGCAAATTTCTTACGCAGATTGTGAAGTTATGAGTGCATTTCAGACTTTGCCGATGCGCACATCGTGATTTTTGAGGCATTGTATATAGGAAACAACTCTTATTTTTGCTCTAGCAAAAGTTTGCAACAGGCCCATTGTGCATGATGTCATGACCACGCAGTAGGTATGGCATGAGCATGTGCAGAGGATGGCTGATACCAGGTTGCTGAAGAAGGTGTCGGAGTGGGTCCCTCTAGGTAGGCGTCAGAGAGGGCAACTAGCTGAACAGTGGATAAAGGACATCCGTCAAGAGATGGAGAGATGCCAGCTTCTGGAGGATCTTTACCATGACAGATTCCTGTGGCGGGCAGGCGTTGCAGAGCGCCCTAGCGTGCCATAAAAGGTTCTTATCCATACAGGTAATACAGAAAGGAAAGGAGATGTCATCACCTTAAAAATGGTTTGCTATTTTCTAATTGAGTCGCTTGTTGGTAGGATACAATACTTTCAACAGTAGTTACTTCAGTTTTCTCATGGAATCTGTAAAATACACTCAAGCTCCAGTTTTTCAAACAGCCTCTCTGACTTCTCTTGACTTTAATATTTCAATGCTCTATGTATGATTGAACTCTTTTAAACTTTCCTTTTTCTCAGGCAAAACGCGTGGAACTATGGTCGAGTTCGTCTAACGCTGACTTTTCAAAAAGAATTTGCAGAAAGATGCGTGGCAAAAGTTGAATCACCTGAACGCTGTCGTTTGTCTGTAATGTGCCAAAACTGGTGCTCTGTATCCTATGGGCTCACTATTCCAGGTAAATTGCAATCATCCCCCTTTTGTACGGATCTCATAAAATTAGTTTTATGCATGGTGTTGGTGAAGTCATCTTGTGTTGAATCTTAAGTTTTTCATAATTTTCTTCTCCCCAATTAGTATGGGCTGCTTCCAGCAAACTAAGACACAGGTATTATGAAAGTTTACAAGATTAGTTTTAGGAGAGGGTAGGAGTCTCTTTTCTTTATTTCTTTGCAGCACCCCTCACAGACACGAAAGATCCATTTTCTGAACCTTTTTGTTAGAAATATGGAGAAACAAGTCAGGAACAAAATACAAACAAATTTTATGTCCAAATCATCATCAAAAGGCATTATTTGGGTTTAAAACACATCAATTGTTTTTACAAAAGGCAGTAAGTGACTAGATTTGACCAAATAGAAGTTGAAAGGGGAAAAAAAATCCATTGATCCTGAGGATCAAGTACGCATTCTATGAGATAAGTGACTCGCAATGCACAGCAGGGGTGAAGAAAATGCCCTATCCCACACTCAGGTAAGGGTGTGAAAATGTTTAAGGGTCTAATGTTGACAGTCAAAGGCTGATATGAAGCCGAATCTGTAAGAACAGCGGATATCGAACATCTGCCATAATGCCTTTTTAGAATTGGCCAACCTTCAGGAGTGTTGGTACGAAGTTTCAGACTTTTGGCATAACATCTCACTAAGATGTGAATAAAAAACCATGTTGAATCTACAAACAGCGGATGTCAGAATTTGTCGAAATATTAAATTTTGAGCTGCATAATTCGCTAATGCCCATTAATCTCCTTGAGGATCGTGTAAATGAGCACATCACAATTGTAATAAAAGTTACTAAGACCTATTGTATGTAGGTCTTTGGTAGATGACACCCTTTTCAATTTTTACCCTACTTTAACAGACTAGTAACATAATTTGTTCCTTTTTTTTATATTTGATCAGGTGCCGCTTTCTTACCTCGGCCAAAGGTTGATGTTAGTGTGGTTCGCTTCACACCCTTGAAATATCCATTGATTCCTCTCCCTTTCGAATTGATTGAAAAAGTTGTTAGAACTGTGTTTGCTGGAAAGAAGAAATACTGCATTAATGGAATAGGGTGAGTTATTCTCCTCATTTTTTAAACGCTTCAAATTTCTCAGGTTGTTTCGTAAAATCCTTACGAATAAGTAAATTTCCCAATTTTTTAAATCCCTTTGTGTTTTTCAAATTAAAAAATTTCCTGAATTCCAATTAAACGACGTCTTGCAATTAGAAACTACTATTTTTGGCTCATTTTAGCATCAATGTATGGGATATTCATTTGCCTGTGCAGGTACGTGATTTCATGGTTGAGCCAGAAACAGTTGTTTCTTATTGCAAAATGCAGTCCAAATTATCTGGTCCTTTCATCCATCACAGTTCAGCAGATTTGATTTTTTCCCCATGCAATGAAGTCTGCTAGAATGTTGAATAGAATTTTTCAAATGTCCCTTGTCTTGATTGATTAATTTCTACCCTATTCTTCTTGTTTAACAAACTCATACTCAAAAATTTTTAATGAGAATTTTAAAATCCTCGGCTAGTTTCATTTCCATCAAATTGTTTTCTCTTCATCTTTCAGGAACTTATTCCCTCAACCGGTCCGTGAAAAGTTAGGAGAAGAAGTGATAAATCTAGCAGAAATTAAACCAGAATGCCGTCCTGTTGACCTAACTGTTCCTGAAATTGGGAGGATATGCTACGCATATAAAGAAATTTGTGATAGAAATCCAAAGCTTTACAAGTACAACCATCGTCAGGCAAAAGGAAAAGATGCGGACTTCCTTGAAGATCCTGACTCTGAAGCGGACTCGAGCAGTTTAGAAGAAGAATTTGATACGTTAGTGGATGATAAGGAAACTGAGGAAGGAATTGAAAAAAATTAGTTTAATCAAATAAATAATAATCAAGGACATGAAGCGGATAGTGTTGGGATTGTAAGAACTATCTAGTCCTTGTTATTGAGTTGTAGACTTCTAGTTGTTAAGAACTCGCTTCTTTAATAAACTAAATCTCTGTGTAAAGTACTTTTCTTTCCTTTTCATTTCATGAAACGAGCAATTGCTTTGCTGAGCTTTTTTGCTGTTACCTCTTCATCTTATTTTTTAATTCAATAGCCTTAATTTGTCATTGAGTAGAGTTTGTCCATCAGCCATATCTATGGTGAAACTCCCAAACCATGTATCTCAGTAATGGAGAATTTGCGGGTGTGTGATATTTGATGAATTTAATATTTGATCGGAAACTACTGACTAAACTGAGCCGGTGAACATCCTTGGTTTCTAAATTGAACAATTCTTGGAGGAGATATGATCAAATGATCAAAATTGCTAAAATACATGTGTTTAAATAAGAAATGCCGCGAGATGAAATTACGAGGCATATATTTTCTCACTTTGAAATCTATTTTTCTACGCTTTCCCATTTCAGAAAATGTTTTAAAAGATACTGCTAACTTGACTCATTAAACGCTATCAGATGAAGCAATAAATTGCTTCAAAAGCAAAAATACAAATTCTCCATTGGGACTCAGCAGACTTCCTGACATACTTTTTTTTTCTTTAATAGGTAGATAGCTATTCATCATCAATTCTTATAAGTTTCGATGATTTTTCCTCTCAGTGCAGAAAAAATTCTGAGGAAACTTCAAGGAATGTAGTTGCTTTGTTCTCAGTTAATAAAATTAAACAGGAGCGGAGATTTTCAAATACTGCAAACTATATAATTATGTGGTTTGGGAGTTTCATTGTTGATATGCAACTCTAAATTCTCCACCATTTGGTGAAGCGCCGAATTTAGTTTCGCGCAGAGTCTCTGGTGACTATTTTCCGACAGCGCGGCGCGTTGCCTGATAACGCTCTCATGAAGACGCGCTCGTTCCTCTGTGAGTGTCGCACAGTTTAAATTTGATTTGGAGCAGCCTATGCGCAAAACTAAATTTGGCAATAGTTCAGGGTTTCTCAGAGTTAAACAGTCCCGTTGTACGAGCAAGTTAAATGATTCAAAGTAAGACTTTTTCTATTTAAAAAAAATAAATATATAAATGAAAAAAAAAAAAAACAGCAGAAGCTTTGCTACTGTGTTGAGAAACGCTGAATAAACAGTGGAAGGTTGCCAGACTTCTCGTGTTGAAATTTTCATTTTCAAGGAAATTTACAAGGATGTTTCCTTAAAATATTCAGACACTTTAGATCGAATTTAGGATAAAATCCTCTGAAAAATCCAATGAAAAATATTTGAGTTTCTCTGACAATTCGCATTTTATCAAGCGAAATTTGGCAACACTTGAAGGCTCATACGGCGTTCTTCCGTAGCACGGCTGTATGATAAAATCATTCGTACAATCAGATTTGAAAAGAATTCTTTCAAAATTTTGTCAAGAATCTCGACTTTCATAATCAAGACCCCCTATTAACTCCAAAAAAGTGAGGGGGGGGGGGCGTCTACGGGACGAAGAAATTCGAATCCCTCAGGGCCGATTCTTTCTCCGGGTGGTCCGTGATCTCGTCCGAACTAAATAACAGAAAAAATAGCCTGGCGCGGGTTGTGCGGAACACCCTGTATATGAATATCAGGGATGATTAATTCGATCAAACAAGATTATTAATTTACCGGAATAGTTTGTTTTTTTCCCCGATCATTATGAGCAGTGTCACGTTTCAGCAGTCGCGTCGAAATCCAAAGGTTTTCGACCGAGCTGAAAGCGACACCGATGTAACGAGTAATAAATCAATAAAAATCGAATGCGTAGGTACATCCCATGATTAGCTCAAAGGGCACACAAAGGAAGAGGAATAGCCATTGTGCCTGTGCTGGGGCTGGGATGCGGATGCGACCTTTCTTCTTCTGGTCCAGGTGCGCGTCATTTTTTTTTTGAGTTTTCAGTCGAGGCAATCCTGTCAATTGTGCATTGTTGCCAAGCACAGCAACCTACACGTATGGCTTGCTTAGCGTCAGCTTATCCCGATCCTGATAACTGGCATTTTTTGCCTGATCAAGAAGTCGCTCTGTGTATATTTATTCGTTAGAGTTGCGTAAAATTCATCAAAGCAAACTGGAGATAACTCCAAAATATCCGAGAGGGTACCGTGCAAGTCGGTGTCTAAAACCAAAAATCATAAACAGAATATCCGCCCTTTTCTTTCTCTCGCCACATCTCTGCGCCTCCCTTATAGGTACCATCTCTTCTCACAACCCCAGCCCTTTTCTCTCCCCTCCAAGTCTAAGAATTTAGGGTGGTGGAGGCCCTCCGGTCCTCTAAAGGGGCTTAGGTCAGGGGGGCTTGGCCCCATACTTAGATAAATGATACTCAACTCTGACTCAACTCGCCAAAGAGTGGAGGGGCACGGAGAGAGGTCCGGGGTGCCAATGCCTTCCCTGGAAATTTTGGGAAATTGATTCAATTTCCGATGCATTTCATGATTACTGCGATGCAAATTTCGTATGCGTCTTTGGTGCCAGATTTTACTCGGGTTTTTCCTTGAAACTTATGAATCAAATCAAAGGAAAATTATCACTCGTGAGGGCAAACCTTTTTTGCAGTTCTTACTACCTACGATGAAAAAAAATTATCTTGCGGTGGGAGTCCTGGGTCGGTCGCTCCCCCTCCCCTAAATCCGGCTCTGCTGCTCCTATGACTTGGTAAGAGATCATTCAATTTATATAAACTCAATCTAGAAGATGACATCAAATCCTATTCACCATGCCGTGAAATTTCTCATTTTAAAATTGCAGATGAAAGTAGCTTACTATTTTCATGCTGTCTAATGTGTTTTTAAACCGGCGCACACTGCGACTCATATCTAGTCGAATGAACCCCATACTTGTAATGAAATGAAAATAAATCCAGGAATTGAGATGATCATATTTTACTCTCTTGTACTTCTCACATCCTCTCATTAGCCGTTCAGATTTTTATTAAATAGCTCATGGTAACTTCTACGTTTGTAGGTGGTAGATTGAGGGCAAATAAGCGTATACGGAGTTACGGACAATTTGTGCTGCCGCGCTTTTTTAAAATTCGCGCGCAAATTTTGTAATAAATAATCAACAGCCTGGCAACCTTGCAACGCAGTGAAGGGAACTTGCAGAACAAAAAAAGGTCCAAATTCGGCGTCTTGCATTGTGTTGTCGGCGTCGGGCTTCCGTCCTGTGAGATTTTGCGAGTTTTGGAAAGTCGCGGCTTTTGTCTCGTTGTGTGCATGCCATTCCAGTGATTAGTGATCAAGCTAGTTTGTGAAAATGTCATCGAAACGCAAGTCTGATACCGGTGGAAGCAAGAAATCGAAGAAAGCCAAGCAGAATGGCAAGAAAGAGGAGGCCGATTACAGCGATGACTATGATGATGATTCCTCATCTGGAGCCAGTTCGGAGCCCGAGCCAGAGACCTACGATGATGATCTTGATCCTAGCGACTCGACTCTGGTTTGCCCCTTGTGTTCTATTCATCCCAAACCAACCTCACTTTACCATGGTGTTTGGCCATGGAAGTAGGTTATGTCCCTTCACTCAGTGCTCTCAACTGAGACTACATGCAGAGACACATTTCTTTACCTCTACTGCGTACAGTTTGCATGCCCTCATCTAGATTCCTTTCAATCTGTCTTCGGTCTCCATGTTCTGACTGACATATTTTACCGGGCTCTTTTTCTTCCGCTCAGGGGAGCCTCAGTCGTGCCATTTTAAGGCTATTGCGCCACCGAATCTTTCGACAGCCTAAAATGTATTATGCATTGCGTGAATCACATTGAGTAAAACAGTCTTTATTCAACCGTAACCACCCAAGGGCAGTACGCAGTCTGAATTTGGACATGGATCTAAATTCTGCACGCATGATAATGTTCCTCATTGATGGGCAAATCGGGGTCATCCTACTCAGTAACACGCTATTCATGCACGCCCTTGTATCGCTAAACTTTCTCCTGTAACATCAGTCCAACTCAAATTCGGATAGCTGCAAGTTAAACAAAGCATTGCCAGAAACATCCGGAGCTCCTAACGGGTACGGCCACTAGACGCTATTAGTGCAACGTCACAGAAAAGCGATATATATTGATTTTTTTGCACTGGTAGCATTGAAAGAGGTTATGCCAATGTTATTGTTTGGATCCAATTCGATATAATGGAGAATCCCTATGATGACGTCGCCACTAATAGCGTCTCTAAATAGCCTATTGTAATCTGACCCATTGATGATTGCAGGGAGATGATATATTTTCATTTGCAAAGTCTGTCAAGCATTTTGATTGTAGGCACTGTCAGGCCCCTCAATGCTTGATCCCCTCATAAACTACCTTCAAACAATTTGTCATGCACTTCTTGTCTATGGTTTATTGAGATAAAGAATGCCAGTAAGGGCATAAGTAGCATGAAAAGGTTTCTCTCAAGTTTCTCGAGTATTTTGCCTAGCGTAAATATTTACCTGATAATTGCCAAGTTTTGCGCACTAACATGAGAGCATGAAACACTTGTATCTTGTTTAAGCATCAGTTTAATAGTGAAGATTATTGAATGAGAAGATACCGGACTGATTTTAGTTGAGGGTTTTCCCGAGTAAAATATTCTATACTGATTTGTAGTATACTTATGTATCAGATTGCAATATCAAACATTTAAGAGGAATTAAAGTTCAATCAGCCAGAAAGTGCTGTCTTGAAGTGTGGGAGTATAAAATACAGAAGTAAAATACTCGAACTACCACTAAGTAGAAAGTAAGGTTGTGGAAGTCTCCTAGGGTCACCTCAAGTCGTGTCTAACAAAACCATTGTTTTTTTTTCCAGCGAGTTAAAGGACCAGAAGATTCTGGAGTAGTACTGATATGTGGAGCAGTGAACTGGGATTTAAGTGGAAGAAAGCAGCCGCCGAAAGGATGCAAAGGAACAGCGAACCCACGAAATCTCTATGTTCCTCATCGACTCACTCCTTTTGAAAACATCAAAGTGAAGCTTGTTGTGAGTGGCTCATCTGCATGTCATTCAATTCTTGTCACTGAAGAAGGGAAAGTGTTTACATTTGGTAAGGAATTATTAAACTTTGTGTCCCTCTGTTATATTAAGTTTAGCGGAAAATTTAGCAGACTGTGTTTTTTATGTATATTTTCTCCCACATTTTCTTAGCTTGCTATCAGTTATTTTGTCTGAACTTAAAGATATATTTTAGTAAGTTCAGATTGTAGGTACAGTCTTTCCTTGGATCTACACTACTCTTTGACCTGCACTCTGACAAGTTTTCTTTTGTAAAAGGGTGTTTATGTAATCATATACTGATGGCCGTATTATTGCATCCCAAGAATTATCAGATATTGAACTTTTTAGTGCAAAACTTAACTTACCTATAACAGGTGATCATAGTCCTCTCTCTACTCCTATCTGCTGTTCTTTTTATTTTAATTTCAATAATGAGCCTCTCCTAATCTCAAGAGTAAGTTAATTGGAGCTGCCTCTTACATCAAAATTAGAAGAAACCAAAATTAAACTTGACAAAAGAATTTTAATGATGTAATGTCAATATCTATGTCCTCAAGATTGAACTTAGTTTTCATACTTTCGAAATGCATCAATTAAATAATCACTAAGTTAATTTCAAGATGAAAATCTCCAATTTCCTTTCAGGAAAGTTCCCATTTTTTATCTAAAACCTCAGTAGATCAATATGTTAAATTAAAGCACTGCAGAAGGGCACTTCTCGACCGTGGTGTTTTAGAATCTCTGTTAATATGTATTTCATTTATTGCATGGAAAGTCAATGCGTGCATTTTATCAAGAAAATTCCAAGTATTCTTCATGAATCTCAGATGTTCTATTAAAAACATTGGAGAAAAATCACTTACCTATTAGATTATTTTCCAATACATAAATTCGCAACAGAGATTCTAAAACACTGCAACGGAGAATTACCATTCTCGCATCCACCGCCTCAATAGTAACAAAATGTGTCAACCCTGGGAGCAAAATACAACAACAGGTAGCTGTTAACAAAATTTAGATGTTTGTCTTCAACCGTAACCCTTTGGCCCCAGCATTTATGTGAACATAAGAGCAAGCTTCAAAGAGGTTAGAGAGTTCAGCTACTCCGTTTTATCTTTGTTACTGCTAGAAGATTTTCTTTTTTCGGACTTAATTTGCTTGGGAGACAAAAATTTAATGGAAATAGAAAATTGGCTCTAGATAACAACTATGAAAAAAAAATTTTGAAAATAAATTAATGCAAAGTAAAGCAGGCTGTCACAGTCAGGGAATACCGGAAAATGTCAGGGAAAATGACAAAAAAGTCAGGAAAGAACTGTTAAGTCACCTTTATTTGCTCTCTAGAATGAGTTTGACGCTCCGAACAACAAATTTTGCCTGAAAACTATTTTAAATTATGTCGTTTTAACCATCCGTCATATCTTCAATTAAATTAGTCGAATGAATTCTTATCGGTGCACATTTATAGTGTTACCTTGGTAACCTCCCGGGCTCTTCTAGTAGATGAAATCTAACGATAGACATTTTGAGCATTAGGCTCATCTTCAGGTTGTAGATAAGAAGACTAGTATTAAAAATAGTTTTGCGGTCTTGACTGACATGTTGGAAACGAGTGAAAAACGATAAAATCAATAAAAATACTCCAAAAACTTTGAAACTTGCACATTGACATGTAATATTTGACATTATTGCTATTTATGCAATTTTCAAGTATTTTTATCGATTTTACTGTTTTTCATTCGTTTATGGCATGTCAGGTGCAACCGCAAAACTGCTTTTAATACTAGTCTTCTTATCTACAACCCTTAGATGAGCATAAAGCTTGAAATGGCCATTGCCTGAATTAATCTACTAGAGGTGGTTGAAAGCTCACGAAGGTAACACTTAAAAATTTTGAATCATATCTTCAATCGTCAGGGAATTTTACCAAATAGTGTCAGGAAAATTTTATGAAAATTCATTTTCTAAATTCTGTGGCAACCCTGTTATAGACAGAGGCACTATTCTTGAGTCTTTGGAAGGATGAGTAGGACAGGATCAGTTTTGGCCAACTTTATTTTCATCAGTTTTGCATTTGTTTTGATTCAAAGTTCAAAGATCAGTGAATTTGTTCAATTTCACACACCAAGTCAAGTTCGTTCCTTATTAGAGTTCATTTTATAACTCTAATTCTACTTTTTGGTTTTTCTTTGCCTTCTTTTCTTTTTGGATCAGTGTGGAAAGAGAACTACTCTACCATCCTTCTTTATTACACAAATTGGTCATGAATAAACCCTTAAAAACAGAGAAAACTAGGAGCTCGCATCAAGTTTCAAAAGTTGGACACAGTTCTAAACACAATAATGAGAAAAAATGGAAGTCGCCTTGAAAATTCAGGGAGGAAGGCACATAAAAGAGTCGTAAAAAACCCAACACCAAATAGAATGTGATCCAGCAAGGCAAGGTAGCCCAATCCTCTAATAGCAAACATGTTGCCAATCACCTCTATCAGAGCTGTGGCTCATTGGTAGTGCACCATTTTATGCTCTGAAAGTAACTTTTAATTTAATCTATTGTTATCGTTAATTTCCACTTCATCACCATTTTTTCAATGTGTCTTGCATTCATATTTATTCACAGAAACTCCTTCAGCATCAAATGCTGACCTATCAAAAAAAATTTATAAGGCTATAAATTGATTCCGTTTTAAAATCAGTTAAAAAAATAATTTCTTGCATTTTATTGCAGGGAGGAATGAGAAAAGTCAGTTGGGGACTGGAAATCAAACGAAACAGGATTCTCCTGTTCAAGTTGAAGCATTGAAAGAACACACAATTGTGGGAGCTGCCACTGGCCGAAATCACAGTATCTTTCTCACCGGTAAGTTTCTTTCCTCCCTAGATGTTTCTTTTTGAAGTTTTTAATCCCAACTCTTAAAAGTGGGTAAAATGTAAAGGAAAGTAAAAGGAAACCTCCAAAAGTAATAAAAAATAAATTGGGGGTTGGGAAGTAGTCAGGAATATTTTGTAATACCGCTAGTAACTGCAGGGTGTCTACAGGTCTGGAAAAATAGGAATTGTGAGGGAAAATCTGGAAAAGGCTGTAATTTTCAAAAATCTTGAAATTCAAATTGACATAGTGCCATCCACATGGTCAAACTGAGTTTTTATCTGGTTCAGAGCTTAGTGCTCTGTTACTTTCTGAACATTGAAGAGGAGAATAATTTTCAAAAAGAATTTGCAGTTTTAGTTAACTAAATGATTGATACCTCATAGAAAGAAGTTTCTATGTTTCTGTCATTTGTGCCATTTTCAGTTCTATGCGAAAGTCAGGAAATTTTGATCGCTTTAGTCTGGGAAGACCTGTAATTTAGAAAAATTTCCCCTGATTTTGTAGATACAGGGATTCATTTTTACAAATTAAATGGATATCTTATTTTATCTAATAAAATATTTATATTTAATTGGATATTAATACTCATCTTTTTATCTTTAATGATTTTTTCTTCACTAGCAGAAAATTGTCGCCTAGTTAAAACTGGAATGTTCTGCAAAATGTTGCCTATACTGACAGGGGTGCAAAAAATTCTTCGCCCTCACATTTTTTAAGGCAGCCTGCACATATTTTGCAGCTGCCTTCACATTGCTGTCAAGACTCCTCTTCATCCACATCAGATTGTTCGTTTCACTGTTTTCTTCGCAAAAAGTAACGCACTTAACAGTTTCCTTTTCAAAACAAATAGTAGTGCTGCCCTCGCATTTTTTCCCCCTATTGAGATTCCCTCACATTTCTCCCATGGCTTTTTGATCGACTGAATGAGTACTCTCTGCACCTCCTATATAATGGAACGCCAAAAACAAGGAAAAGGTAGAAGTGTGCAGTAGTTTCAGAAGATTCCCAATACCACGAAAAACCAAGGAAAATATGAATTTGTAACATTTATGTCGGCAAGTGAGTGTAGCTGATTTTACTTTTCTTATTTCAGACAGAGGCACTGTGTACACATGCGGTGACAACACCAAAGGGCAGTGTGGAGTAGGCAGCTCTGCAGCCATGATTACTACTGCAACAAGAGTAAGTCATTAAACCTATCTATTTTTTAGTCTTATGATGTAAAACTGCTGTTAAAATACTTACGGCTAGTTTTAAAAATAATTTGTTTTAGTTTAAAGAGATCATTGTCTAAAGACCTCTCAATCCAGAACTAGTAACGTTTTGCTTGAAGCCTATTCCAAAAGGTGGTAGCAGCAATACCTCTGCGCTCGTTATTGTAGCATTGCAGTTGGGTATGTCTAAAAATCTCTCTTTTATTTTTCTATTTTTTGAAGTCTGTAATCTAAATTATTTTCCAGTATGGCACTGAATTTCAATATTTTCAAAGAATAATGTAACAATATTCTGGGATGATTTCAGGGACATTGAAAAAGAAACTTTTCTTTATTATTCCATTCTTTCCTATTGTCATTTCATGTCCAGGGTTGCCGGCAGTCAGGAAAACCGTGAAAGTCAGGGAATTTCTGACCTACCTAAAAGTGACTAATCACTAAAATATACCACCGGTCTTCCAACTGTTTACCCTTTATGGTCTTTTTAAGGCTTGTCATCTTTCAACCGGCTACTGAATGTCTCTTTTCCATAATTGGATCCTCAGACAAGGAAATAATGCCCAAGTTTAGGGAAAATGAGTGTATTTAAAAAAAAAGAAATAGGTGAAAACCTTCTCTGAAGGTCCGGGAAAGTCAGGGATTTTAATTAGAAAATTTTGGGGTCAGGGAATAGCAAACAATTTAGAAAAAAATCCCTGAATTTGAAGACAAAGAAATTGTAGCAACCCGACATGTCCAATCAACCAGAATTTTTCAATTTGTGGGGAGCCCCTGTTTCCATTCCCTACCACCATGGGACATGGCGTAAAGCCAGGAGAAACTCGATAATTCCTTTCAATCAAATGGCAACTGTCGCATAGTAGCGCGGTGTAACATCTCCAAGCCAGTTTGGAAGGAAACCCTGCTGAAGTGGTTCTAGATTTCCGCCTAACTTTTTCCTGTTGAGGCTGTGGAATTCGGGGAAACGAAAAAGACTGTTTTTGAACTACATCGGAATGTATTATGCGAAATGAGTACATGCTAGTGAGAGAGACCTTACGCAACGACTGCTCCTCTAAGCGCATCGTATGCGCTTCACCCAAGAAAATGATTACTCTGCATCAGCTTTGCTGTGCAGCGTTGCACTGATTATGAAAATTAGCCATATCTCAACATCCCCCCTTAATTTTCACAAGGAAGGCTCTTGGAAGTAAAGAGTTAAAAAAAAACTGTTAATTTCACCCTATAGGGACCTGACCCTTACGAGGCCGTAAGAAAACAAAACTCAACCTAGTCTCTCTCTTACAATAATCTTAAGAACTAGTTATGTTAAAGACAATAATACCCTTTCACCAATAATATCAAAAAAATTGAAATTCAGAAAATAAGAAAAAAAAAAACCTTTTATGGCGACATCAGCTGATCACGAAATTTTATGAATAAAATTTTACCAAGTGGTTTAGTAAAAATATCCGCAAGCTGATCGTTAGTAGGGCAATATTTTAAAGTTATCTCTTTAGCCACCGTTTTCTCGTGTAAATAATGGTACCTAACATCTATGTGTTTTGACCTACGATTATGCACACCATTGCGTGCAAGTTTTATGCTGCTTTGATTGTCCATTTTCACCGTGACAGGAACAACTGTGTTAACAGGCACTTCTGAGTCTGTAATTTCCTGTAATAAGTCCCGTAAATACATTAGTTCCCGGACACACTCAGCCGCGCTGATATACTCCGCTTCAGTTGAGGAGAGGCTGACTATTGGCTGTCGTCTTGAACACCAGTGAATTGGTCCACCTGCCAGAAACACCACGAAACCAGAGGTTGATCTCCTTGTCTCCACATCCCCTGCGTAGTCGCTGTCCGCCCACGCATCGAGTTGTAATGGCCCTCCACGACGAAAATTTATCCCCAGGTCTCCAGTCCCGCGCAGGTACCGCAACGTGCGCTTGACGTTTTGGACATGGATATTGGACGGCTTCTCAAGGTGACGGCTCGCGAAAGACACGGCAAAGGCGATATCGGGACGGGTTTTATTGGCTGCGTACAGCAAACTTCCCACAACTTGTCGATAAGGATAGTCAATTTTTACGTTTTCACCCACTTCCGAGACATGGTCGGCACTTTCCATCGGCGTCACGACACTTTTGGAATTTTGCATTTGAAAATGATCCAGAATTTTCTGAACATATCCTTTCTGAGTAAGACGGAGGCCGTCTTGAATTGTTTCAATTTCGATCCCGAGGTACGAGGTAGGGTCTAATTCATAAGTCATTTCAAACTCCGTTTGAAGTTCTTGAAGTAAGAAATGAATTTTATGTAGATATTTTGCAGCAATTAGGGCGTCGTCCACATGAATTGCTAGGAGAATGGTGCGGTTAGCATTTGCGAAAATGCATTTGTCTGTTTTAAGCTGATTTAGACCTCTTTCTTTTAATTTCTTTGTAAAACGGATGTTCCATTTTAGGGGAGCCTGTTTGAGGCCATACAGGGACTTCTTCAGCATGCAAACTTTACCTGGAACTTGCTCGAAGTATTCAGGAATTCTCATGAAAATTTCTTCATCTGCATCGAGTTCTCCATATAGGAACGCCGTCTTTATATCGAATTTTGCTAATCGATAATTTTTATTTGCCGCGAAGGCAAAAATTACCCTTAGAGGGCTGCTGTTTATTACCGGAGAAAAGGTTTCTTGAAAATCAACCCCTTCACGTTGTTCACATCCCCGCACAACCAAACGTGCCTTGAATTTGTTGTCGTCTTTGATGGTGAAAACCCATCTATTTGTTAAAATTTTTCGACCTCTTGCTTTATCTTCATCAACTAAAGTCCATGTATCATTTTTAATTAGTGATGATTTTTCACTTTCCATTGCTGAGATCCACTTGTCTTTATCAGGGGAATTAATTGCCTGTTTTACCGAGGCAGGGATTTTCTCTGCCAAATTCGCCTGCGGCTTGTAAAAGTCTGGCGGCAATCTAACGCGGTCAGGATAGTGCCGGTCAACAATAGTGTCGTTCAACTCCGATGCTTCTTCTTCTTCTTCTTCGCCAGGGAGCCACTCGCTGCCGGACGTGTCGAGTATCAGCGTGTCATCCTGGCCAGAACCGAGCGGAGAACCAAGTGACTGTTCTGCTGCGTCACCAGATTCCTTTTCACCTTCATCCTCACTGTCTGAATTTTCTGAGTCTTCAGCAAAATACTGCAACATATTCCGTTCAACTTCGGATTTCTCTTGAGTTCCGTCGTGTGGATTCTGAACGAAAATTACCTCGCGAGAAATGATTATTTTTCGCATTTCGCTGTCCCACAGACGATAACCCATGGGTGCATACCCCACAAATGTATACTTCTTCGATTTTTCTTCAAATTTCTTTCTATGAGTGAGGATTTTAGCATATGCGTCGCACCCAAAAATTTGTAAATTTTTCAAATTTGGCTTCTTTCCGTTCCATATTTCGAACGGAGTCCTGTCACTGTCGTAGCGGGGGCTTCTATTGGCGACGTATGCGGCAACATAGAGCGCTTCGCCCCACATTTCTTGATGCATCGAGGATGCAATCCGCATGGTACGCGCTTTTTCCACTAAGGTGCGCATTCCGCGTTCGCTTCTTCCGTTCAATTGTGGCGTATAGCTTGGTGAATAATCCAACTCCAGACCACGGTTTTTACACCATTCTTTCAGCGAGTCCGAGGTATTTTCACCGGCGTTGTCACACCTCAACTTCGCGACGCGTAAATTCCACTTTGCTTCGACGGACCGCACATATTGTTGTAGAATTTCAAAAAATTCCGATTTATGCTTCAATAAATACACGTGAAAATGACCTGAATAGTCATCCTCGATTAGAGCAAAATAATTATGACCGTCCCACGTGGGGGGGTCAATTTTACCAGAAAGATCAGCGTGTATAATTTCCAAAACTCTGGACGCACGGGTCCTTACTGATGGGAACGGTAATCTTGTTTGTTTCCCTTTAATACACGCGACACAGTTATATTTCGAGATTGAGGCTTCCCGCGGAGTTAGAGTCATCCCCTCGCACATATTTTTTAAGCGCTTAATATTTTTCGCACTAAGATGACCTAATTTTTCATGCCATTGACCGGTATTGGCTTTTTCCGCACTGTATGACGCGCCACTTGCCTTCAAAGCTGAATTTCGCACAACGTAAATGCCATTTTCAGATCGATATCCGCACAGTATTTCGACTCCATTCTTTGTAATCGACACTTTTTCCTTAGAAAAAATAACTTGACCGCCTTGATCGCAAATCGCACCGACGGATAGAAGATTTTTTCGAAGTTCCGGCGCGTAGAGTACATTATTGAAAAAACATTCCTCAAATTCGACACTCCCGCACCTTTCAGCTCTTATTGAGCTTCCAACTTTTGCCACTGTAATTTCGGTGTCATCTTCTTCCCAGTCCTGCAGAATGGATTTGTCCACAGTGAGATGGGTGGTCGTCCCTGAATCAACCACCCACTCCTTTTTATCATCCCCTACAGCAGCCAGGGCAGCCATAGCGAAGAAACTGACTTTAGCATTTGATGATCCCTGAGTTTCCTCTGAGAATCGGACTTTAGGTACCTGTGACGATCCCTGTGTTCCCTCTTTGCGGTTCTGCTTCTTTTTATAGCACATTGAATCTGTGTGATTGTTCATCCTACACGTTGAACACCACATTTTTGAGCCATTCCTCATGTCATTATCTGGTTTAGGCGCTCTACATTCCTTACTGTGATGCCCGAATTTTCTGCACCGGTTACATCTTCCTTTCTTTTTATGGCTGGCCTCAAATGCAACGCCAGGTTCTTGTTTCTTGGCGCCGCGCTCATCTTCAGAAAATAATCTGAGTTTCAGGTTTGTTAATGTACGCTCACTTTTAGGGGTTGATTCCCATGCAGTTTTAAAAAAATTCATTTTATCTGGTAATGTTGCCAGAATCTTGCCCATTAGCATAGAATCATCCCGATCCATTGTGGAGTCCAGTGCCTTTAATCTCACATGAATTTCTTCAAGTTTCCCAATATGATTAGTCATGGACATACCTTTTTCATAGTTGGCGCTGAAGAATTCTTGAAGTACCTCAGCTTTATTTTCTTCCTTTGGTTTTTCATAAAGGCCTTTGAGTTTGGTCCACATGTCCGCTGCTGTTTCACACGTCATAATGTGCACTTGATGATTTGGTTCCAAAGAGGCTGAGATGACTCGCTGTGCAATGCCATCCCGTTTCATCCATTCAAGAATCTCCTTGGCCCTTTCAGGTTTTGTTTCGTCTGCCCTCGGCTTTGGTTTAGTTCCTTCTGTGATTTCCCAGGCCGCATATGACTTGAGATGCACTTTGACTTGAAACTTCCATAACTCGAAATTTCCACGGTTTTTCAGCTTTTCTTTTGGGGCTTCAATCGTGGTCTCCATTTTGCTCATGATTCGGAAGAAAATCCTCAACTTTTATTTACCGAACCCGAAGAGAAATTATTCATGTACGGACACGAAAGGTTTATGTACTTAAGTACAACACTGGTATTTTATTTTCCGTCGAAGAGGAAAAAAAAACAGTTTATGCATGCGCGGATACAACATGAATGGTTTATGTACTTAGGTACAGCACTTGTAATTTATTTTCCGTCGAAGAAAAAAACAGTTTATGCATGCGCGGATACAACATTGATCGATTTACACAGCTCGTCGAACATTTTCTATCTCGCGGCGAAGCTTTTTGCACTTTCCAATTACGTAGCACAATAGCAGTGCCATTATTAATCCGAAAACCAACGCGTATAGAATCATGTCGTGAATATCTAAATCACTGGTGATAGTGATTTGGTTATCGTTATCGAACCAACTCATGATGATAAAAGATTGACAAAGATCCACTAGGAAGGAAGAAACTTTTTCTTGACGTTCACTCACGAAAACTGCAACGCCACTCCGCGACGGAACTTTAACTTTCATCGACCGTTTTTACCGTGCTCTCATTTCTTTCTCGTATTTAGCATTTCCGATGTTTTGAATTGTGAAACCACTTGACTAACACGAATTTCGAAAACATACTGGGCCGTATAACCTGTTGAAATTAAAAAAAAATCTATGAGGATCATAAATCTCGAAGAGACTAGAGATCATAGAGGTAGAAAAATATTATATTATCCAAACTAACAGAAAACACAAAATGTGCAGAACAAGAGAAAATATAAGGAACCAAACCTAAAATATTAATAATCAAAATAAATAAAAATAAGGATAAATATTAAAAATAAAACACATAGATGTTAGGTACCATTATTTACACGAGAAAACGGTGGCTAAAGAGATAACTTTAAAATATTGCCCTACTAACGATCAGCTTGCGGATATTTTTACTAAACCACTTGGTAAAATTTTATTCATAAAATTTCGTGATCAGCTGATGTCGCCATAAAAGTTTTTTTTTTTCTTATTTTCTGAATTTCAATTTTTTTGATATTATTGGTGAAAGGGTATTATTGTCTTTAACATAACTAGTTCTTAAGATTATTGTAAGAGAGAGACTAGGTTGAGTTTTGTTTTCTTACGGCCTCGTAAGGGTCAGGTCCCTATAGGGTGAAATTAACAGTTTTTTTTTTAACTCTTTACTTCCAAGAGCCTTCCTTGTGAAAATTAAGGGGGGATGTTGAGATATGGCTAATTTTCATAATCAGTGCAACGCTGCACAGCAAAGCTGATGCAGAGTAATCATTTTCTTGGGTGAAGCGCATACGATGCGCTTAGAGGAGTTAGTCGTTGCGTAAGGTCTCTCTCACTAGCATGTACTCATTTCGCAGAATTTACTAGCATGTACTCATTTCGCAGACTCATTTCTGCGAAATGAGTACATGCTAGTGAGAGAGACCTTACGCAACGACTGCTCCTCTAAGCGCATCGTATGCGCTTCACCCAAGAAAATGATTACTCTGCATCAGCTTTGCTGTGCAGCGTTGCACTGATTATGAAAATTAGCCATATCTCAACATTTCCTAACTCCAAAAAAAAGAAACACTGAAGCAAACTGAATGTGTAGTGCATATGAGCTATACGAAATGAAATTTAGGAAACTTGACATAGTTTAGACTTTGCACAACTTCCCTTTCAGTTACTTTATGAAGCTAACTTTTTTCTGGGGGTATCTTACTCACACACTCCTACAATTCGTATCACATACTCGTAAAATTCTGCTCTTGTAGTTTTTCTGTCGGTTCTCCTCTTCTATATCATGAGAACAAGACATTCAGCTAACTACACGCAATCTCTTTCATTTGATTTTAGATTCGATACAAGGGTCCCCCTATCGTCAAAGTTGCTGCCGGTGCTGAATTTAGCGTCATTCTAGATGTCAGAGGCACTATGCACTCTTTTGGCAGCCCTGAATACGGGCAGTTAGGTAAGTTGATTTCTGCCCTGTCATCCGACCGTCTCTTCAAAATCTCTTGAAATTTTTAAGCAGTGTTTTTGGTTAAAAAGCAAAGACTTTTTATTTATAGTTTAATAGCTATATCATGCGTTCTACGCACAGGAACAACTTCAAAAAAATCATGGAAGTACATTCAACTATTCTAATTCCTATACAAAAAAATATAATTGTGATCAGAGGTTTTAGTCAGTGTCAGTAAATATTTTTAAATCTTGTTTTTTGTTTAATCAGGTCATGGAACTACTGGTGAATACATAGCGCAAGCAAACAAAATAACATACCATTACGAAAAAGCACCCAAAGCGATTGTAATGTTTGTTGAGAAAAGCAAAGAAACTGGTCAGGTGCCTTTGGAACCAGCTGACGTCCTGGATATCTCCTGTGGCACAAACCATACGGTATGTATTTTATGTTATTGGTTTTTCTTTTACTTCCAATATGTGCAGAGTTTGTATAACACTAGTATGCTCTGCAAAGAAAGAGAACTTTATTTTTCATTCATTGAAGTTGTATTTGAATATATGCTAAAACATAACTCAGGATGAGCTTTTCATAGTAAAACCATTGATTTACAGTTGCCACAATCAGGGAAATAAATATTGACTGTGCTGTTGAGTTACTTTCTAGAGTGTTTAATGTACACATTGTGTTTCATGCATCAAGCACCTTCAGAAAATTGCGTTTGCCAGTCAAAATGCGTTTATGGTGTTTGGACCCACTCCAATTCAAATTTCTGTGGCCATCCTGATCTCTTATTTCCATAGCTTTCTAGGCTTTTGCTGAATTTATTGCATTGTTCCAATTTGATTTTAAGTTTTTTTCTTTACCCTTCCTCTCATTTTTATTCAGGTCTGTATTGACTCAAAGAAGAGAGTATTTTCCTGGGGCTTCGGAGGCTACGGACGCCTTGGACACGCTGAACCTAAAGATGAGTTGGTGCCACGGCTCATTAAACTGTTCACAGTCCAGAATCGTAATATCAAATCCGTACATTGTGGCTCCTCTTACTGTCTGGCTGTCAGTGAGCATGGTGAGTGTTTTCTTTTGCATTTTACTTCAGTGAAAAGTTTTCAAATTAATTAATGTTGGATGACAGTTATGCTCAGGAAGCTATGACATTAAATAAGCTAGTGGATTTGTTGAATGAGAAGCAAGGTTTGCCATCTTGAATTTTGCATTTGATTTCAATGTGAAAATGAAACTGACAAGCCCTCTGCATCACTCTAAAGGTTGGTTTACTTGTCTGCCTTAAGCTGCACTTTAAGAAGCTCATTGGAAAATTTCAGCATGCTAGAAAAGTCAGTTGGTTTGTTGAATAGACCAGCTTGCCTTCTCAAGGAAAGTATGATGAAGTGCTGAACACTATCAAGAAATGTAGAAACTTTGTTTGAATTTTACATCGGAGGCTGTATGAATCATTTCATGCATCTCATCAAGCTAAACTTAGAAATTTCATACCCTCCACTCACTTTTTGTGCATTTGCTTGCAGCTTTATCACCCCTCTCACCCCAATGCAACACATTTTAGCTAAACCACCCTCCCTCCCGCCGAAAACCATTGAAAATGTTTAAACAAATGTAGTTTTTTGTATCGTACAGATTTTTGCATTATTAGTCCCCCTATAACACAAGCTCAGATTCTTTCCCTTCTTCCACGTAGAGCTTGATGTAATTATAGGAGCCTGCGAAAAGTCATGCATTCAGTTAGACGCCTAGGTTTGATGCTCTAGGTGCAACTTGAGGAATTTTTTCATTTTTCTACACCATAAGAAAATTGCAAACATACCATGATTCAACGCACTAGTCATTTAGACAGAGAGCTTTTGTGTTAGCTCACTCTAAGGAAAAATCGTGCCCTCATGGGTTTTTCTCTCTATAAGGAGAGTCTTAGTTTTGTTCTGAATTATAATGCCCAGCGACAAAATCACTAACTCTCATTGTAATGAGAATACCATTAAATTTTATTTCTCATGTTCAGGTGCTGTTTACTTCTTCGGACAGACAAAGAAAACCGGAGAAGCATGGATGTATCCAAAACCAATTCAAGATCTTCATGGATGGAATGTACGCAGTGTGGGTTGCGCAAACACATCAATCGTTATCGCTGCTGATGAATCGGTTATCGCTTGGGGCCCGTCTCCTGCTTTTGGAGAGCTTGTAAGTTTCTCTGCTAGCTCTATTTTTTTTTGTACATTTCCTCTAGGTTTTAATGAGAGTGCTCACAAAAATTAAGGGCAGAATATTCCTTGGAATTCTATCAAAAAGTTAAAATACAAGAGGATATCATCTCTTTCATACCATGCCTAGTACATGTGCTCAAATAATAGTGAAACCGGTGGGTCTGCTGTTGGAATCTTACCGAAACATCACCTATCCAACTGGCTGAGTGCATAGATGTGTAATATCTTTCCTAAGGTTTGCACTGAAATATATTAGAGTTAATCTTCAAATCTCTAGCTATCAATTTTGACTTTTCTCAGCTTTATTTTTCCCTAAGAATAATGTGACCAGATATTATTTTTAGATTAAGTCTTAAATATTCAATCCATACTTAATTTCCTAATGCAGTTAATATTTCAATTTGCAATATAGCCAGGCTGATTTTAGTTGGAGCGGTCTACTTTATTTGGCCGCAACTTTCCAGCAAGCAGTATTTTCACTGGCAAGGTTCCTTTTTGGCTATGCATCTTAAAAAACTTAAGTCAGGTTTTTATCGACCACCTTTTGAAATACTCTAGCATTTAAGTTGTTTCTGTCTCTTTTGTTCTTTCATTTTCTTTTCCATTTCTTGACTCATGTTTCCTAAACTTTGCTGTTTTTCAGGGCTTAGGAGAAGTCCGAAAAACGTCACCTGCTCCCGCTGAAGTGAAGAAATTGGACGGAATCCATATTCATCAAGTCACTTGTGGTTATTCACACACATTGATGATCGCCCGGGCCGACTCGGAGGAAGAAAAGAGTAAGATAGAGAATCTGCCAGACTATGATCCATAATCAGAATTGATTGGTGTAAACTAAATTGATGCTCCCAGCATTGAGTTGACTTAACTATATTTAAGCATTTCATCTTTTTATATTCTTGGAAATGTCCATATGTACTTTGAATACTTCAAAGGGGAAAATAATTGTGTGTCATTATTTTTTTATGAATTTTCTATAAAATTATTCTTCTTTTTTTTTAAGATTTTAATCTTGTCCAGCATACTGTATACCTCATCGTGTAAAATATTTTTTTTTCTTTCACCCTGTATCTATTTGATCTCTGCACTGGTCTGCCAAGGAAAAGCACAGTACCAATAAAAAGTAGGCTTTCAGAGCAAAGCGACTTAATCATTGGCATTATTACATGATGTCCCGTAGAAGAGTTCCTTTATTATCCTCATTTTTCACCCATTCATACTTAATTTTTTGTCACTGTTTCTGCATAATTCTGTTCTTCTAAACAAGTAGAACAATATTTTAAAATAAAATGACTTAATGTGAAAACCCGTTTCCCCTTAGTGTACTGTGCTCTTTCCTAGCAGGACAGCATACTGGCAGTTATTTGCATGATTTGATACTGGAGAAACTCTGCTATTGCGTGAGTTCATCTTTTGTAATTATATCAATTTTTGAACTAGTTAAATTTTTTTCTAGTAAATCAACTTCTCATGTCCACCGAAGGATTTCATTTTAAAAGACAGTAATTTTCAAAGGAGAAAACTCCCTGAGAAGCAATATTTTAGTCGCCAAGTTTCTTCATCTTTTTACAGAAATGTGTAATGAAGCATTGCACACATTGTACACAAATTATCATACTTAGGGATCAAAATTTCCTGGGGATGTCAAGGAACGGGAATTGAAACGTTTCCGGTGGCTCTTCTGAGTGTGAATGATTACCTTGTGCATGTGTTTGCGATTTTCTCCGGGGAAATAGATTTTAACTGGGAATCCCCAGGAACTAGAATGTCTGCTAATTATGACTTAAAATTGCGGTAAAACGCTACCCTCACTCAAACAGAATCATTGACAGATTCGAAAAAACTGGTCTGGAGCTCAGCACTGCAAACTGTCCAAGTTAAATTATGATTGTAATATGAAGAGTAGACAGGAAAGGTTAGGTCATGCCTGCTTAATCAAAATAAAGGAATGAAGACTTGTTTTGATTACGTAAATTGTCAGCTGACCATGGATTTCACAGACTGTTGATGAACGAAAATTCGCTTAATGAATTCGGCATACTTACATTAGCATTAGTATCTTTTCAAAAATGTCACGTATGACTGACTGTCAACTGCATTTTTGCCTCGGGCTTGATTTGACCAGTCCAAGAATCTTAGAATACCTTTAATTGGTGTAACAAGTCATTCGCTATCGGAAATATTTTTGTAAGTGTTGAAACTTGGTGTACAAACAAGTGAGCAAGTAACGCCAAAGAGCTCTATCTGCTGACGCAACCGCATGTAAATAGACCTCTTTTGCGCTAACTCTTATCATATTTTTCTCGATTTTTAAATTCATGAAAGATTGTATTCTGCTTCTAAAGTATGAGCCCATTGTTAATGTCACTGTTCAATTTTTTTCGAGGTGAATTGGCATCCAAAACTCTTGAAAAAAATATTGTGTCATAATTTAACTATTTTAAAAATGAAAGCTTTGACTTAAAACCTCTGAATTTAGTACCTCCATTCCCTAGATTAGGATCATTCCACTGTATACATTTGGACACATTAAAATTCACTGTGAAAGAAATGTTTTCAATTGTCGGCGGTTTTTTCTTGCCCAAATATGTCAATTTTATACTTTTCTATTAAGAGCAATACTTAAAAAAAAAAGAAAAAAAAAAGTATTTAAATTAGGTTTAAATGTTAAAATTGATTCCTCTCTTTTACTCCCTCCAAAATGCTCACTTCATAGTTTCCAACTTTCAGAATTGAACTTTTTACTGCAGTGGTTAAAAGGCATTAAATTAGTTATTGTAATCTACAATCAATGTTTTTAGTTTTATGAGCGTCCTTGTTCCTTCTTTTAAGAAGACTTGTGTGCTTGTTTTTTAAAATTAATTTATTGTCTAGTTTTTAAAGTAGATTTTCTAAACCAGTCGCACTCTCTCTATAGTCTTATTGTTAAAGTTATCTTTCGATGAATTTACTGCCGGATAATTGATCAATTATTAAAGTATTAAAAGCTAAATCATTTTTGACAAGGATCCCTTGTGTTCTTCTTTTTTATCCCCTATATTTATTTTATCTTCAAGGTTGACTTTCAGTTCTGCTGAAGTCTATCAAGATGGTTCCTCAAACTTAAATTCGGCGTCTCGCTAAGATTTTCATCCGTTGGGAATTTCTACTTTTCAGAACTGATTTTTATCTAAACCCTTTACTCTCAAACAGAACCGCTGAGAGTCTGAACGCTTTTGTTATGTGAATACATGTATTGATGCAAAAAATTGAGACTACGTGTCGAAAAAGGAACTGCTGACATTTCCATGTTGCTATGAGTGCGTAACCTCTGAATGTATTTATAACAAATTAATTGAGAGCAAATCAATAAATTAAAACACATGTTCATCAAAAAATGATACATTTATATGACATTTATATGGATAAGATGGTTTTTTTTTCCGGCTACATTCGTATCAATAACACAGGAAACACTTGAAAGAACTTTGCAAATTGCATCATAAGTGTTATTTATGCAATTATAAATTTTGATACAAATAAGAATAGAAAATGTATTCTTATTAACTAATAATGGAATCAGTTGGAGTAGGTAATCTTACTGTACATTAAGAGTTAGAGAGAAAAAGAAAATGGGAGATACATCACGACATAAAATATAACTTAGAAATCCGTTATTTTTCTAATTCTTACTGTAAATTGAATGACTAGGTGGTGATTCTAGACAGAAATAAGTAGAAAAATCCACTTAAATTTGATATTCAATTTGTTCTCTATCATTCGATGTGATTCGAGATGAAGAAATCACGTTCAACCAGCCTGGGAAGGATAAATCACAGTGAGTCCACGCTACCGCCATGTGACCTCAACTGCATCAGTTCTGTACCTGAAAAATTCAAAAACCAAGACTGAAACCAAAAATTAAACGAATAGGGCTGTCTACATTAAGTTGCAATAGTATATCAAGTAGGAAGCAATTCATAACTTCAGCAAAAATCAACCCTCGGACAAGGTTTACATTACTTAAACAAAAATAATATTTTTGGAAAGTTCCTTATGTTGAACATTCAAAAATTTATTTTGTGGAGGCAACACTAAGGATCTGAAGTTCAAAACACACATATTTCATTATGCTATTAATGTTCAATCATCCATCAGAACTTTTCATTTCTTCTCTCCAAAAGATAACTTGCGAATAGAAAAACAAGATTTCTTCACAAGAATACATGGATACTTGGATTCCCGCTACTTGCTGCGTTCAAGTACTCCATGGCTACACCGTGCAAGTATTCACTTTAGTTCTAGATCTCTAGGAAAGAATATTGAGTCAAGTTGGGAATAGTTGGACTGCATTTCGCAATTCGGAACTGCAATTTCTGGCTCAGATTAGAAATAACGTATGTACCATTAGTTTCCTTATGAAAATTACGGTGTTTACCGACATGCCAGAAATTGCAAAATGTTGTCTAGTTAATCCTTGCAGGATCGAAATAGGCCCATATTATCGATAATAAACCTGCTTACCTGCGCAACACAAAATAGCAATGCAACTTCATGAAGACAAGAACTGTGTTGATGAAGTTAAATTAATTTAAAAATACTTCAAAAAGACCTCCACAGATACGAGACTCTTCATAGGACATGGGGGACTATCAAATTTTTCAACCTAGTCGATGTGGTATTTGTGACAACAGATCATTATAAATGCTTGGATAATGCGTTGTTGCCAAGGTTGGGATCGGTGCGCTCACTTCGCTTTTGCTTTCATAAAAGAACTCCAAATAAGCGACAATTTTCACCGATATGAAATTACAACATCGCAGCAGTGCAAGCTCAGCAGTTAAGTAAAATCGATTAATACCATCTATCGTTTCGGCGGTCACCTTCCTTCAGTGCTATAGAATTGCAGTAGGTGGTTGCATGATTCCGTCTTTGTCGTAGCCGTCTTTTTATAGTTTAGCCATTAAAAGATTGAAAAAAAGATACAAAACCGTACCTCTGAGTGACAAAAGTATCTTTCCATTCTGTGGTCTGACCACTGGAGAACATCAAAGCTCCTGCATGGGCGATCATAGCTCCATTATCAATGCAGAATCTGCAACAGTCAAATTTTAGGAACAAAAAATGAAAACAAGTTGTGGGTTTACATCATTTGAACTTTCTGAAAAGTTGCTTTACCTTAATCAAAAATCACATAATAAATCTAAAATGCATTGCAAAATAAGCTTTTTGAGAGAGAGACTTAAAATTGAAGCTAAAATTTTCAAGAACTTTCTGCACCACTTCTGATTTCTTCTTTCTCCAACTTTTCTTGGACCTACGGAATTGCTTAGACAAATTCAAACTCGACGAATTAACACTCATAAATTTTTTATTATGGCCTGGGTAGTGGTGATTTTTGTCAAAGTTTGTTGAAATGAAGTATTAAACTGAAAATCTCATCATAGAAGGAAAAAGCTCATTTGAAAACAACTTCTCTAGGCGAGAAAATTGTGTTGGAATGAGTTTTCTCCCTCTTCGTAATGATATTTTTAGTTTTACATGTACGAAGTTTGGCAAAAATCACGGGGACACTTGGCAGAACGACCCGAGCGTCGAACCACTGTCTGTTTTGTTAGTAAAACCTGTAGAAAACATCATCAAATGCCAGCACCCGGGAGCAATTTTTGTTTTGAGACAGCATCAGGCGCCAACATACACTACTAACGGGTGAATATCAAACCAAAGATTGACCCTCGACTGTGGTAATATAGACAATTTGAATAAAATTCTATTTCCCTCTGCAACATTGACACATATATTTTAAGTATGTTTACCTTTCGTCAGTAGCATACAGCGTCGCACCCCGTTCTTGGCACATCTGGCCCATCATTTCTTGTAAACGGACATTGCAGCCTACACCTCCGACAATAAGGACTTCATTTGATCCACAATGTGCCATGGCTCGTTCTGTGTTGAACAAAGAAGAGTGAAAATATCGGAAACAACAAATCTATTTTGATCATACCATATTTGATTTATTTGTTTTTTATAGGTGTTGAATCGTAAAACTTTGAATAGCTTGGTAGGAGACTTTTACTGCTTAGGGGCTTGTTGATTTTGTACCTTGCACTATTTGCAGTGCTTAGCTTCAGATTAGCCCATTGATTCAGTTAATTTTTTTTTCTTCTTTTTTTTCTTTTAAAAAACTTGCGAACATCAATTATATATGTATATTCTAACAGATTTAATGATTGGGAATATATCATAAGAACGAGGAGTTTTTCAGTGCCTATCAGGAGAGCATTTTTTTTCAAAGACCTTTTTGTGGCAAAAAATCTTTGATAAATGAACTTAAAACACTCAAAATTAGCTGCACAAAAATTTGAATTATGTGCAAACTGTAAATGTTTGGAAGAACGTTTTCGCATGATTGCTTACGATTCTGAAATGTGATTTCCTAGACTACTTTATTTCTGAACACATCATTAGCTACCGATTAAAATTTGTTCTGAAGATTTAAATTGTAGAATTTTAACTGTTTGAGTGCCCGGATATGAAGCCTAAAATAACATACAAAAAAAAAAAAACTGTTTGAGGGAGTGTTGAAAAATAAGGGAGGTGATGATAGCTGTTTTTTGATAAGAGAAATGTTGGAGAAAACATGGGGTTAGAGTTAGAATCATATGTTCATCTATCCAAATTAGGTATAATTTTTCGGTGAAAGAGTGGTTGAAGGACAAGTTTCCTGCTTCTTTGTTACCGATATTAACAATTACAAATGGACATATATGAATTGAAAGTGGCTATTTCCATTCTGTCATGGGCCCTATCCTGTAGGTATCTATTTTTCATGGGTATCAGGGCTCAAGGCCCTTGGACACAACAAAGATATTTTTCTTTGAGATTTGCTTAAGTCAAAATGATGCAATCTTTTAAACCATCGTATATTCATTGGAAATTTTAAAATAAGTACCTGTGGTTTCTACTAGCATTGCAAAAATTGTTTCTTGAAGAGAGTAGCAGAGATCAGCAGGGGTGTATTCTCCTTTTTCTATGAGACTGGGTGCTCGTTCCTCGATATAACTCAGAATGCCAGAAAAGGAAACGTCCATCCCTTTGACAACATAAGGTAGGACAAGGAACTTTTTACCCCTGTAAAATTAATTTACACATTAGTAAAACAAATCAATCTTCTCTGAAGACAAAAAGTCACCTGTTCATTTCCTTGAAATCATATTAATCAGTTGTTAACAGCATGCTGAGGCAGCTTAAGTCTTTGAAATACACCGATCAAATCTTTTTTATGGAGTGAAATTTTCAAGCACACACATTGTTCCAGAGAAGTTACTAAAAATAATTAATCATTCATTTATTTAATTATTACATTCAATAATTTTTTCAACAAAAGTAGCTGGTGGTGAAAAAGTACTTACTCACAACTTAAAAATTAATTTGAGTTGATCAAATGAACGAAAGGCAAGTGCAAATTCATTAGGCTAGAAAAAAGTTTAAATTTACAAGTTTATACAAGTTTTTGGGAATGGAGAAGGCTTACTTTTTGGCCTCCTGCTCGATGTTGTAACCAGGGCTTGGATCATTTGAAAGCATTAACACTCTGGCAAATCGATCCAAACAATTACCAACAGCTATATCGATGGTTTCACCAAATATCCGATATTTCTTCCTTGAGTATGCAATGACTTGTGTATTTCCTCCACTTACATACAGAACAGTTGGATTGTCACACTTAGTGACCAATCGTCCCATTTCAATATCTGTTACACAAGTTAAGGTAATGTGCTGGGTCTCCTTGAAACAAAGTTAAAATAAGAGGGCATCCATGGAAAAGGGAACCTTCATGTTGATGAACTTAAAATTGATATATCTATACCTAACATAGTATTAAAATATTCTCTGACAATTTTACCACAGAGAACATAGAAGTATTACACCAGATTAACAGTATAATGGGTTGAAGTTGGCAGTTTAAAAATGCTTCCGCATACTCTGGGTAAACTCTGAAACCTTATACCTCCTTTGGCGACATTGCAAATTTCCCAGCATAAAAATTATATTTTTTAATTAGAACACTAATTGTAAGCAACATGAATGCTTGAAAATTTCCGTCATTTCGTTTCATCCACTTAAATATATTCAATGAAAATTTGAAGCACAGCGATTCTGAAATGCCGCAAAAAAGATGTTCTGTTTTCAAGTTTGGCTAGCGATTTTCATTCATTGCATACCAAACTTTCTTTGAAGCTTTCAGTTTAATGGGAATAAAATACTTAGGTTTAGAAGGATACGACCGATGCAATGATTGACTCCAACGATAGGTTTTCTCCACAGCTGAGCTATTGTTCTAGCAACAATTGCGGTTGAATAAAGAGGCCCCCCCATACCGGGACCTTTTGTGTAGCAAACAACATCAATCTCCGTGGGGGATAGCTTAGAAGTATCCAGTGCTTCTTGCAGAACTTGTAGAATTACTTCTCTGTGATGCCTCGCAGTTTCCCTGGGAAGAAAACCTGTTGCAAAACAGAAGAATCAGACTCACTGTAAATAGAAATACATTTGACTAGAAAAGGAAAACAGAATATCAACAGTGAAACTCCAGAGGTAATTAGGTGACTCATTTTCAGTGCTCTCAAATGTCCGCACCTATTTCATTCTTTTGAAAGAGAAAAATTCAGCACTTTTTTCCCGGGTGAATTCACGGAGCTTTCTTTGCACTGAGAGAAGAAATCACCCAACTTTTAAAGATATGACTTTGAGTTGTTTTTTGTTTAAAAGTCAAGTAAGACAGGAAGTCTGCAGCTCCACAAAACCGAAATATAAGTTACAATACTTGAACTGTTAGAATATTTCCAGCAAGGCATTCCTTGGATTTTCCCTCTGATTCTATTGGTGGAAAATCTTGACTGCTCAGACTGGCTTATACAGGCATGTATGTGCCTTACAGCAGACAGGCTAGTTTCATCATTGCTACCCACGGCACTCATGTGATCTGAGATTCAACCAGAGAGATTTCAGCATTAAAATCTGTAAATATATGAGTCTATTTGTTCTACTTTTCCTTCTTCTAACAAAGCTACAAAGGGATAACATGCCCTTTAAATTACTACTTCAGCGGATGATATATTTAATTATTTCCATCCGTCATCATTTTTTATAACAAGATACAGTTCCATCCGTGCTAGGACAGGGTCGATTAATACAAGGAAGTGTTTTACCTTCTCCAGGAGGAGTAATGTAGGTGCGTCGACAGTTTGCTAATACCTCACCATCTCGAACGATGCCAATTCCTAGCTTGTTGGCACTACCTTCAAAACCTATGGCAACTACCATTGTGAAAACAACTACACCCGGTGCGAGATTCACTCAATATCACTAGTTAAGAGTTCCATAACAAATACAGTAGGCTTCAAGGAACGTTTAGCACAATTTCATGGACCCAATTCATGAATATGTGAGATGTAAACAAAAACACATGTTGCGTGAACTTTGAGGTTATGTTGTGGAGTTGGTGGTTCCGTTCCTCGGCGGAAACGGAAGCAGGTCAAGGACCTCAACGGAAGTAGTAACTCAGACGGAAGCGGAAATCGCGAGTAACAGTGTGCACACGCTTCATTTGTCGATTTTGTTTTTCTTGTTTAGTTAAAGTTAGGAAGTTCGTTAGTTTGAGTTAGCTGCATTGAAGTGAAAAGGGAATACATTTTATTCGTCTAAACTATGGCTGTCTACAATCGAGGAGTTGCTTTAAAGCAACTTGTTGTTGTGCGTTAAAGTAAACTTATCTCTGTGTGGACTAGGCCTTCCACTTATAAGCAATGAACGAAAAAATTATGAAAGAACAAACTTAAATGTGGTTTAATAATCTAAACTTCAACCGCCGCCGCGCCGCGCTGACCGCACTGTGTATGGCGCAATGCGTGAAGTATTCCTACAGTCTTGTAGGTGCCATGCGTTTCACGTCGACCCAGGCCCGCCACATCCCATCTCGGGCCCTGGTACCAATTTTAAGGTCCGGGCCCCAAGCACGGAGGGGGGGGGTCCGAGGGGCATCCCCCGAGAAATTTTAGAATTTATACGACTAATCGGACGCATTTTGAAGCTTCCATAAATAATTTTTCCATCAATTTCTGCGGAATAATTATGTTTTTTTTTCTGCTTTCAGCACAAAATAATTGCGAATTGATGCATTCAAAACATCTGGAAAATGTTTATTTATTTATTTTTTTTTTTTTGGGGGGGGGGCATATATGATACTATTTTCAGTTCTAAGAGGGCCAGGCCCCCGTGGACTCCCCCTTTGGTTTGTCTATGGCAAGGGAGTTGAGCCATGAGCCATTGAAGTCGAGGATGCCCAGACTGGAGACTCTTAGCATCTGACGACGCGGAAGAAAATGAAACGCAGTTACTAAAAATATCCCTCTGTACTGAAAATCTTGAAAATAGATAGAAATTTTCCAAGAAGTATAGTTCTTTGAAAATTTAAGAAGAGTTCTACAGTGCCCCAACGTGTTTCTGAAAATCTATTCACCTTTTGCGAAATTTTTAGGGTAAATTTTTCACTTGTTCTTACGAAACAAGGGTTGCATGTGAATTCGTAGTGGTTTTTCACGAGTAACACGGGCCCCGGTACCAAGGACCCAGAATCCCCCCCCCCCTTGTGTCGGGACTGCGTCGACCGCTGCTGACCGCAATGTGTTTGACGCAATGCGTGAAGTATTCATGCAGTCCTGTAGGCGCTATGCGTCGCGCGCCGACCGCACTGTTTGACGCAATGCGTGAAGTATCCATGCAGTTATGTAGGCGCTTATATGTGCTACATGCCAACCGCCGCGCCGAGGGCTTCTCCTTTTCATCTCAAGTCCTCGTCATCATTGCTGTCTGCGCCTTGCCATTTAAGGCCAAATCGCGTGTTTGATCCCTCTCTTAACTCGACTAATTAAAGGTATACTGTCTCTTGTATCACCGAAAGAAGACAAAATCAGAAAGTACTGTACTCTCAGGGAATGAGAGAATTTTTTCCCTTTTCTCGTTTGTAATTTTTTCTGTATCCGATCTTTTACATACCAACATTTAAAAAAAACTTGTAAAATTTGCCGCCATGGGCCGCGGCCCATGTGGCCACCCCCTAAATCCGGCCCTGGTTGCGCCTTCAATTTTGCATATGCAACAAGGACATCCATCAAGCACGAATAGATGTACCTCTGCGCTGTCATCAACGTGCTGTGAGGTTTCTCTTCTTATTTTTGTTGTTTAGTTTGATTGGCCTGATTCCGTGTCGTAATTTCTCTCCTAAACTTTCAGACGGTTCTTCCCGGGGGAGCGGCGTTATTGATATGCTGCGCGGCGGCACGCGACACGTGTTTAAAGTTCTACGTTTTGTGGCAACTTCAAAATTTTTTTTTCGACTAAAATATTTTGTTGGCAGATAAAAATGCATCTACTGCATATCATTTCTGCAGCGAACTCAAAACCGCCAAAAAGTCACGTGTTTGCGGACTTTCACTGTCATTATTGTCTCTGAAAATAATGTTGCAGCCTACATTACTTACCGACTGCGTGTTTTTTCTTTTCGAGTGCGGAAGGGAGGGTATCAACAACGACAGTCATTGAGACTCTTGAACGAGGTCAGTCTTTGATCCATGACCTGTGAGACCCTCAGCTTTCACGGTTCAGAGCTGAAGCACAAAATCTGTAAACCGTGGGGGAGGGGGGGGGAGCAAGGAGAATGGCCGGCGCGGCGCGGCGAACGTAATTCATAAATGCTCGCGCGATGGTGCTTCTGAACTCTTAATAAAGTCTATCTTCACACTACTTAGTCATCGGAAAAGCGTGCATAAATTCATACAAAATGACAAGACTGGCGCTTAATGGGAACAAATGTAATGAAAGGCTTTTTCGCATCCGGGAGAGGGTCTGATACCCTCTTTTTGATTAACTCCTAATCATGGTGCACGTTTCATGGACGACGGTATCGAACGCTCATCAAATATCGATATTTGCCTTGTAATTAATTGAGAGACATCGAGCTAATATTTTCATAGGTTCACCGATATCGATCGTATTTCAACGAGTTTGCACGTTTTCCGATACCCCTCCTTCACGGCGTCCGTTATCAAAAATTTGTAAAATGAGGTGAAGTGTATCAGAAACTGCCTCAACAGTCGGTACACAAAAACTGTTGCTATCAATATTGGTTCTTTCAATAAATTAAAGAGATGATTGTAGGTAATCACTCTCTTGAGATTATGCCAAATTTCATGAAGAATCGTTCGGATCTTGCAGGGTTTCCGGCTGTCGCGCGGTGCGGAGTGCAGCAGTGGTAAGCCGTCGCACGAAAATAAAATTCTAATCTTCGAGGGAAAGGAGGTTTCCGATTTTTATTCTTCCGCGAAGTCAAATGTCAAAGATCCACAGACAGTTCAAAAAATTTATCTCTTGAATGGAATATCGCAATGTGTAGGTAATTAAAAATAAAACGCTCCAACCTGTCCTTTACCTCCTATAAAAAAGGGACTCGTGGCGGCATCAGATGTTTACTTTTTTTAAATTATACAAGCACTCACGTGTCGTGATAACGCTGGCACCTTCCTTTCTTCTTCACTGAAAGAACCTCGCAAGTGCTGAGATCATCAATGTCTGCGGGAGGTGGCAATTTATGGACACTCAGCTTAAAGGTTGGCTGCTTCCAACGCCATCTTAACAGAGGCACTAAAATTAGATGAGAGAAAAGAGAAAATAGAAAGGAGAGAAGAAGATGAAGAAGAAAAATAAAAAGAAGTAGAGGAAGAGGAGAAAGAAAAATAAAAAGAAGTAGAGGAAGAGGAGGAAGAAAAATACAAGAAAAAGAAGTAGAGGAAGAGGAAGAGGAAAAAGCGAAAATATAGGGAGAATTTTTGAAGTTTGAAATGACAACGTATGTGCTGTAGCTTCCAGTGTTTTAAAGTATATGGGATGTTTTTTGAGATGACGAACGAAACATTTGTGTACGCAAGGAAAGTAGGACCAGCCAGTCTTGGTCTGGCTCAAAAATTCTTGGGGTGCTGATAAGTTTTCGTTACCCCTTTCTCTTGGGTGGGGTCCCCTAAAACCGATAATGAATCTGCATCATTCTGTTGTTAGACATCGTCCGTTTGAAGTACGCCTTCAATTTCGTCGCATAGGCAATACGTCTACCAGGGAGCGCGAATAGTTATATATCGACGGTGAAACTACCAAACCACGTATCTCGTTTGCGGTGTTTAAAAATCTACGCTCACATTTTATTTTTTTGAAGTAGACCAAATCAATATCATTCCTTGAAATTTTCACAGAATTTTCTCCGCACGAAGAGGAAAAATCACAGAAATTTTCAAGACTGGACGTTCAGTAGTTATTCATTTAAAAAATAAAGTATGACAGGAAGTCTGCGACGTCGCAAACCGAGATACGTGGTTTGGTAGTTTCACCGTCGATATGTGATAAAAAAACATTTATCTCACTCCATAAACTTCGATGAAGCCGATAAATGATGTTGCGATTCTGTTGGTAGGTGTTGTTTACTTGAAGTTCGGCCTCAGTTTCACCGCACGGGCAGTCAATTGGGTTTTTCTTAAATTGATAAATTTATGAGTTTCCACCTCAAGATACGTTTCGAATGACACGATCACAATTATTTTATAGTATATCTGAGGATGTCGATAGTTAACAGTAAGTAAATTGAACACGCAATCCTCGCGTCAATATTATTGAGAATAAAAACGGTAAAGAGTCTCCTCCCCCCGCCCCCCTCAAAAAAAAAGACCTTCTCATCAGCGAGCCTTCAACGTTTTGCTCTCTTCATTTCATGATCTCCATATTATTATCCTTATGAACGATGCACTTACCAGCGGAGTTCAAAGAGTAACATTCAGTAAAGAGAGAGCTCTCATTTTTTGACGATGCCAATCGATGATCAAAACTATGCTACTTTTGGAAAGGAGATCGATGGCCTTTGATTTTATGAGCGGGTTGACGTGTCTTTCATTTACGCACGGTCAATGCGTGACGTCAACTTTTCTTGAGCGCTAAAACGTCACAAGCAACACGCGTAAAAACATAATGACGTCTGACCTGACTCAAAAGCGCAGTATTTTGGCTGTTTGTCGGATCATAACCAGGCATTTACATGGTAAATTAGGCGTTAACTGTGTATCTTGCGCCAAACTAAGAGCAAAGAGGTGAGGAGGGCGGGGAGTGGAAATCGCGTCAATATGTTTACATTGTTTCTCTTTTTCTTTGTCGGAATGTAAGACAAGTAATCTTTGCCATGCGATCAAGGATTTTGTCGGAGTCCGAAATTACCACACCAATTGCATTCATTACGCCATTACGTCAAAAATGCTTGCACACAAAATAAAAACTGAACTGATGCGTCACTGAGGTTCGAGCGCAGATTCTTTTTCTGAGATTTTCAAGAGGTATTTTGATCTCCAATCCAGGGCCGGATTTACCTACTTGCCGCCCATGAGCCGCCTGTATTTTGCCGACCCCTTCTCATTCGTTTTGAAACATCAATAAAAACCATTAAGTGAACGTGCCGGAGGGGAAGGGGTGCATAAGACGCGTTTACTCGAGTTGGACACATTTTTTGGGAAAGCCCCGTCAACACTACCTACTAGCAAAAGTTCACGGAACTTTAGGCGAAAGTTAAGTTCCGTAAACCTACCTCTGTGCGGATAAGGCCTTCCATTTATAATATATGAACGGAAAAATATTTATGAAGGAACAAACATTATAATGTGGTTTAAAAATTTTAACTTCCGCCGCGCCGCCGCGTCGCGCAGACCGCACCGTGTTTGACGCAACGCGTGAAGTATTCACGCAGTCTTGTGGGCGCTATGCGTTTCAGGCTGACCGCACGCGCACTGTGTTCGGCGCATTGCGTGTATAGTATTAATGCATTCTTGTAGGCTCTATGCGTTTAACGCTGACCGCAGTGACCGCACTGTGTTTGATGCAATGCGTGAAGTATTCATGTAGTCTTGTAGGCGCTAATATGTGTTACATGCCGACCGCCGCGCCGAGGGTTTCTCCTTTTCATCTCAAGCCCTCGTCATCATTTCTCTCTAAGCCGCGCCGCCGTTCCAGGCCAAATTGCGTGTTTGGTTTCACTCTTAACTCGACTAATTGAAGGTGCTGTCTTTTGTATCACTGAAAGACGACAAAATTAGAAATTACTATACTCTCAGGAAATTAGAGATTTTGTCGCCTTTTCTTGTTTGTATTTTTATTCTATAAGTCAGATTTTTTTATGCCTACATTTAAAAAAATTGCAAAATTTGCCGCCATGGCCCAATGGCCCATGTGGCCACCCCCTAAATCCGGCCCTGCTCCATTCTTTGGCTGACTCTTCATCAAGTGTGAAAGGTCCTCACATAGTTCACATACATTTCACATTGGTCTCTCGTTGGGGTGGTTGCGTCTCCGAATTTTAGATTCGATTTTTAGGCGAGGAAACGCTTTGGTGCTATTCGACTAGTTTGTATTTTGACGAGTTTCTGTGTTACGAAAATAAGTGAATCACCTAATTTTTTTATTTAAAACTGATCTTTTCTGTTTGGTTTACTGGGGTTTATTTATGGGCCTAGGAAGGGGGGCCAGAGGGACCTGCCCAGCAAAATAGTAATTTTTCTTTCAGCCCGCAGTCCACAGGCGGGCATCTGTAAGAGCTTTCCCGTTGATTTCAACTCCATTCTTCCTCACCTCCACACGTGCGCAGAATCTTCGTTTCGCGGCACACCCAAATTATCCCAACCGAAGTTTGCTGAAGCATTAAATATAGAGTTAAACTCTTTTTCTCGCTTAGAGTTTGAAGTGGCTTTTAGTTAGTGGTGTATTAATTATGAAAATACGTGGCGGTAACAAATTTACGTTAATTCCGTAACATACAATTTCAAGAGAGAAATCAGGCGTGAAATTAGCACTTCAAGAAGGTGGCATTTTTAAAGAAAATGAGCGTCAGTCATTTCCAAGAAAACGCATCTCGAGGTATAATTGGTGAAAAACTGAACGTTGAAGCTCATTTTCTGCCTCAGCTTTGTAACTTTTTAGATTTCAAACGTGCGTTTCTCTGGGTATCAGAAACACGTCAACTTAATTTTACAGCCGAAACATTTCTCGATATTTTTTCTCCCTCCTTTTAGTTTATAACTTCCGAGGGAAATACACTATTCATTACCTTACTCCAAATGAAGTTCATTCAGTCACAGCCTACCCATGGACTAATAATTGAACATGTGTTTTTAAGTGGAAATCAAGAAATTCGTCTGAATTTCAAGTGAATTCCATACAGAATATCATGCTTAAATAAAAGTAGATAGAGATAGGTACCATTATATTAAGTATATCACACTTTTAGTACATCACTTAGTACTATTCAATGCCAGTTGTTGACCCTATTAGGCAGGTGACGGTTTCTTCCATGCTGAGCTTCGATCATGGAAGAAACCCACAGGGTGAATGAAAGCTTTAGAAACTTAGAAAACAAATTCCACCCTCTCTTCCAAAGTTCTTAGTGGAAACTTTAGTCCAGAAATAAAAACACGTGCTCACATACTGGTAATACATACGGTAATCTTGCCCACTTTGCAGAGCCACAGGGAATATTCCTGCACAGCGCTCCCAGGAATTTTCGTTCCCATTCCCGGTACCTTAGTTTCTCGGGAAACTTTGACCTCTATTTTCGCACCTGACTATGGGTGGAAAGTGCTACTATAAACAAGCGAGACTAAGTATTGAACCTCTTGGGATCAAGGTTGTCGCGAGGGATACAAATCGTGCACATAGCACACGAGGGGCGCCAAAATTTCTAGTATGTCTTTTATTTATTTAATTTCTCAAAAATTCCTATATTTATGCCTCTCCTCCTCTGTATTTTTCCTCTTTCCCACCTGTTTTTCTTCTTCCCCTCTTCTTTATCCTCTCATCCTCATCCTTATCGGAATCAAGGTGATAAAATTCCTTTTTCGCGCTTCCGCGCTGCTGACATAATGTGCGACACGGACACATGTTCATGCCTGACCCCTGAACCTCAACAGTTGTGTGGTCAACGAGAACAAGTGGGAAGATGCGCCCGACAAATGTCACTCATCACGAGATCAGGATAGTAAACATACGTCAGACATAGCGGAGTGCTCCGTGACCCCCCTCCCCCTCCCCCCGGCGCTCCGTAACGTCACGCCGCAGAGCGCACAATAGAGCGAATCAATGAGATAAGATGGACGAGATGGTGAAACTTAAAAATCAAAGATATTTTCGTAAATACGAAGCTTAGAAATTTGAAAGTGGTACCATTGGTTTCAGTGACGTGGCGTGAATTGCGATATATTGATTGTTATGCCATTTAAACCTATGGTGAAGAATCGATTATCAAGGTGTTCGCTGCGAATACCCTGTTTATCGATCCTTTTCCATAGGTTTAATGGCAGATCAATCGATATATCGCAAGACACGCCACGCCACTGATTTGTTTTCTCGTAAAAATGTCCTTACATGTATCGGGAATACAACGAAATAAACATCAAAATTTACAGCTTCACACTGAAAAAAAAATCTCGGTGTATTTACTAAGAAAAGGGTAAAATTACCAAGAATTCAGGGTTCTACTTGATCCCAGTTTTTTTTTGGTAAAATTACCATTTATGGAATTGGTAATTTTACCGAGAAATCTCGGTAAAATTATTGAACTTTCTCGGTAATTTTACTGGATCTCGGTAAAAAAGCCAATATTTTTTATCGACTGTGGTAGAATTACCAAGATAAAATGGCCAAGTTACCGGGAATCGATAACCAATAAAAGTGGTATTCCTACCTGAAAAAAACAGTAAAAATACCGGTTTTTAGGTAAGCTTACCAGTCAGTCTTGGTAAAATTACCAATAATTGGTAAAGAAAAGTGAGATGGTAAAGGTACCAATGGACCGTGGTAAAAACGCCCAGAATTTTTTTTCAGTGCAGTTTAGAAATTCCGTGTCCGAACTCTATTGAAGGCTCGTTCCACTGAGCGACGCGGCCAGTGGCGGCCGACTATTTATCTGAAGCGCGGCTGATTCTGATCGTTATCAGCTGATTCTGCGGCGTGCGATCGCTGTGCGCAGGCGCGGGAGGTGTGTCGTCCCGTATTTTAGTCTTGTTTACTTTGCTCCTCGTTTCAGTCCGTAAATGACCAGTGCCATTTGATTAGTTCGTCGTTTCTCCGATCCGGGCTCGTTTCCTTCGTTTTTGCTTCCCCCAAAGTCGCCGACCTCCACCTCACCATGTCCACGATCTTGGAGACGAACAATAAGTGCAATCTATCCGCGGTTCTCTACCAAAAGAATGATCTCAGGATGGTGAGTCTCGCCTTAAAACATTTTTCTTGGGAAGTTCCGTGTAATCATTTATTTTAAAAATGCATGCGTGATAGCCGGAATAGCGCACCTAGATGATAAGAAAAGAGAATTCACGCCCTCGGCCGTAACGCTGCATACCAGGCGTGTTGTGCTGTTGATTTTTTCGGTTAAGATTTTTGACGCGTCGTCTCGCTTATCAAGACTGGGTAAACAATGTTCCTTGTCGGTTGATAGCTAATTCTAATTTTGCTGTAGCAATGTAGAACAGAATTAATTTTGATTTGAGTGCCAGCTTTAATTTAAGGCCACTTGATTATACTCCCCCTCCCTCTCCTAAAAAAATCGGGGGAAATTTTTTGATTAGTTTTCGAACGACACATTTCCACCCAGGGAGGTGAGACTAAAGAAAGGCAGGCTGAAATTACAATATAGACTCACGCAAAATTAACGTTAGAATCATGTAAATAACGTAGTTGGAATCTCCGGTAGAGTTAATTTTCTCGTTGCGAAGCTAGAGAAATAGAAGGGGTAGAAAATCATGATTTCTTTTTTTTTCCTTTTTTTTCTTTTTTGTATAGAAACCATATACCCTCAACAGAAAAAAATCCAAGTAAGTCATGATAGAGGAACAAAAACATTACATTTTGCAATAAGGAACCACTGTCTGGCTCTCCCATAAAAACTCATATCTGCATAGGGAAACCAATGGCATGTGTGTTGTTTCTAAAAAGGGTCAGAAGTAGTGGTTGCAAAATGTAATCCATATGAAGCCCTCAGTAAAAAAACAACAGCACAGGGAAATGGCGATAAAAATCTATCCTTTAAATTAATGAACAAATTATATTTACAGTAGAATTACTCAGAGTCAATGTGATTTTTTTTTTAATTTGCCACTATATTTTATAATTTTTCACACGCACGTGAACATCGATGAAAGAGGCTCCCGCTGTATTTCGATTAATGGTCGATTTTTTGTCGTATAACTTTTCAAATATTCTAGAACTGTCAAAAGCGAATTAATCGATAAGTACTTGATAAACAAATAGGTGCTCTCGTTTCTGTTGAAAATACCAGTTGCTGAAAACGCTATCACAATATAAATTTCTTCTAAATTTGCATTTGAGAAAAAAGAGGGAAAAAAGGAATCTCTTGAACTCCTACGCACCTAAAGATACTTACAAGTGGTTAACAGCGATCCACTCAAAGATTAGATAACCGATGTCCAATCATATTTTCGGAACAAAGTAAGTGGCACACAGCCAAGAGGTCTCAAAGTACCTACTTTTTTAAGTCATTTTCCAGAATCTTATAGAAAATTCCTAAATTAATCCATCATTAAGTTTAAAAAATTATCTTATCGTAATAACGTTAAATACTTTTACAAAACTGACAAATTTAGTTATCAAAAACGTTCCCTCGAGAATTTCTCAATTTTGCACGGTTGATAAACCCCCAAATTTCTCTCCGGAACAAGTTTAATTTCTTGCAAAAGTACAAATTTCTTCATCGGAGAGGTCGAATTGATCGATTTTTTCAAAATTAGAGACGAAGTCATTGAACGAGGAAAATATTGTCCAAAATTACACTTTCTCCTCCTCGGAGCAATTTTGTCCCAGCATACATTTTCTTGAATTTCATTCTTATGTCGTCTTTATTTTATCCTATAATATTGTGCGATTGTCTCATTTTTTTAGTTTTTATAATGCCTCACAAAAGTCTTTCAATGAACTGAAAGCTTTCAGGAACTCAGATTCAGGAATTGGAACTAATAAACAAATCTTACCATCTTGTTTAATGTGCACATAATACATTTTTTCATCATATCATGTAAAAAAATACACTAAAACAAGGATAAATCTTGCCAAATTCAATTTTCTAGCAATCTCAATTCACGTTACTTAAAATACCTACTATACAGTGACCTAAGTCAAAATAAAAACTAACCGTGGTAAAAAGTAAGAATGGTAAAATGGAACCAAAAACTCATTGACTCATCGCAATGTGAAATTCAATAACAGAACCCTTTGCAGACAGGCTCACTCTAAGCATATATTTCTTCCTCTCTTTATTTCGGCGCCAGTATTTTTAAGCTCTTTGACCGACAGACGCTACCAAGTTCTAGAAACTTGATTTCAGAGTACTATTTTTAAGTGCTCAAAAAGAACGACCTAAGAGCTCCGAGAAGTTCAAAAGTTCATGTGCAACTTTCGATCGAAATTTCCGCTACGAAAACTTTGATAAGTAAACAGATAACCTGGAGCACCCTTGCCGCTTTCCGTGAAATATTTGTGAGCTCACAAAAAAAGAAAATGCCAAATATGAGAACGTGTTGGCAAGTTCTAGCGGTTCTGGGTCAGAACGCGCGAATGTTCCTCCGTTATGACCGTAGTGGATGATATATTTTCTGTATCGGATATCAAATTAAAACACACAAGCAAATAAAAATGTAACTACGATCGAGAAAGACCTTTTGACCTTCATAATATCAGTATCATGCTCCGTCTGTAAGGGTCTTTATCGCGGCCAGCTGAAGACAATGGAAGAGTAGATAGGCCGTGGAAAAAGGGGAGGGTTTGGAAAGAGCACTAATCTTCTGGAATTTTTTAAGCTCTATAAGTCAGCGAAGTAGCACAGTTCAACGAAAATGTTGAAATCCTTTTGCAATTTAATACGAAGGAATCGCATTTTATTCACTCAGAAATTGCAGTATTTTTACATGATTTAATCAATGAACACCGATTTCTGACAATCAGCTAAATGAGTCCCATTGATGAGGAAGGTATAAGCAAATTGTAATTTTAAAAAAAAATTGCAACTTTTTATAATTATATTACAATGAATTTCAATGAGAGGAGCGAGAAGCCCCTTCAATTAGCGAATAGACAACATGCACGACACTCCTATGCAATAGCAATAATTTTACCATGTAATTTATTTCATATATAGGTAACCTGTGCGACTTGTGCAGCTGCAGAGGCTCACTTATGTTATGAGATTGTAACCCTTGAAATTTGCTCAGTTTTTCCACATTGAATCGTGAAAAAAAGAAAGTGGACAATTTTATTTTTCTAGGGAACAGGAAGGGAAATTGATGTTAAAAGTTGAAAAAAAAAAACACCTTCTCATTTGCCATGCATATAAATTTTCGCTCACATTCCGTTTTTTCAAGAAAATATCACGTATATATCTTGAAAAATATGACTATGGAAAGATCGATCTCTTTGTGAGAGGCCTGCAGTACTACTCAAACGCGGTCAAAATAAAAAAGAAAAATTATAGATAAGAAAACGAATTCTAGATTTTTTTGTGTGTGAGGAAGNGGGGGGGGGGGGGCTCAGTACCGTATAGTGAGAGTATAAAAATTTAGTCGGAATGTTGATTGTTCTTTTCAATCATATGAAAATCTCAAAGCTCAAAGAACTCGCATTAATGGCCAGATCGTGGCATGCTGTTCCTTTCATCGCATACTGAGGAAAAGCTGAAATAGCAGTGGCGTGGCGTAAATGATCGATTATCGATATCTCCCCATTTGTAGATATGGTAAGGAATCGATTATTATGGTGTTCGCTGCGGACACCCTGTTAATCGATCCTTTTCCATAGGTTTAAATGACAGATCAATCGATATATCGCAAACCACGCCACGCCACTGCGAAATAGTCAATTTTTTGCACGAGTATTAGCATCCAACGCGAGCGGACCAGTTAGGTTGTTGTGCTTTTAATGTATGAGTTGGGAACGAGTAAAAGCTGTAAGGAGCAACTTTGAGCTTTGGACTCACGTGAGTTGAGAATCACGTGTGATCTCTGACCGCCCGGAACGGGGCGCGCGTCGACGATTATGAAACATTATATGCTAACGTCACTGAAAAATTAACGTAGCGATATGTCCAGTAACCGATTTCCAGTTTTAACGTATGTTATTTTACTTTAAAAGAAGGAACCTGCTCAGAACTTCCATTTTTGTCTCCTTTCTCCTTTTCCCCCTTGTCTCTGTTTTTATTTCTATTCTTCCCTCTCTTCCATCTCTGTTTCTCGCTTCTACTCCTCGTTTCATCCTTTTCTCCCCTGACTCCCTCCCCCCCCTTTACTTTTTTCTCTAGTTTTCCTCTTTATCTCCTTTCCCCCTCCTCTTCCCCTCCTTTTCCATTCCTTTTCTTCTTTTTTACTCCTTTTCTCCCTACATATTTCTCCGTTTGTCTTCCTTTCCTTTCTACATAATTTTCTCCCTTTTACGCCCCCTCATTTACTAGTCCTTTTTTCGATTTTCCCCTTTCTTTTCCCCTTTCTCTCTTTCCTAGTCTTTCCTCATTTTCTCCTTATGTTTCTTCCTCCTTTTATCACAATTTTTCTCCCTTCTTCTTCCATTCTTTCTGTAGCCCTGTTTTTTCAATTTTTCGTTAAGCCGCACTGAAAGAAATAGTTAAAGAACGCTGTTTAGGACTGTAATGCTGGGCAAAAATTCTATACACCTTTACCTTATGCACACTTGTTTGCTCTCTACTCATACGTTTGTGTTTCCCGAGGAATTTTGCTAAATTGTAAAAAGAAAAAAGAAAAAAATCCAGAGACTTAAACGCGAGGTAAAGAAAACAATCTCAAACGTAAACTCACGTTAATGCTCATTTGGACAACCTTTTGCAATGAAGAAATATTATTTTTGACTTAATCATAAAATCACGTATCAGCATAAGAACACTAATGCCACAATTGCTGTACACGGGTCAGATACTGTACCTATTTCTACATTGCAAAATGATGTCTATTTAGTTCCCATTCAGTTTGAGTTTCAAATTTTATTCATCCCGTGGTTTTAAAATTTAGAATTCAAAATTGTCAATGGAAAATTGTAATTAGCAAGAACAAATTTTTGGAGCAAATCAGAGATGAAAAGAACCCTCGTTTGAACTCTAATTAGATTTGTTGACCATTGAATGGCATCTCAAACGATTCGACTCTCAAACTCATTCCTGATTAGAAAACTTGACGATTCTCAACACATAGATGACAGCTACTAGGGAAGTATAAGGTACTCGTTGCAAAGGAAATAAATACAAATAGTATCATTATGCGTCATCTACAAGTATTTGAAAAACGTTATAAAACTCAGATTATCTAACCAGGTTTCATTTTTGATTGTTCCAGGAACAAAAACCAATCCTTGAACCCAAAGAAAATGGTAAGTCATAAGCTGCATTATCATTAGTTTTTCAGACTTAAGAGTTTGGCACCTGCAATCCCTGCATAATTTTTTTACTTTCTCACCCTCCCTGGGGGTGGGTAGAGGAAATGTTGCCATCCAATATGAAATAAAATACAAATTTGTTTAAAAAATTAATTACAAAATTAATTAAAAATAAAAAATGAAATGTTTTTATTTCTATGCTGTTTGTGACGCCTGAAGTGAAAAATATTATATTTGTTCTACATTCTTCTCAAAAGAGGATAATGTAAAATGAGCTATAATTTAGTCGCTGCAAAAGAGCAAACAAGGAGTAAAAATTTTAAACTTTTGTGTCATCAGGTGCTGTTCAAATCGTGTCTGATTTTTCTTTTGGCGTGAAGAACGTAACATTAAGAAATGGCTTCGTTTCATAAATTCCATAGAGATACAGTTGCATTGATAAATAAAACTGATTTCACTATAAACTACTATGATTCAAAAAGTATCTGTGCGCTCTTCCACAGCAGGTTAGTTTAATGGTCCCCTTTGCCACTATGCTACGGCACGGCTCACCCCTCGTATCACTGGAACCACCCCCCTTCCCTTTTTTTCACTCCTACCAAAGAATGTAATCATTTCGATATTTGTTTAATTGATATGTTACAGAGGTTCTGATTCAAATGCATTGCGTTGGCATTTGCGGCTCCGATGTCCACTATTTGACCCACGGAAGAATTGCAGACTTCATTGTCAAAGACCCAATGATCATCGGTCACGAAGCCAGTGGAATCGTTTACAAAGTTGGAGAAAAAGTCAAAACTCTCAAACCAGGTAAAACATGACACCCTTTGGTTCGTTTGCCGTCGTGTGTGAAAAACATTGTACGGAACTGAAAATCCCACAATAATTGTGAGGAAAAACGCCTACTCACTTTTAGCCCAATTTTATCAAAGTTGTCCATCGAAAGGAAGACGAGCTATTAAAAGTGAGAATATCGAACAAAGATGTATCGATTATACCGATAAATATCAATGTGACGCGAACCTATACATTTTTCGTCATTTTTTCATGTTTGGGCGTACAAATCTTCCGTGTATAGTGGCGAAAATTTTGATTCTTTATACTGAAAATTGACCTATTTTATCGGTAAACGAGCTCAAAAATTTTCCCCGGCGATGAGAAAAACTTGACACGACTCCAGATTGCAGCGAGATCGTCCGATCTTAAGGTCATGGGTTCATATCTCATTTGAGACCATTTTTATACTAATGTAATTTTCGATGAGCGGTAAAGATACACAGACAAATCTTGATGGTACGATCAAACAAACTATTTAATCAGTGGAAATTTCTAGTGAATTGTGGATTGATTGCATTTCTTATCCGAGGTCATGGGTTCGAGCCCGGTCAACTCACGTGGTCACCACACGTGGTGAAAGGTATTGGTATAATATCGTACAAAAGTCATCACAATCGATGTAATTATCAATATCGATAAACTATTGAGGGTTAAGAGTGTCAGTTTTCGCACGGGTTTCCGATATATTTTTAGGCATTCACTTTACTTTTCGAGGCAGCCTTATCCTGATCTTCGACCCTTAGACTGGGAAGTCGGTGGAAAAGAATCGCTCGAGAGGAAGACTGATAAAGTTGTCTTGGTTTTGACTCGAGCGGTGACGAGTTCTTGGGGTCAACGACTTGCTGAGAGCATTACAATCAGTGCCAAGTGGAATGGAGCCACTAATTTTGACGTCACTAACAAGCGACTTTCAGGGAAAGAGCCGATGCTTTAGCGGCCACGAATAGTCTGCGGCGTTTAGACCTGCTATCTCGGGTCGAAAAACAACTGCTAGGATTTAATCAAAATCAGCCTAACTGCAATCGGACGTATTTCTGCCCAACGGAACCAAGTGCATTATGACGTGAGCCCTGTTATGCATATATTTTTATAGGTCTCAGGGCTCATGTCTTGATGCGCATAGTTCCGTTTGGTAGAAATACGTTCAATTTATGTTGCCAAATTCCCTACCATGCTATATTTGTATATCATAGGACTTAACAACACCCAGTCCTTGCAAATTTTTGTAAATTTTTCATAAATCATGATGAAAATACTCACTAAATTTCAAGTTACAGAGTAGACAAAACAAGTTGAGGGAAAAAGAGAAAAAATGGAGAAATAGAGGAATAAAGAGAGGAAGAGGGATGAGAAGAGAGAGGAAAAGGGAGAAAAAGAGGAAAGATTAGGATAAGTTTTAAAGGCATTGTAATTAAGACGCCAAAACTCGTTGGTCCAACTTTGGAAGAGAGACTTACAATTTTCCAAGTTCACGATGTATTGATGATTTTCTATTGTAGATTTATCGATTTTTGACAGGCTCCTTATCGATATCATGTAATTTTCATGGAAAAGAAAATGATAAAAAAAATCTTTCAAAAAACAGACGCAAGGGGGGGAAATCGGTATTTCTCCTTCAATCCTCACGGTAGGCCAATAAACATGCTCCTTCAGTATTTTTCTCAGCGCATCGAGAAATTGTTGAGGAGACGGATTTATCTGTCGCGACTCATTCGATTTTTTCAAAGCCACACAATTTTGTCATTCATGTACCAATCAAAATCGCAATGAAAAACACTGATTATTGAATTCTTTATCACGATGAAAGTTTACACAAAATGCCATGCCGCAAAGCGAGGTAAAGTTTTTCTGGTTTCTTCATTGAGCATCTCGCATCCTATACTTATAGTCTTGTCCCTTCGATTTGTCTATAATATTAACGAATGTGATTTATTGTCTTTAACTTAGGTGACAGAGTAGCCATCGAACCCGGTGTACCTTGCCGTACCTGCTCTTTCTGCAAAGAGGGTAGGTACAATCTGTGCTCGCAAATCTACTTCTGCGCTACCCCACCGGATCATGGAAATCTTAGCCGATTCTACGTTCACGCTGCTGATTTCTGCCACAAGTAAGTCAGGCTTGCATATCCTCATCATCCCTCCCGCCAAAAAACAATACTTTTTAAAGACCGCGCACTTCTTTCTTCTCCATAGTGTGGAAGTTCCTGATGATTGGAGAGTTGAGCAACTTGTTTAATAAACGGAATCAAATTTGCAAAAACTCGCCGAACAAAATGCTCACCCCGACATTCATCGGTCATCATTCGGCGAATTTTATGCTGAACAAGTTGCACATCAGTCATCATTAAGTGAAAAATAACGTCGCTCCCCGAATTGGACTTTGTCTCCCCTGACTACATTGCTTAGATTGTAAGTACCTATACGCGGTCTAATTGGCTTAAATTTTGGAATCATGAATTACAAATTCCGGCTCATTTTAGGAACGACGAATGTGGAATTCCTTTCCCCATGTGGACAGGGCCGGATTTACCGACTTGCCGCCCATGGGCCGCCTTTATTTTGCCGCCCCCTTCTCATTCGTTTTGAAACATCAATAAAAACCATCAAATAAATGTGCCGAAGGGGGAGGGGTGCATAAGACACGTTCATTCTTGTTGGACACATTATTTGCGAAAGCCCTGTGAACACTACTAGCAGAAGTTCACAGAACTTTGCACAAAAGTTAAGTTCCGTATACCTATCTCCGTGTGGAAAAGGCCTTCCATTTAAAGAAGTGAATAAAAAGGTATGAAAAAACAAACATAAATGTGGTTTAATAATTTTAACTTCCGCCGCCACGCCGCGCTGACCGCAACGGGTTTGGCGCAATGCGTGAAGTATTCCTACAGTCTTGTAGGCGCTTTGCGTTTCACGCCGACCGCTGCGCTGCTGACCGCACTTTGTCAGACGCAATGCGTTAAGTATTCACGCAAGTGACCGCACTGTGTTTGATGCAATGCGTGAAGTATTCATGCAGTCTTGTAGGCGCTAATGTGTTACATGTCGATCGCCGCGCCGAGGGCTTCTCCTTTTCATCTCAAGTCCTCGTCATCATTTCTCTCTAAGCCGCGTCGTTCCAGGCCAAATTGCGTGTTTGGTCTCTCCCTTAACTCGACTAATTAAAGGTGCTGTCTCTTGTATCATCGAGAGACGACAAAATTAGAAGTTACTGTACTCTTAGGAATTGAGAGATTTTATCACCTTTTCTCGTTTGTAATTTTTTTTCTGAATCCGATTTTGATATACCTTTATTTAAAAAAAATCTCAAAATTTGCCGCCATGGGCCGCGGCCCATGTGGCCATTCCTTAAATCCGGCCCTGCATGTGGATAGGTGCGTTTATGGACGTGCCAAAAAAAATAGTAATTCCTTTTTGCAAAATGAAGTCCAATAAAGTACGAATAATCTACTTTTCCGTCTGAGATAGATACTTATTCCAATTTTAAGAGTACCTACTCCAAGAAGTCTACATGATGTGGAAGGTCGCAAACTACAAGTGGTCGAGGCTTGTTGGTGACCCGCATTTCGGCTCAAAGTTACAATTTCTGCCAGAGGGTGTCAAAAGATCAAAAGGATTTATGCATAAAGTCATATACCAATTTGGTACATAAATGACGTTTAAACTCATTTTGCTTAACGGTTAACCGCTAGATTTAGCAGATAAGAGCCAAAACGAAAGTCGAACAGAATTGCATCAAATAGTAAACAGGCAATGAAATGAATTCAACCGGACCTTGCCCTAAATTTTGGAAACGACCGTGACCTACGTCTCAGCGCCGGAGAAAGTTAGCTCACGCAGCTCTCAAAAGTTTAATGCCATATAATATGACATGTTGGTTCGTAACATTAATTTATAGTGAGATCTGATCCCAACAAAACCTTCTCATCTTGGAAAATCGAATTTTACCTTTTCCTCGTGGGCTTGCCATGAAGAGTGCATGCATATCAAAACGTCGCAGACTATAGGTATTTTGATCTCGATCTCTTATTTTTGTTTTCCTGAAAAGTAAGTGCGCACCTGATTCCACGGCCCATCCTTGCGTCACTATTATGCCGGAAGTGCGAGTTCCAAAAAAAAATTCGTTTTCCATTTCCAGCGCAAAAGATTGAATAGGTCTAGTAGGCTCCTTTAACTACACTGAAGAAACTGCTCGGTGGATTAAGATAAGTAGGTGCGTGTGTAATTTAATTTGAAGTCGGTTCCGCACATGACAATATTGAAGGACTAGTTTGTATTGTCCTATCCACGCATTGCCACCCGCATCCAATCGCGAGTTTTCACGCGGAAATGTAAATATGCCGGATCTGTAATTTTTCTGAACAATTTGATGACAGCGTGCCTTCGCTGCTTCGGTAACTTAATTCCCAGCAGCGATGGAGATAATCAGAGGAACCGCTAATTATACCGCGGCACGCGTAATTTTGACAAGCCTGATTTGGCTCGCACCTGCCACAGAGCGACGACGGTACCTACTTGGATGCGGTTTTAGTAGCCATTCGAAAAATGGGCCTCATGGCGAAATTGTCTATTTTGAGGAAGAGAAAAAAAACTGAGTATAGCATTAAAAAAAATACGCCGTGGCATCGCGTTGTTAGAAATTGTTCACGGGAGCCTGGGGGGTTGGTCAAAAGTTCTCATGCATGAAGGTGTTCGAAGGCAAAAGATTCCTGGTAAAATGTATTTTTTGGAAATAATTTCTGGTCTTGAGAATCGGTAGAGGAGGGTGTATCGACACCTTATTTGCTAGCCACTAGTCTTGTAATGGCACAAAATTGTTTCAATTTCCTATTAGGATCACAAAAAAATTTGGAAATTTTTGAAAAACTCTTTAGAGATAAAAACACGTTCCTCATAAAAAGGAGTGCAGGGTGCCATTGGTAATTTTTTGTCTGGTTCTGTTGGAAAATTACCATTATTTTTTTAAAAAAAAATAATAATAAAAATATTTTAATAAGACCTTTGTTTTAGCCTTGTGCATTCTATAGCTGTTACAAATATGACGCGGACAGAATCCTCATTTCTTCACTCAGAGAGGGTGTCCTCAAAACCTCTGCTGCTAACATTACCAAATCTGATGCCTTTATTAGGGGAAATTGTACTCGAATGAGCTTTTTCCCACTGTATATGGGAATTTCAGTTTTATACTACGCATGTCTGCGAAATCACCAACTCTCTTAGTCTCTGCTGTTACTTTTCCATTTAGCCAAACTACCTTTTTGAAACAAAAACCATGATTTCCTAGAACAAGTCACCGCCGCGGCCCTCGAGGTGCCTCCTATGCTCGGTGACAACCTGGTCAATCTATTATTTCAAAGTTTAAAATCCTGCTAAGGTAGGTAAAACTCCGTCTCGAGGAATCTCAGAGGTTGTGTCACGGCTTCGTTCCAGTTTCAAACAGCCTTGGTGAGATGAAAAAAGGGGACAGCATTAGAAGCGCTTCCAGATAGTTTATTGGGCCACAGCTTATATTCAATAGTTCTGCGCAGTTGCCCATACCACTGAGATTAAACTAGCTACCTAAATAATAATATTCCCGAAAATAGTCTTTATTTAGCCACTACTGACTTGCATGTAGTCGTTCCTAAGTTCAAAAATGTGTTTTTTGAAAGAAAGACAGTTTGTAAAAAGTTCCTCGGAGGGAAATTTTTTTTGCGTTCTTCAACTGGAGCGCGCACAGAACTACCCTTTATGCAGTTTTCAAGAATCAACATTGAGTGGGTTTTAATTTAAAAAATGAAGCATGACAGGAAGTCTGCAACATCGCAAACCGAGATAAATGGTCTGGTGGTTTCACCGACGAGTAATATTTTCTCCTCCGAATTCTCTATTGAGGTGCCCGTTTTTGGATTTTTGCGTGCTATTAAAAGAAGTTCAGTAAAACAGCCGCAGCAGCGGTGACACTAAGTGGCAACTATGGACGACGACAAGACACGTTTATTGTCTCCGACATTCAGTTACATTCTCGGGTTATTGTCCCTCATATCCTTCGATTCGGTCATCGATTAACTCATCTGCTTACACGCGGCGCCATTACTGATCAAATCATCTCCAATTGCCCCACTGCTCCTGGATCGATCACCGCACTGTGGTGCCGATCCACTTTTCACCGATCCAAAATCAGCATGGCCTTTTGCATGAAAACACTTCTTCAATCAAAGTTGACTTTTCTCCAATGCATAAAGAAAATTTTTACGGCTCCAAAATGTTATTTTTGGAGTCGGAGATTATTTTTTTTTTCAAATTTTTTTTCAAAGTTTCAGAATTTTTTTTGAACCTAAAGGCAGACGATTGCATACACCTGATCATTTCTTTCCCCGTTTTTGACCCTCTTGAAAAGGGCACAAATTTCGTAGTTTCATTTTCCTCCCCTAAAATCTTTAACTTTTTTGAGTTGGTCAGATAATTAAATATTTTCGATACCCGTATAAATTCCAAAATCACATGAATTTAAGCTTCAAATGACTTGGGCAGATGCGTTTTAATTCATCCCCGAACCATTCATGCCAACAAGAACCTCTGGGAGAGGGAGACAGCTGCCAGTTGAACTGTAGCTCTCAGCCATAGCCATGGTAAACTGAATATTCTCACTTGACCGAGAGCTCATGTTGGAATTGGAATGGTTCCTTCAGTTTCATTCTGTCCGCTTGGCAAGATTTGGCATCGAAAGTTGCCCCAGCAAGACGCAGAACTTCTTTGACGCAGGCCGGCGAGACTTCTAGAAACAAGTTGGCTCTCGTCGGAATTGCCAGATTTATCCCCGAAAGTCTCGAGTCTTCGTGAAACGCGATGAAAGAGGCACACAATGCCTATTAAGCTTTCTGAGTTAGATGCGTTGATCGTCTTAAGTATTACGAAAACTTTCTTCGTATGTTTTGAATGGGAGGAAAGGGCCAAACTTATTCTTCGCGAGAGTATAATGGTATCGATCTGCTACATACGATCACATTTCTTAGAGCATAGTACAAAAAGGAATCCCTCAATGATGATTTTCAATTTTCTTTCTATGGGAAGGGGGCGGGCATTACATAAACCTAAAAGGTTTTTTGCCAAAATCGAAAATCACCCTGACTTCCGCCTCTCCGTAGCCTTATCCACCCACGCATCTTTTTCCTTATTTTATCACGCGACTGATCCTCTTTATTTTTACTTCTAATCTGCTTCTGTGTACTGCATTAGTTATGATCGATACGAACTAAGACTTTTCGAGAAAAGCGCATCAAGTTGCTGCATCGGCGAGGGGTCAAGCGTGGCCTTGGCTCAAGCTGCAACGTGATAAAGAAAATTGCGTCGCGGCGCTTGAAGGCGCTTTATTCTCTCAACTGGGCTCAATTGATTAATGCTGTCTTCGAGTGCGCTCCACGTGCGCTTGTATCACCCAATTGCAGTAGGCGCTATTTTGATCTAGATTCATGTCAAGTTCAAGGTGATGCTGTGTTGGCAGCTCGCCAGGAAAATCAACGTCTTACTCACTGCAAATTACTTTCAATGAGGTAATTGACAGCGTGAGATTGATGTAATACGTCACGATCGACTGGAGTATTGTGGCGCGGTCCATGTTGACTCACGACTATACACTATCACCTTCGCACAACAGGGTCAAATCGGGTCGCTCAGTCTCTATTGTGCACTGAAAGATGATTTGCTGCGTCCTTCCGCTCTTCGTGCGAATACACTCGGAATTGCGGCCTGATTATTGAAATTGATATAGACAAATCAATTGACAAAGAAGATGTAGGGAGTATGGAGCGTTTCTACTGGTTGAAATGGGTGATTTTTATGGACTGAGGGGATAAATGATGGACTAACTATAGGGCCTCTCGTGGGTTGCCGTCTATATTAGTTACCTTTTTTGTCTATTGCAGCCAGGCCCGCCACAAGGGGGGGGGATACTGGGTCCTTGGTACCGGGGCCCGGGCCCTGGAGGGGCCCGTGACGCAGGTGACAAACCACTACGAATTCATGTGTAACCCTTGTCTCGTAGGGAAAAGTGAAAAAATTACCCTAAAAATTCCGCAAAAGGTGAATAAAGTTTCAAAAACACGCTAGGGCACTATAAAATTTTTCTTACTTTTTTAGAGATTTTCAAGATTTTGAGTATATGTAGAATGATATTTTTAGTAACTGTGTTTCATTTTCTTCCGTTGTCGGATGCTAACAGGCTCCTTTCTGGGCATCCTCGACTTCAATGGCTTAACTCCCTTGCCATAGACGTACGAAAGGGGAGTCCAGGGGGGCCCGGCTCCCCATAGAATTGAAAATTATCATCTGCCCCCTCAAAAAAAAATTTATAGATGTTTTGAATGCAACAATTAGAAAGTTTTTGGTGCTGAAAGTAAACAAAAAGGCGTAATTATTCTGCAGAAATTGATGGAAAATCTCCATCATAAGAGCTTCATAATGTGTCCAAATAGATTTAAAATTTCAAAAATTTCCCGGGGGAGGCCCCCCCCCCCTGTGCTAGGGGCCCGGGCCAGAAAATTGGTACCAGGGCCCGAGATGGGATGTGGCGGGCCTGATTGCAGCTACCCGCTTCCACCAACAGGATCCCTCCAAATTCCTTTTCGACGGCGTAAGTCCGCAAGCACATATCATCCATTTTCGGTGTCTGAAAATCTCCGCCTCTGTGTTATTTTTTTAAAGGAGAACAAATTGACATCATTCCTTGAAGTTTTTGCAGAATTTTTTTCGCACAGAGAAGAAAAATCACGGCAGTTTTAAAGAATTGCCGTTGAGAAGTTTTCCGTTTAAAAAGTAAAGTATGACAGGGAGTTTGCGACGTCGCAAACCGATTTATGTGACTAACACCGTCGTTATGTCCTCTTTGCCTATAGTTTTGTCTATCAATTTCAACAATCAGCCCGCTAAGTTTCGGAATTTAATGCCCCCCGGCTCCGCGCTTTTCATTTCTTTCCCCTTTTTCTATATTTCTAATTCTAATTATTTTTTGTTCCAGATTACCCGACCACGTGAGCATGGAAGAGGGTGCACTGCTGGAGCCATTATCAGTGGGAGTCCACGCTTGCAAGCGAGCGGGAATCACTATTGGCTCAAACGTTCTCATCACAGGCGCCGGCCCCATCGGACTTGTCTCTCTCATCACTGCAAAAGCCATGGGAGCTCGCAGAGTCATAATTACAGGTTCGTATCAAAGTCTCACACGCTGTTCCGATCAAAACAACACCATGCCTTTCAAGGCCTTTAGGGGAAGCTTGTTGTTATCGGGCAGAGTCCACGTCAAATAAGTTGACACTTTTTTAGACTGCGACTATGGATAGTTTGACGTCATTTTCGCATGGAGAGTAAATGCAAGAAGCAAAATGGGTTCAGGGTTCTTCTGTTGCAGTCTAAAATTGCGGGAACTTAGTTGGCGCGGACTCTAAAACTTACCATTTTCTGTAGCTTCTTCACAGAGAGGCAAGGCGGACATGTAGGCAGGATTTTGTTTCCGGGAGGCCGGCACACAGTGGAACGAATTAATAGACAAGGTCGGACATGAAATTGTTGGCTAAAATTTCAAATTTTCATGTTTATTTCGTCACATATTCAGTTTCAAAGGGTGTTGCCCAGAGGAATTTCACAAAAAATCCCTATGAAACGACTTATAAACTTTTTTGTTTCCGATTTTCGGAAATATAAGCTTTCAAAGTTTCCAGATTTTGTCCGACTTCTCTTATCGATCGGTCCAGTGTGCGGCAGGTCGCGACGAAAATCCTATCCGCACTATTTTCCATTTTTTTTTAGCTGGCCGGGGGGCGGGGGTGGGGGTGGGGAATTGGGAGGGATTGAGCCTCAAAGCACTCACCCAAACCCACCCCGCGCTAGCTACTTGCTGAAAAAGTTTCAATTCATAAATGAAAGTTTGACAGCCAGTGGGGCCTTATCACATTTCAACTTGGGAAGTTTCGCTTAGCAATGTATTTATTTACTCAAGAAAGCAAAATCTCTCTCATAATTTGGCATGAATTTTCTGGGTGATTTAACGGGTATTCCCCTAAATTTCCAATGCAAAACATGTACCTGTTGATGAATGTATGAAATGAAAAATACAAGTAAAGTTGATAAAATTGGAAATCCTCGACTCTCGGAGGCAGAGCTTTATCTCGATGACTAGGTAATGGTCACTGATTTAAGGAATTCATTATATTTTCAGATATCCAAGAACACCGACTGACCGTAGCTAAACAATGTGGCGCAGATTACACCGTGCTAATTCATAAAGGAGATGATGAGCAAGAATTGGCCAGGAGAATCCACGAAGAACTTGGCGAAGCCCCAGACAAGACGATCGACTGTAGTGGAATTGAAACCACCATTGCGCTAGGGATTGAGGTATGTACCCCGCCGAGTGTAAATGAACAGTAGGTAAAAAGTGGGAAAGCGCCATTAATTTTAGGTCAGTGTAAATATGATCACAATTATTTTCCACGCGCGGAGAAAGACAGAACCACTACGACGCAGAATCAAACTAGAAACTAAAAACAAACTCTTTAGGATAATACGTGGAAAAATCAGGGATGATGTATTTAACATTCGGCAAACAATTTTCACCTGGAGAGGAGGGACCCTTTAGGCAAGCATTCGAAAAAAAACTTTTTATGTGGAAAAAAATCCCGATCATGGAAGGGATTGGACCCTCTAGCCTCGCAACTGGCGCGGCGTCCGACAGAGCACAGGGTAGAGTTTCGTGAGCCGCCCTGCGCCGTCCGCAGCGCGCATGGCGCACGACCCGCATTTCATCATTACACTTCATCTAGAGTTGAGAGTTCACTAATTACTTCACACGACCAGTGTGTAATTTTACAAAAAAAAAAAAAAAAAAAANAAAAAAAAAAAAAAAGTTACACGATATACGAGTTTCTTCACCCAGAGGGAGCTCTCCCCGCAAGAAATCGGTCACCACCTGCCCGCCGCGCAGGGAAAGCCGCGGCGCACGGAGGGCCAGCAGCCAAGTTTAGCCGGTCAAAAGTCCTCAGAGGCGCCTGAACTTACTAATATGAGAGAATGTATGTTTTTAGGGGTAATTTAGATCGCTGAATCCATATTTTGGGTTTCTATAAAGAAATTTTGAAGTTTTTGATGAGAATTATTTAANAATTCGATTCCTGGCCCTCTGTGCGGCGTGCTGCCAGCGCGAAACGCGCACTGACGCCTACAAACCTAAAGGGCTGCTTCACGCATTGCGCAGTGCTTGGAGTATCCCCTTAGGTTTGTAGGCGTCGGTGCGCGTTTCGAGCTGGTAGGACGCCGCGCCACCGCGCCGCCGCAGCGTGCCATAATAATCGAAATATTTAATGTTTGTAATTGTGGAATGAATAGGTCAGGGTATTAAAATGTTGGCAATTTGACATGAAATTCGAAATTAGCGATTCAAAAAACATCTGCTACGAAACTTTCATGATCTTTCCGTCATTATCCGATTTATTCCTTCCAATTCTTGAGTTTTGGATCATAGTGCGCCGCGGGAGAGCGCCGGCTTTTGAAATTCTCCCCTGTGCTCAACCGCGCAGCGTCTCGTGTGTTGGCCAGTTTAATCCTCCCGCTTGCCAAAACACCAGTGTCCAGTTGAATCAACTTGGGAACTAAAGTAATTACACGAGTCTTCATGATAGAATATATCCTCATGAAGCCGAAATTTTCTCGACAACCTAATTCACACGGCTATACCACTTGCGTGTAACAGACCCAGTTTTCAGTGAGTGAATCATGCAGCTATCAGCCATCAAAAATACAATGGTCCACTCCACTAGATAGGGGGAGAACCGAACCAGAGTATTTTACGATATGTTTATCAATCAAAATTAAGTTTACGCAGACTACGATAAGCGTGTTGAAAAAGTTAGTTAGGAGCAACGAGTTGGTGAGGAATTACAGTGGATATCGGATATAACGACCTTGAAGGGACCAGCCATATTCGGTCGTTATAGCCGATAGTCGTTATAACCGATAGTGGAATTTTTACGCACGTACCCTATGTTGAAGAGCTGAGAACAAGGCTGTGCTGTAGGTGGGATTCCAGGGCCCGGTGAATTTTGCTGCTGATTCATTATCTCTTCAGTAACACCTTTGTTTATTAGCTTTATCTAATTTTATTTGAATTGAATATTTATTTAATTCATTTATTTTTTTATTTTTTTATTCTAGGACTAATTTTATTTAAAACACTTTGTTTGAATTTGTAAGAACAAGGTATTTTATGATATTGAGATTACATGCACTACAAACTACATTGTGTTTGCACTACATATGCGCAATACTGAAGAAGTATAAAACTTCTAATTTGAATAATAGTCCATGATTTTTTTTTTGCTTCACAACTGTGTTCGCGTACCCTTTTTGTAACGCTCTATGGGCCGAGCGTAAAGTGTGATAAAGTGGAATCGTTCCATTCTGAGTTCAAAATTAGGAATTTTTGAATAGTTGCGATTGCTTCTAGGGCGTCTGGAAACGAGATCCCCTCCTCTTCGGCCTCTGTTCCTGTCGCTCAGGTCGTTATAACCGATCATCACATCTGTTGGGACGCGGAAACTCCGTCGCTATGACCGATATGTCGTTATATGCGATGTCGTTATAACCGATACATAAATACATTGAATGAATGGGATTTCAGCCGGGACCGACCAGTTTACGTCGTTATGCCCGATATGTCGTTATAACCGATGTCGTTATATCCGATATCCACTGTAGTATTACCGAAAACGTATCAGCACCCCAAAACTTTTCGAGCCAGCCCGACTTTGCCCATCATTAAGACCACCTCTTATCGCTAGAAAATAACTTTTTTATTGTGTTTGCACCTGTTCAGGCCACCAAAAGCGGCGGAGTGATTGTCATTGTAGGATGCGGCCCTAACAACGTTCGAATTCCTTTAATCAAGGCTCTCTCTCGAGAAGTAGACATTAGAGGAGTTTTCCGCTACGCCAATGAGTAAGTATACGGTTGTTTTTGTGGAAACTCTATGAGGCGAGTCGTGCAGAATTTTGTACGTTCGTGACCCCCCCCCTCCCTCTCCAATCCCTCTTTAATATTATTAGCTTCACCTTTTAATACAATCTGATCAAGCCCTGTGAGAGTACAATGTCAAATCGAATTTAAACCTCAAGTATTGATGGCCATTGTGCAAAATCACGTATCTCCGTTCGAGACGTTGCAGACTTCCTGTCATACTTTATTTTTTTTTTTTTTGGAAAACTTGTCGCCGTAATTTCTTGAAAAATGTTCTTTTCTGCCGGCAAAATATTCTGTGAATATTTCAAGCCATAAAGTTCGCTTGTTTCTCTTAGAAAAAATGAAATAAGAGCGGACGACATTTTGAAACACTGTAATTGTAGATACGTGGTTTTGCACTTAGGCCATCGATATACTAAACCAGAGAAACAGAATCGATGATTCAATCGTGGATGGTGTGAAACGGCTTTTTCATGATTCGATTTTGACTGAAATACACCAAGTCACATTTTAGAAAAAAATAGTTTCGACGAGTTTTGAATTCAAGTAGTTGCAAATTGAATGGTTCATTTGAAGAGGGGCATCCGTGTCCAAAGTCAATTTTCGATAAAATATAAGCTAACTTCTTATCGCTGGCCCCAGTGCGAAACCACGTATCCCCGGCGCAATTTTTCAAAATTTTCGCTCCTATTTCATTTTTTCGGAGAGAAACAAGCCAATTTCATAGCTTGGAATTTATACAGAATATTTTACTAACACAGAAGAAATATCAAGGACATTTTGAATGAATTACGCTGACTAAAGTCTCTCTAAGAAAAAATAATAAGTTTTACAGGAAGTCTGCAACGTCGCAAACGGAGATAAGTGGTATCGGCATCGCACTTTGGCCATCGATATCTTCGACGATTCTTTATTTTTCATTTACTCGATCATTCGTTTAAATCTAGAGTTGATGTTAAAGCATGATCGATTAAAGTACTTCCATAATCATGGGAGTGCTAATTTGACCTCCTTTTTGAAGCGGAAGGTCAGCCGCACGATCAGGAGGAAAACTCGTACGAGAGAGGAGGATAGAACATCATTCAGACATGATTGATACCTATGAGTATTCTCTGCTTTGAAAGCGAAGTTGGGGTCAAGGTGCGGCGATTAAAATGAATGAGATTACAATTAAACGAGTTGATTTAGGTAATTTTAAAAAGAAAAAAAAAACAATGTATATTCCATTTTTAAATCGAAAGTAACCCACTTTGAGTCGTGATGCCCTGGTAAAAATTGGCGATAGGAGCTGCGTTTCAAAATACCATAGGAGTTCTCATAGCCAACTGAAGAAGGCAATAGAAAATCATATAGCTGGCTGTAGAAAGTGGAAAAAATCATACGGTCGGGCTACACGAAGCGATGAAAAATTAAACAGCCGGGCTATAGTTCCTGTAGCCGGGCTTTACATTTTATCGCCTGGCTGTTGCTTTTTCGCCATCGGCTATAAAAGGCTATAAGAAATTGTGTAGAAATTCGTGTGCTTTGTAAATCCTTAAGTTTGTACGGAATCACCAATAATATTTACAAAACGCACATTAAATTTTCCTTTACTACATATTTGTTTTCATCTATTAAAATGAGAATAATCCATACAGAGTGTGCAAACATTTCAAAGTCATGAGTTGAACAATGCTGACTCCACGAGATTAAATATCAGAGCCGAACACAAAGCGGAACGGCGGCGCACTGGCGCCTACAAACCTAACAGGGATACTTCACGCATTGCGCAATGCGTGAAGTATCCCTGTTAGGTTTGTAGGCGCCAATGCGCGTTTCGCGCTGGCTGCCCGCCCGCCGCGCCGCGCCGCACCGCGCCGCGCCGCACCGCGCCGCAGCATACCACGGCGCTTGAAGCAACTATTTCACGCCAGAGGTATTGCACAGTAATGTCCAAAATTGAAGGCGCTCCAACATATTAGGAATGGTAGGCATCCTTCAAAAGTACGGAGCTTTCCTCGCAAAATAAATCAAGATACCACGGCCCAAAAGGAGAGCAGTCCAAAAAACTCACTAAGTCCTAGCATCCGTAATTAGTAACGTTTAGCACACACTTTATCGTCAGGCTGTTGCTTACTCGTCATCGGCTATAAAAGGCTATAAGAAATTGTGTTGCCGGCTATAGAAGCTATTGGAAATCTTACAGTCGGCTGTAGGTCCATGGTATTTTGAAACATAGATTCTACTGCCAATTTTTACCAGGGTGCGGCGATATTCATAGGGGTTTCTTTCAACTGATAACGATATGGTTGCGGATGCTTACGTTCCAGAAGTCTGCCCTACGTTGCCGTGGCATAGGCGGATCCAGACACTACAAACGGGAAGTAGCAGAAGGGGGGTGGGGGTCCGGGGGGCTTCCCCCAGAAAATTTTCGAAATTTTGAAGTATCTAGTGTGTAGATTGAGTCAATTTCGCCGTAAATAATCATTGAATAGAATCGGCCTCCCTTCTTCTTTCCTCCTCTTATACCCTCCTTTTTTCCCTCTCTTTTTTGGGGGGGGGGGGAGGAGGAGGAGCGTTCGCCTAGCCCGGCATAAAAACCCTAACCCAAATAAAACTTAATCCAGGTTGGGTTGGCATTTGAGCTGAGTTTAATGGAAGCAAATTTTTTGGGAAACTTTTTTTTTTCGATCTGTCTGTTTGTCTTATTGCGTGCAAAATCAATTGTTTTTCATCACATTTATTTACAAATCCTTTCACGATCTCTCTGTTTTCTTTTGCGATTATAGCTATCCAGCTGCATTGGCGATGGTGGCCTCAGGGAAAGTGAACATCAGACAGCTTATCACTCACAATTATGTGTTGGAAGACACCCTCTCGGCGTTCGAAACGGCAAAAACTGGGGCAGGTGGAGCCATCAAGGTCATGATCCACTGCAAAGAAGGGATTACACTCGAAAATGCCATTCTCAACCAAGGATAATTCACTCGGGGTAATTAGGGAGGTGTGCTCATGCTCATTGTCAGTTCAGAACAATTTATCGATGCTCAAAGTCGAAAAATGCGCGAGTATCTCCGATTGCGACTTTGTAAATTTGCCATGCGTGTTTTATTTTTTAGAAGGGAACGAACCAATAAAGTGCTTTTTCTTGGAATTTTCTTTACTCAGTCAAAAAAAAAAAAATTATAGATAATTGCAATTGTATATTTCGGTTCATTGTTTTCCAGGAAGAATAAGACATGATTGGAGTTTTTTCAAAGGTATATTTGGAGGTACGCTTTTTTCATTCTTTCAAAAGAGCCATTGATATAATACGGTCGATCAGGTCCAATCGACTTCGAATGAGGCGCAATTATTATAATGAATCGTGCGTTGAAGTCGTTCAATGAGAACATGACGATAGGTATTGTTCAGACAACGAGTGAATAATGCCACGTTACATGAGCCTGCTTGCCTCAATTTCTCCTGCATTCAAATTCAAGATGGCTGCTCGCGGCTCCTTCTGTACAGGAAGGGCCTTGACAGAACGCATAAGCCCTATCATGAGACTCAAAAACTTTCGTGTGTATAACGTCTTTAAGTGACAGCGAAGCACATCGGAAAGACAAACATATAAACAAAATGGTTGTGAATATTATGTAAATTGTTATAGCTTTTTTTAGTTTCTTCAGGTCATACAGAAGTTTTATTTGATTACAGGTGCAATGTTACTAGGTAATGTAAGAATAGTTACGTTCAGGATTAATAATTAATTATTTTTCTTTGAATGTAGCGCATTTTTATACTTGCTATTTCAAGGGCACTGAAATATTGTATTGTCTCACATATATATCATATCAATCATTAATTTATTCAATTTTATATTTTAAGGAACCGTGCTATGCGTTTTTCGTATATTGAGGTAACAGTGATAATATTTATTTCTGCCATGAGGTGAATGAGAGAGTCGTTTTTTGATAACTGTCACTCCAGTTTTAGGAGTAAAGTTCGATATGGTAATCATTGAAGTAATATTCAGAAAATATTTTTCTACTCTAATCCTATTTCCTTTTTGAAAATACAATATCACGATTTACGTGAATATTTTATGGCCCTGCTCCAAAAGTCAGGATTATTTTTGGAAATTAACAGTCAGTCACATATACCCACATCTTTCCTTTCGGAGAAAGCACCTAATGGGAATTACATTTACCAGAGATTAAAAACCGACAAGTCAAAACTTTACACAGAAATAGATAAAATTATAGAACCCTAGAAAATCTGTCATAATACATTATGTTGTACCTATTGTTACTAAAATGCATGATCCCAGACAGCTTAACAAAAAACCCTTAAAGAAGAGTATATTTAGTAACGCACATATAACAGGCCTCTCAACATTTTATCACTTTTTTCTCAAATGATCCTTCTATTGTAGTGGTGCCTGAGTTTGCAGGTTTTCTCAATCACCCCATCAAACATTTGTTTTTCTTTTATTTTTCATATTTTATTTTTTGATTCACGTTGTTATTTTGTCATTCGTGTATTTTAATGAGAGTATATAAATGATTTACCTGTCTAGTATGTAAGATTTAATGTACCTAAATAAGTCTGCAAGTCGTTAGCACATGTGATTTTAATTATACGTAAATGAAAAGCGTGCATTTTGTGTTGTTCATCTCACCTGCTTGCTCCTCTCTGCTGACATTCTGACTTCCTGTCTTGTTCGGGGCCGGATTTACCTACTTGCCGCCCATGGGCCGCCTGTATTTTGCCGCTCCCATCTCATTCGTTTTGAAACATCAAGAAAAACCATCAAGTGAACGTGCCGGAGGGGGAGGAGTGCATAAGACGCGTTTACCTACTCGTGTTGGATACATTTTTTTGCGAAAGCCCTGTCAACACTACTAGCAACATTTCACGGAACTTGACGCGAAAGTTAAGTTCCGTAAACCTATCTCTGTGCGGACAAGATCCTCCATTTATAAGAAATGAACCATTAAGTTATGAAAGAACAAACATAAATGTGGTTTAATAATTTTAACTTCCGCCGCTGCGCCGCGCCGCGCTGATCGCACTGTGTTTGGCGTAATGCGTGAAGTATTCCTGCAGTCTTGTAGGCGCTATGCGTTTCACGCCAATCGCTCCTGACCGCGTAACCGTGCTGTGTTTGGCGCAATGGGTGAAGTATTCATGCAGTCTTGTAGGCGCTAATATGTGTTACATGCTGACCGCCTCGCCGCGGGCTTGTCCTTTTCATCTCAAGTCCTCGTCATCATTCCTCTCTGCGCTGAGCTCCAGGCAAAATTTCGTGTTTAGTTTTTCTCTTAACTCGACTAATTAAAGATGCTGTCTCTTGTTTTACCGAAAAATGACAAAATTAGAAATTACTATACTCTCAGGAAAAAGAGATTTTGTCTCCTTTTCTTATTGATAATTTTTTTTTCTGAATCCGATTTTTTTAATACCTACATTCAAAGAAATTGTAAATGGCGGAGGGGGGCCGCTAGGCGAAACAAAGCGGTAATGTGGTCATGTGCGGTTTACCGCTGTAAAATGTAACCAATTCATTTACATACTATAGAGTCATTTCGATGGTCAAAGTTCGAAACCACGAATTCCGTTTGTGACTTATAAACTTCCTATAATACTTTATTTTTTTTTTGTGGAACACTAGTCGACGTAATTTCATGAAAACCTCCTTGATTTCCACTCTCTATTAGCAGCATACCCTTTATGAATTACAAGCTCTAAATGTGAAAAGTGAAAATGTGAAAAAAATCAATCATGAATAGATGGTGATCGAATCACGTCGATCGGTTCACGTTTTAATTTTTCGGTCGAAACGACACAGGGGTATTAATAATTTGTCGATCGATTCTCGTTTATTTTTCGATCGATTAATGTCTATTCATGTGACAGAAGCCTGGCCTTCAATTAATTCGAGGGAGAGTCTATGATTTAGGGAGCTCCAAAAGTCATGTGTTCGACAAAAATAAGGGCGCTTTTCAAGTATTACGTAGAGTAAGTAAAGGGGTGGGATGTCTCCGCTTGTCTTACCAATTCTTACGAATAGGGAGGGAAGTCAAGCGCAGTATTTTGTAACTCTCCCATTTAATAAAATGAATATAAAATAAAATAAAAATGGAATATTTTTCAACAAAAGGTCATATTTTTGGCAACTGTTCAGACTGCTGTCTCCTTTATAACTGAAAAATTGAGAGAAGAGTGTTAGGCCAGTCTCACGTAATGCAAAGGGGAGTGGAGATGAAAGGTTGTCTCATGGGTGTCTTCTAAGGGGAGGGGGGTTAAAAATTCATGCAAATCGCCAATAATACTTGACTGGTTCTTACACGTAGGGATAAACGTGCATTTCCAATAAATTTCCGCTGATAAACAAAAAGAAAAATGAGAAGCAAAAGGGGATGAGAGAAGGTATCGATTAAGAACAAAACATTTATTTTTCATTCTCCAGAGGCTCGACTAAAACATTCTTTGCTTTTAGCATCAATAAGAGAAATAAAATGATTTACACACCACGGGAATCGATTAAAACTGAATCCTGGTTTGCCTTCAATTCTTAGGCATGCAACAAAGCATACATAATATGTGACCTTTCCAGGTATTTTATCGTCAAAACGTCTTCAATCTATCTCGGTTGAAATTCGCACTTGCAAAGACATGCGGCATGACTCGCATGATAACGCTTTTTGTTTGCTTTTATGCCTTTAATAATAATTAAGGCTAACTAATATAGGTATTGTTGAAATAATCCTAACGTCTAGAACTAGAAACAACCATGGTAGCAAAAACGGCCGGAAAAACATGTCAACGCGTGAAACTGCGAAAACGGGTCCTTCGGTTTACAACGCCGCAGATTTTTTTTTTTTTTTTTTTAAATGGAAAAACACGCGATGTCATCTAATCGAAAACATCCTTGATTTTTATTTTCTGTGTGAAGAAATTCAAGCCGTAATAATTCATGTTAATTTCCTTCTAATGATTCGTAGACCTAGGGGGCTCCGATCCGCAGCCCAACCCTCGGAGACTTGTGACCCCCCCCCCCCCCCCCCCCCCCCCCCCCCCNAATAACCTGATGAGAATCGAGAAAGTAAGAAGAAATGTAATTCAGCAAAAGCACTGAAAGCGCAATAAAATGATTACAAGAAGAGGATTAGGACTACATTTTTCGCGACGAGGAACTAACATATTAGGCTCTTGTCATTACCAAACAAACTGAAGCAGAGGCGGAATTAGTATTATCCTAGTTTTTTCCACCATCGAAGATTTAATTTATTCTTAAAAAATTCTAGCTACAGCGTGCTTCAGCTGTGCATCCACCACTGCAAAAATGTCAAAGGAAATCGACACGCCCAGCGAGCATGGAGATTATCTCCATTTAAATCTTCCGTCACATTCTTACGGCGCAATGATACAACTATTTGAACTCTCCGGAATGCGTGAGGTATCACGCCGCATTTGAAGGCGTTTACAAAACAGCCAAGTTCCGATACCCGGATTATCGTTTTGCATAGTTCATATTCTTTTGTTATATTCCGTACCACTCGTTTATTTATAATCCTCCTATAAAAATTACCCATTTGCTAAATACAATTCTAGCTGGAGCGCACTTCAGTTATGCATTCACCACTGCAAAAATGTCAAAGGAAATCGACACGCCCAGCGAGCATGGAGATTATCTCCATTTAAATCTTCCGTCACATTCTTACGGCGCAATGATACAACTATTTTAACTCTCCGGAATGCGTGAGGTATCACGCCGCATTTGAAGGCGTTTTCAAAACAGCCAAGTTCCGATATCTGAATAATCGTTTTGCATAGTTCATAGTATTTTGTTTTCATTTCTAACCACTTGTTTATTTATAATCCTCCTATAAAAATTACCCATTTGCTGAATACAATTCTAGCTGGAGCGCACTTCAGCTATGCATTCACCACTGCAAATGTCAAAGGAAATCGACAAGCCCAGTGTGCATGAAGGCAGGCCCGCCACAAGGGTGGGATACTGGGTCCCTGGTACCTGGGCCCGGGCTCCGGAGGGGGCCGATGTTACCCATGAAAAACTACTACGAATTCACATGCAACCCTTGTTTTGTAAGAACAAGTGAAAAATTTACCCTAAAAATTTCGCAAAAGGTGAATAGATTTTCAGAAACACGCTGGGGCACTGTAGAATTCTTCTTAAAGAGCGACGCCAAAAACGACCGTTTTTTGGCACAATTTGGGCCAGAAGGGATTTTTCTGAAACCGGGCCCAAACAATACCTTATGATACCCTAAAACTCTGGTTAAAATTTTAGCTTGAGTATACGCTCGGTTTTTGAGAAATGAGGGGGCAAAGTTGCCAAATCGCCATCATTCTGGACAGCATTTCTACAGGAAAAAGACGGGGAAAATGGACGAAAAAGTCAAATATTTGATGGGTTTGGGCTGTAAATGTTCTCATTGGGCCCCCAAGCATTTAACTGTGTTCAGTTTCAAAAATTTTGGTCGCACAGTGGTCCAAAATGGGGAGAAATCGTCGACAAATCAGGATTCTTTGTCAAATTTTTAGAAATGGAAGTAAAATTTTCGGTCTGCTGCAGTTTTCATGGCTAACAATGTTCTTATTGGTCCTCAATTTATGAAAATGTGTTCAGCTTCACAAATGTACATCGCACAGTGGTCAAAAATGGGGGAATTAGTGGACAAATTAAGATCCTCTGTCAAACTGTTGGTCCCCAGTAGAGTTTAAATCCCGGAAAAATGCATGTTTTTATTTTTTTTTAATTATTTATATATGTCAGACCGTATTGTTTATAGAACGTTGTTATAGAATAGACTTTGTAGCATTATTTCAATAAAATATGCAAACTTTCAGAAATTTAAAAAAAAAGAAAGAAAAGTGGAGAGAAAAAACGTAAAAAAGATTTAAATAGTCAAAAAAAGAATTTAAAGAATTTTTCTGGGATCTAAAGTCTACTGGAAACCAATAGTCGTACATCATTTTTATAAAGTTAGGCAGAAGATCTTAATTTGTCCACTAATTTCCCATTTTGGACCATTGTGCGATGAAAATTTGATAAACTGAACCCAATTGAATGCATTGAAGACCGATAAGAACATTGTTCCCCATGATCTCTGCAGGAGACCAACAATTTTACTTCCATTTTTAAAAAGTTTGACAAAGAATCCTTATCTGTCCACGATTTCTTCCCATTTTAGACCACTGTACGTCCAAAATTTTTGAAACTGAAGACAATCACATGCACGGGGGCTCAATAAGAACGGGCGACGGCAAACTGCCACCCGGGTGGCAGTTTTCAAGAAATTTGTATGAAAACTGCCACCCGTATAAATTTGAAAACTGCCACCGGTAGTGAAAACTGCCACCCGTGTAAATTTGACAACTGCCACCCACATGAATTTCGGCGCACAGAGGGTCGAAGCGGACATTTAGAGATTTTCGGAGATCCCAGGTAAAGAAAAAAAGTAAGTGGGTGGATGCTGTCATCAAGCGATTTGATGAAAAAATCCCCAACAAAGAAGGCGAAATGATGTCCCTTTATGACTTCATGAAAAAAATTTCCACTAAATTCGCCAAAAATCCCACCAACCTCACCAAAAAGAAAGAAGGTAAAAGTCAGAAGAAAGTTCAAAAGGTAAAAAAGAAAAAAAAGAATAACAAAAGTAATGCCAAATGATGAAAAAAGCTCCTAGTAGTGATGTACTCTTTGACTGTAATTTTACTAAAATTGTACTACTTTTAACTATTTTTTACTATAAACATACTGTAAATTACTGTAAAAATACTTTTTACAGTTTTTCACTACTTTCAACTAAGAGTAATGCCAAATGATGAGAAAAGCTCCTAGTAGTGATGTACTCTTTGACTGTAATTTTACTAAAATTTTACTACTTTTAACTATTTTTTACCATAAAAATTCTGTAAATTACTGTAAAAATACTTTTTACAATTTTTCACTACTTTCAACTAAGAGCCCATTGACCTCTTTTCACCATATTAAAAAATTTTAAAAAAATTGTATTAAAAAATAACTTTTAAACACGCCTATTAAAAATCATCACAGACACTGCTCAATTTCTTATCATGTGTTGATTTTCAGTAGACAGTCCTCAGCCTTTCCAAGTGTGAAGGAAAGTTTGGTAAACTGTGCGACCCCGCTCAATCGCGCTCCTTGGTCAAATTTCAGTATGGAGGGATATTTTTAGTAACTGCGTTTCATTTCCTTCCGCCGTCAGATGCTAAGAGTCTCCAGTCTGGGCATCCTCGACTTCAAAATGGCTCATGGCTCAACTCCCTAGCCATAGACAAACGAAAGGGGAGTCCAGGGGGGCCTGGCCCTCTTAGAACTGAAAATAGTATCATATGCCCCCCCCCCCCAAAAAAAAATAAAAAATAAAAATTTTCCAGATGTTCTGAATGCAACAATCCGCAAGTATTTTGTGCTGAAAGTACAAAAAAAAAACCATAATTATTCCGCAGAAATTGATGGGAAAATTCTTTATGGAAGCTTCAAAATGCGTCCGATTAGTCGTATAAATTCTAAAATTTCTCGGGGGATGCCCCTCGGACCCCCCCCCTCCGTGCTTGGGGTCCGGACCTTAAAACTGGTACCAGGGCCCGAGATGGGATGCGGCGGGCCTGCAGGTAGGTAATTTTATTATTGAGCCAGGAATAGTACCCAGTATAGTTGTAGTAATAAAACGTAGTCCAATTGAAATTAAATATCAACCAATGATCGCATCTCAATGTAGGTCTTAGCGCCTAACTTAGAACTTCCTGGAAAACTATGTTCCCAATTTTGATTGGTTCCTCCGTGTCCTTGGCTCCAAACAATTTGAGCATTGAGACCACCAGAGCGGCATTTTGGCAATGCTTTGTACGAGGAGTAACTAAGGGGTACGAGGGGCACTATTACAGAGCCCAACTGGAGGAAGCAGTGCTTTAGCAAAAAAAAAAAAAAAAAAAAAAAAAAAAAAAAAAAAAAAAAAAAAAAAAAAAAAAAAAATGGCTTTGAAAGAGATAGTCGCTCCCATCGCCAGAATAGTTTATCGCCATCTAGTTTTTTTTGGAGAGGGACTCGGGTTAGCGTTTCGTATAGTTTATTGGAGGAAAGGGGGATCAGGGAGATCCTGTATAGCGTCGTGGAACGCAGCACAAAGAATTCAGCGTGGAGGGGGGGGGGGCAGTAAAGGGTAAAAAACCTCGAAAGTTTATCGATAAGTAGTTTAAGGGGCTTGGAGGACAAGGAGCATAAGTGCGGTTTATGCTTTAAGAGAGTTGTTCTGTGAAAAATTCATAACAAAAATCTAACTTTAAAGCATCAAAAAGTGAGTTTAAACTTCCTCTCCGCCCTAAGGCTGAGTGTAATTTTGAAACTCTAGACATACGTATTTCTTGAAATAGCAAAAACTGCACTGAGCGTCTTGAGCTCCAAGCCCCACATTTAAGGATGTCCCACTAGATCGATTCATGCATTTCAAGGGAACTTATTCAGGGTTTTTTCCCCCATTAATTAATTAATTTCTTTAAATTCCATGAGTAAGATGTTAGATTAATTGAAATGCCTCAACATTATCTCGGTGAGATCAAAATTACAACAATACGTTCTCAACCCCGAAAGTTTCGAGCAAAGTTCACAAAAAAAAAGAAGAAGAAGAAAAATTTAAACGGTCAAATTAAATAATCTTAAAAAATGTGGGGTTTTTGATATGAGCCACCTTAAATACGAGCGGGACTTTTGGAGCACCCTGTATACGCTGTGGTCACTCTGACGTCATTCTGATTGCTAGCTGCCATAGAGAAAAAAAAGGAGGTGTTTGCATTTCGGGCATCTTGGAATTTTTTGATGACTTGATGACGTAGGTGGGTACAGTGTGAAGGGGACGTCCCTGTACCCAGCTGTACCCACCTACGTCATCAAGTCATCAAAATATTCCAAGATGCCCGAAATGCAAACACCTCCTTTTTTTTCTCTATGGCTAGCTGCTGGGGGCATCAGCACTAATCGGTGAAGTCTATGACGCACGACAACGTCCCAATTTTGCTCCTTCCCATTGGTTATATTTTACTACGTCATCAAGATGGCCACCAAGATGGCGCTCTGATTATTTGCTTTTTGTTTGATGCTGTGAAAGGAATTCCTCTTTTGCATTCGCCATCTTGTGTCTCTTGCGTCTCTGAAGTAAAAGCGTCAGTGTCCTTGTTAGAATAGAAGTAACACCATGAATTGTGAAAATAATAAAGTTAAGTGAAATGTGCCGTCTGCAGCAACTACTATATCTTACAAACGGAAGAAATGTTTCTTTGACGGATTTTCTCCTTTGGTAANGAAATGCAAACACCTCCTTTTTTTTCTCTATGGCTAGCTGCTGGGGGCATCAGCACTAATCGGTGAAGTCTATGACGCACGACAACGTCCCAATTTTGCTCCTTCCCATTGGTTATATTTTACTACGTCATCAAGATGGCCACCAAGATGGCGCTCTGATTATTTGCTTTTTGTTTGATGCTGTGAAAGGAATTCAGTGTTCCCAGGCGTGCGGATATTTCCGCGCCGCGCGGACATTCCCTATACCCGCGCGGACAGCGTACGGACAAAAACCTTATGGGAAAATTTTTCCCTATCTTATTTTGTCCGTACGCTCGCCCGGCCCTGTCCGTGCGTCTGTTTATCCGCTTTTCTTTGCAATATTTATTACTTTTGCGTAAGTTATTGATACAATGATGTTTAGTATGAAAGCCGGGTATCGTTTGGGAACAAATTAGATACTTTTTGCATTAATTATATTGTATTCTTATCAAAATTCAGTCATTTCATTCATGTCCGTGCGCCCGCCCGGCCCAGTCCGTGCATCTGTTAATCCGCTTTTTTTTGCAATATTTATTACTTTTGCGTAAGTTATTGATACAATGATGTTTAGTATGAAAGCCGGGTATCGTTCGGGAACAAATTAGATACTTTCCGCATTAATTATATTGTATTCTTATCAAAATTCAGTCATTTCATTTATGTCCGTGCGCCCGCCCGGCCCAGTCCGTGCATCTGTTAATCCGCTTTTCTTTGCAATATTTATTACTTTTGCGTAAGTTATTGATACAATTATGTTTAGTATGAAAGCCGGGTATCGTTCGGGAACAAATTAGATACTTTTCGCATTAATTATATTGTATTCTTATCAAAATTCAGCCTTTTCATTTAAGGTCCGTCCTTGTTTTCTGTATTGTTGTGCTTTTGTGTTTGATCAGTCAGACATTTTTTCTTACTTTTTTTTCTCAATTTCGCCAATGTTATTGATATAAGGAAGCCACGAATAAAACCCAGGTATCATTCAGGACCTTTCTGCATTAATTTATGTGTTATTCAATCAGTTCAATGGGTTAGGAATTATGAATTTCATGAAAAGTCAGCTCCTTTCTTTTGAATTATTGCTTTTTGATGTAGGCACCTATAATTGTTCCGATTATTTTTTCCTGTCAATGCTTTCTAGAGGACATAGGTACTTGAATGTCACAAGAGATCAAGAGAACATCAACATCATCAACAAAACAACAAAACAGCCGGAACCGGAAACGGAATTCACGGAACACGGACGGAGCACGGAGCGGCACGGATATACACGAGCCTCCCCGAGTTCATCCGGAGAGCGTACGGACATTTTAAGATAGGAGCACCTGGGAACACTGAAGGAATTCCTCTTTTGCATTCGCCATCTTGTGTCTCTTGCGTCTCTGAAGTAAAAGCGTCAGTGTCCTTGTTAGAATAGAAGTAACACCATGAATTGTGAAAATAATAAAGTTAAGTGAAATGTGCCGTCTGCAGCAACTACTATATCTTACAAACGGAAGAAATGTTTCTTTGACGGATTTTCTCCTTTGGTAAGTAACTTGATTTTCGACCACGAACGTGTCGCGTTACATATTCTCAGACCATCCTCTTCTCCATCATGCTGCGTTCAGCATTTGTATTTCTAAATATCACGTTCTCCACAGTTAATACCTTAGTCTTTTCTAATATTCTGTAACTATTGAAAGCACTTACACTGTTAATAGCGTGGCTCATTAAACAGAGAGCAGCAGTTACATCATTAGACTCTGTCTGCTACCATTTAAAGCACTTGCATATGTGATCTTCCCCAAGAGCTCATGCTGTTAAAGTTCTTCACATTTCCGTCTAATGGGCTGTATGATGTGTTCAACTTCACCATAGCAAAACGACCTTCTTGAGTTTATGGATTCATATAAGTACTGGTTATTCCAATTGACGCTTCAAGGTCTGCCTATCTGGAGACCGTATTGCGACCAAACGCAGTACCAGGCATAAATCATTCCTTCATGTAGCAATATTGTTTTAAATGCCTACTAAAGGTATTCAATAATTGAGAATTTTTCAAGAGTGCCCTTTTTGAACTACTTTATAGCCGATAGGCTGTTAACTCTATTAATTGTCTCAGGCCACAGCGAATATTATGATTAGCGGACAGATTGTCTAGAGATTGGCTATATGTTGGTTGTATTTCTTGTTTTTATAACGTTATTCCATATCAGTGGTGAATAGTTATAATGGTGGTGCCCATGCATTATTGAATCCTTGCCCTGATGGAGCCATGGAATGACGCGATGCAAGTAACTGATAACGCAAATCCCTTTCACCTTTGCCTCATGCGTCCTATCTATATATCATCAAAGATATTAGGTAGCGATAGTTTGCCCAGAATAACCTCGCGTGGGGGCAGGCTAAGATACTTCTTTTAATGCCCTTTGCCCCACCCATTTTTTGGGAACAGGCTTTCAGAAATGCCCCGTACTTCCTCTCTCCTAAGCTGCCCCCTCCTTTGTTACTCTACACTTCCTATATCTGCTGACTGAAGTTTCTCATATAGGTTTTGCTCCCATCGTTTGAATAAATCTTCTGTGGTCTGAGGACACAACAATGATCTAAAAAAACTGTCCCTTTTAATCTGTGAGAGGTTTAACTGTACTGATTTTGGAGCGGTGGTATTAAGTTTTGAAGTTTTGTTTCTTTCATGAGTTGCTTGTCAAAGAAGCATTGGGAATCAATATCATCAATCCTTGAGCTTTCCTCTTGGAAGAGTGATTGGTGCTGTTTAGGTAATGTGTATCTGTAACTTATGTGTTACAGGTTCCATCAATAAATTAACTTCGGCTTCAGTGTAATCAAATAATCAGGAAGGGAAATAGATGAGTGAGATCAAAATAATGGGGAGAGAATAGGGATGTTTACTTTTTGCAGGCAAAGACCCCCTCGAAATGAGCAGGCAAGATGGCTGCGTGGCGCGATGGAAACTCAGAGCAGTTCGAGCACTCTCTAACCAATACCTACTCTAACCCATCCTATCGTCCGCATTCATTTACATATTAATTTACTGATACTATCATATTTTCAATGTAAGTGTTATCTTTGTAGGTAATGTTATTTATTTACACTCCCACATTTCACCTCTTGATGCCTGATTGGTAAATTTTACCACTTTCTGGATTGTTATGTACTTTGGAAGGTTTAAGTTATCAAAAGCAGAAATGTGCACAGATATTGTTTCAGCAAATTTTTTAAGAAATGTGCTAAGTGCCTCGTATT